ATGCTCGTACCAGATCGATTTTAGAAAAGATAGTCGTGCCCTTGAGCGATGCCGTGATGTCGTGTATGTGGGGGATGGGGTAGCTATCAAAGCGCGTAACTACGTTTAATGCTCGGTAGTCGCCGCACGGTCTCCAACTAACCCCATCCTTTTTGCGCACCATGTGTAAAGGAGAGACCCAAGGACTGTGAGAAGGACGAATAATACCAGCAGATAGTAGATTGTCAAACTCACCTTTAGCGAAGGCTAATTTGTCCGGTGCCAGTCGGCGTGGTCTTGCCGTGACTGGTGGTCCGCGGGTGACTATGTGGTGTACCACACGATTGATCACCGATGAAATCTCCTCGAGTGGTTTAGTTATTCTGGGGAACTTCTCGAATAAAGCGTGAAATTTATCGTCGCGCGAATAAAAAGTTCCGAGGATTCGGTACGCGTTTGTGTGAGCTTTAAAACCTATGAATTTACTGTTCGACGAAGTATCGATTAGCTGCAGCCTCCGTGAATCGACTAGCAATTCATAGTGCTGTAGGAAATCAATACCTAGTATGGCTGTGGGAACATCAGCATTGATGAACGTCCACAGATACCGTCGTCGGTTGTCCAGGTTGACCGCGAGTTGTCGTGTACCGTAGGTAGGGATGGCTGAGCCATTTGCAGCGCGTAGTCGAAGCATTGTAGCTTGTGACTTGATGCTACCACGTGGTACGACAGAAACTTGGGCACCTGTATCCACTAGGTACCTAGCGTTTGTGCGATAATCGTGCACGTAAAATAAACGGCCAACCTGGGGGGCAGGGCCGGCGAGTACGGCGTCTTTTACTCGCCGGCTTTGGAGTTTCCCGCCTTGAATGAGCACGGGGCCCGACAACGGCGGGCACCAGATCCGAAAGATCGATGAAACCAGCACCAACCTGCACTCGCTTCCGAAGCCGCCTTTTGGCGTGGCTTGGAAGATGCCCTCGTTGGGCGAGTGTTGACGGCTTTTCGAGAGCGTGAGCGGGCTCGAGGGACGTAGGGTTGGGGTACATTACAACGGTCTCGTAAACTAAGACATGTGTGAATACACCCTTCCCTGTCATCTTGAGCCGAGGAGTGGCTGCCGTCGATATCGACTTTCGGACGCAACGTTGAGGCAACTACGTAGTTGTCTCGATTGCCAGTCCTAGCTAGAATTTTGTCTGCTGTGAGGGCTACCTGTTTCAGTGGTGCGTCCTCGAGCAGGGCCGTAATTGTAGGTTGGATAAATGCTGGTAGAGATTCGAGCCACAGTTCTTTAACAATTTCAGAATCGGCTGCCGTGGGTCCTGCAAGAGATTGCAGGCGCGTGAGGTGGTGGCTCGGTTTAGCATCACCCAGGGGGTGACGTGCTAATAACGTCCTCAATCGTTCCTCCCTCGATGGGAGGAAATATCTGAGGATCGCCTCCTTGAGACGATCGTAAACATTGGGCACATTGGAATTGAGGACAACCTCACGGACAGCTACTAAATGGTCTCCCGGTAAACATTCGAGAGCATAAGTGTACTTCTGCCGTTGGCTTGTGATATGACGGGTCTCAAATTGAGACTCTATGGCAGCAAACCAAACTTCGGGATCGTGAGGAATAAAAGATACAGGTCGAAAGTGTATAACCTGTACGTCAGAGTCTATTACGTTAACATTATTCTTATCGTTATCCGTCATGTCAAATATATTATATATTAAAAATTAATATGAAAATATATGACAGACGTGGATAGATAAGCGATAGACTCATCAAAATTGACTTCTTTGGAAGGTTTGGTTGCGATTGCCAAGTGATCGTAGATGTAGGTTCACCAGTTGCAGAAGATTTGACCGAAGTTGAGGCGTGTTCCAAAATTTGGCTCACCAAATGTAGCGTGGTGTCGAGTTGAGCTTGACTAAGAACACCGCTACCAGACTACTTGCCAATAGACCAATAAAATTCCGATAGGCCAAAATATCAGAAGGCAGATGATTGTAGTAGTCGTATATATTTGTTGGCGATCTCGTGGTATCGAAAGAATACCGAGATCGTGCCAAAGGAGTACGGGTGCGATCGGCAAGATAAGATACGTGCGTAGTCCAAAAACCGCGTAAAAGCAATGGAATACAATGGAAGCCCAAAAATGGCTGTTATTAGCACAGTTAAACAAACGAGCACAGTAAAACAGTCACTGGTACAATTGGTTATAATAATAATTGTTTTCATTGAACCAATCGTGTTCTGTTGACAAAAGTAGGTTACTACAAATGTATAAAAGTTATGACAATAAAAACGAGTTATAATTGCCATGAAAAAAGCCATTCTTGTATCCAAACACTGCGATTTCTTTGCTACATTTTAAACGTATACATAATCTCAAACTTTTAGCTCTTTTGAATTATCATTACTAACACAGTGTCACTAACTGTCTGGTTATGCATTCACTGCATTATATCTTGTTACGAAAAGCTTCGGACCTTACTGACATTCATTCTCGATCACCAATACCTGCCGCAACACGACTTCCATGAAGCGCCAACTTATATATCGACATTTTAATCTACTGACGTTTATATCCCGATGTAAGAAAATTTATCCTCTTGCTTCTCTGAACAATGTGTTCCAAAACATAACTGAGTAACTTATAACAGTAAACCATGTAGCATTTGTAACAATTTGATCGTGTCTGTAAACCGGCAAGCCCCACGTAGCATATTGTGATGTGAGAATATATCAAAATTATTAGAACGTCTGAAGGTATCAAATAACCAAATAGATCCCGTTATAGACTCTAAAAAGTGTCTTTATACCTATCAAATAAGGGATAGGGCTTATTAGTTTTGGGTAGCCTTCTCAGCATGTCATCTATAATAGCTATCTGAATGATAATTATTTCTGCTTTCTAAGGAACTTTGTGTAATGAATACCAACACAGATTGCTTTAGGGACAGACGTTTGGCAAATTTAAGATGTTATCGGGTCCGCTTTTAATATTTTTAGCATTTCAGAGGGTTGAGAAGAAATTGTAGTATTCAGCCGTGGTGAATTGGGCTAAATAGCTCATTCGTTATGGAAATTTCGCCGTCACTAGATCGCATTGAACGTACTCGACCAGTATTTCCTGAACATGTAGGTTCACTGTGTAACTGAGCGCTGAGGACTCTTCTCCCCTAAAGGATGAACTAGCGTCTTCATTTACTGGTCTATGATCGCCTAAGTCGGCGATTCATTTATGGCGTTCGAGTCAATAGGTACCTGTGACAGGGATCAGGATGTCTCTTACGACGTAAACTGAATGTCTCCATATGCGGAATCGCTTTAGAACACAATACTTCTTTACCCGTCATGTGATAAGCTTTCAATGCTTGCTTTTTTGGTTGGAAATTGCTTGCTCTTATTGATTCTTTAAGTTTGTGGTAAGGATGCTAACCTATATGGCATTAAAAAAGGATGCCTAATCTTCGTAATTACTCTAGTGATATGAAGTTAGGTCATTATCACCACTTATGACTGCACCTAGTTTGGATTTTTCAGCAGACGATTTTTGATGTATCTTCTGATATTGGAACAAATTTAGGTCCTCATTTTCATATTGCCAGTGACACTCTCGGATTACTTCGAAAGTGAAATAGACGATTGAGTGGGTAAAAAGAGGTATATGAAGTCTGTGATTGTATTACGACCGGGGAAACCTAAATGATAAAGGATTCCGTTGACTAGTAGGATCCAAAGTGGATGGGTTCTAGTTAACACACTGAGTTGTTTTGAGGCATAACAAGAACTGCCAGAATTTGTTGCGAAAACTTTTAGATGTATGCCCATAGCAACACAACCTTCACGAAATACTCCTGCTTTCAAACTATTTGACAATTCTGTGTGATGATACAATTCATCTTACCATCATTGATTGTCTGAACTCCTTTTTCAGATAGCATTTTTACTGTTCCTAGGGTACGATGGTATCAATGTTAAACAGACTTGATGCTACCTATCAGTTTAGATCACGCGGTAATTACCTTATAAGGAATGGAAACTGAACGCTTATATTTGGTGTTGAAAATTCGGTTCGTCGTATCAGAACTATTCCCCATTTGATCGAGCTAGAATAATCCATGATGCAGACTTACTTACTTGCGCCTGTTGCCCCCCGTAGAGAAGCCTAGGTCGCCCACCTGCACTCTCCATCGTACTCTTTCCTGAGTATTTCTTTTCAGTTGTTTCTAGTTGCCATTCATCTTTTGTTGCAGAAGATAAAGGAATGGAAACTGAACGCTTATATTTGGTGTTGAAAATTCGGTTCGTCGTATCAGAACTATTCCCCATTTGATCGAGCTAGAATAATCCATGATGCAGACTTACTTACTTGCGCCTGTTGCCCCCCGTAGAGAAGCCTAGGTCGCCCACCTGCACTCTCCATCGTACTCTTTCCTGAGTATTTCTTTTCAGTTGTTTCTAGTTGCCATTCATCTTTTGTTGCAGAAGATAAAGGATTTTTAGTCGGATGCCATTTAAAGTATGTTCAGTCCAAAAGTACGTATCAAACCATACAAAGTAGAATAAAAACGTCGCGGGTAGGAAAAAGAAAAAGTTGACAGGCTAATCTTGAAAATAATTAACAACGGTCATATTTATGAAGATGCTTTTGCCGCGACCGAATTTACCAATATTCTTGGTGTTAACAGTAAGTTGACTGTCCAGCAATGTGGTTGTTATCAATTCTGACAACATAGTTGTTGTAAAACAAACTTATGGATAAAGCTAAGATTACGGAGCCGATCTTCTAGAAGAAGAGAGTGAAACGCTAGTTGTGCTGATAGTTGACCCATTACCTTTAGTCAAGTCGAGTCCGTAAAATTCGATCCAGGAATGATGTCAAGTTCCTGTCAAGCTGTTTAGTTTGGTGAGACGTCTAGCTATGGAAACCCGATAAAATTATTTTTTTGGAAAGCGTTATTAAACACACTAATTTATTTAAAAAAATTGTAAGTAAAAGACAGCCTACAGATTGGATGTTGTATAGAATAACCTTGAGGTCCGGTAGCGGTTTCAACCATTCGCGTCATCAGTCTATAACATGTGTTCACGGGGTTCCTGATGGATTATTAATCACAGAACAGCTGTAGTATGGGTAGTGAAGACAGGATTAAAATAAATAACCATGGATCACGTTTGGTTTTGTGAATACTGCACCTCAGCTGAAGGGAATGAAAGTAGAAAGCTTTTCTCAACACAGAGAGATTTCGTTAATCATATCCGAACACATCATTTGGTTCGCAAGTTTAGAAATGATGTGGAGACATTTATCTGCCGGTGAGATCGGTCAGATGATTTTATATGTTAAAATAATTTCATGTTCAGTCAACACTTTTTCCATGTTAATTTAAATTTGTGTGTAAGGTTAGCGAGAAGCAAGCGGTTTAGGTGCTTATCATGGGGCAGAAAAGTTCCTCCAACACTGTTGTGGAGTATGATAAACACAATACTTCCTTGCACAACACCTTAAGGCATTTATACAATTATATAGGAAGCTGCTTCAAAAACATGGGTCGTGATAAAATTCCCTATGTTGACTAATCAGGTTATACTATGTTTCGCTTGAATAATAGATATTTACTGCTCAGAAACCGAAATAAATAATCCTGTTTTTATTTCAAGGGAATTCCAAGGATCCACTGGGTTGTTACAAATATAGCTCATTTACTGGGATTACTTATTCACAACAATACTTCAAGCTATTAATGAAGTAGAAAATCGCAATGTGAATAATTGATTAACGAGTCACGCCACAAACTTTGCAAGGTTTATATGTGGTGGGCCACTTGAGAGGTTGACAAAAATCATGAACCGAATTGGTCAGGAAATAACTCAAACTTGGGTATGATTATTTCATTTGGTCGACCAGTCAATCTTATGTAATGTAGAACCTAGTACATTAACTCAGGTTATCGTTCCATGTTAGCAAAGAGAGATTAAACTTTCCCCAAACAAATTCCAGAGCACTAGTATTAACGATTATTTCTTTGTCTCTTTCCACCTGAACACTTGTTGTTTAATCTTATGGTCATACGAAACACTTAACGCGTAAGAACGCCACTTATCCGTCTCTGATAAACGTGTACCATGAAAGGTAAACGTTATTTTAAGCTTTAAAACAGATTCTTGTCTGAATTGCCGACTTGCATATGTAACATGTTTCTCATACAAAAAAATTTAAAGGGTAATGTGAGAACTAAATAAACACCCAGATAGTGCTTTTGCCTAGAAAATTTAAGTCTGTGTTTTAAGTTCTTTGAACCGCCAAGATTTGATATGAATGATTGTAATACATTCTAATAATACGAAGAACAACATAATTTTATCCTTAGCTACGATTTTATTATATTCTAAAACGGTTTCAAACACATTGGACTACACCTCTATCAATTTAATGTCCTTCAGTATACAGTTAGTCATAACCAACGTATAAACGGTCATAGTCGTGCACCAATCCAAGTTTTTAATAGTTCTCTTCGTTAACAAATCGCGGGTTGTCTTAGATTCTTGTTTAGTCAGTTGTCCAGTTATCACCATCATTTATTTATTTGAACACTAATATTGGTACAAAAGGGCACTGAATACGTATGCGCCATACAGGTCACTTTATTTGTGTGTGGGCCGTGGTACTTCCCGGGTGTTCAGACCGAAGCAGATGGTTTTCCTAGGGGGCCACGCTCGGAGTCTCCGACCTAAAGGTCTGACCTACAAGGTAGTGGATCGGCGTCAAGAGATGCAGTCCCATGTTAGCCAGTGACCAATAATTGGTTCATACTCCGTTTGTTCCCTCAGGATCCTGGCGATCGTGTGCACCATTGGTTTGAAAGCAGGGTTTTCCAACTTCCCTAAGTGGGTTCTCCAGTTATCACTAAAAATCTCTAAAGGGCATAAAATTGTTGGCAAATGTGTCCTGGTTTCATGTTGTTAAGATTTATCACCAATTCATTGAGTCTTATAGACTCTGTTTACAGAAAATATATAACTGACCACCTCAAATCAATAGGCACAACAAAATGAACACCAAACTCATAAAAGTAGTCACTTCAATGGTAGTAATGTATAAAAGAAAGATCGTGTATAAGGATATAGTGCAGGAAGGAAGACTTAGTTCGCAGAAAGAAAGATACAAAACAATTTTAATTTCACGGTTTAAGGGAAGACAAAGTGTTTACATCGATGCCATTGTGATAGATTTTGAGCCATGTCACCTAGAGTCTCCAACCATTGGTTACGAAAGTTACGCGGACCCCAACCAAGTAGTCTGCATCTAACAACATGGCTCAGACTAGAAGTTAGTGATTTAATGGACTGATGCCGTGTTTTGGTTTGGCCACTCCTACTTTCTTCCATCCGTCTCCAACATCAGTCAGCATTACACGTCGTGGTAGTCGGTGTTTGGGCATGTGCAATACACGGCCCAACTATCTCAGTCGATGTAGATACACAACCTCATCAACCGATTTACCATCATTCCCTAATACCCTGAGCCTAAACTCATTATTACTTAGCCGGTGATTCCAGAACATGTGAGCAATATTTCTAAGATATCTGTGATCAAATACTATGAACGTACGAGTATCTTCTACCCTTAACGTTTTGCAACCGTAAAGTAAAACAGAATGAACTGCTGTGCAGTATACTTGTCTCCAAATGTTAGAACACCGCCATACTTATCATAGGCCAACAATCGTAGTGTTTCTTGATATCAGGGCTGCCTTCGATTCGTTGGATAAAACTGTTCTCTGAGATTGTCTATTGAAGAAGGGTGTACCTGAGAAGTTTATTGACATCTTAAAAGCCCTATATACAAACACCTCATGCAGAGTCAGATCATACAACCACTTCTCCTCATTGTTCTATTCAAACAGTGGGGTTTGACAGGGTTGTCTAATCTCACCAGTCCTCTTCAACTTTGTTGTCGACGGCGTTCTTGAAACAGCGCTGATGTGTGTAAGTAATGGCGTTGTGGATCTGTTGCCCGGAGAAAGACTTCCCTCGTTGTATACATTTCCCGACCGTTGTTGCTACCTTGATGTGGTGGTCGGGCTTGCCTATCGTGGTGAAGCGACCGAGCGATGCTGGCTGGAACAACCGTTCCTCAAGGTCCTACAACGCCAGATAGGTCGGTTGAAGAGCGGTAAGAATAAAAGCAACAAACCCAAGGTCCGAAGGCGAAGTTGTACTGCTGACTGTACAGAGATGTGACAGCAGTAAGGTGTTTCCTCCAGATAACCAGCATGATAGCGATGCTGCCTACCCACAAGGAGGGGTGGGTTTAGAAAAGGTCGACCCTAAAAATGCACAATTCTCCTTAACCCACGGATATCCATCTTCGGCGGTGACGTCTCAATAAGAAAGGAGCTAACACGAAAGTTACTCATAAAAAGGTCTTGTGTAACTGACCTCAAGCAGTTGTCCCTTGGGTACTGCGGTCACGCTCTCGGGTCACTAAGACCACCTGTAATCCAATTTCATTTTCAGGTACCTCCAGAAGAACCCTTCCACGGTTTAGGCTTATTGGAAGTGATAACCGCCCTCATACCTCAAACAGCACTCAAGACCACTCAAGCACTTATAATAAACCTCCCTCTCGACCTTGAGTATGCGGATGATATTGTCTTACTGTGAGATGATATCTAAGTCATGCAATCCGCACTTAGCCTGTTGACAATTAGTGTCCGTAGGTATAGCATGTCCTCTATGCCTTCTAAGTGCAAAGTACTTTTACAAGACTCACAGGACCCTGATCATGCACTCACCCCGGGGTAGTGAGCAGATAGAAATAGTCGGGAAGTTCGTGTATCTAGGTAGCTGCATAAGTGCTGGTGGTGGCGTGAGTGATGAGATCAATTCACATATAGTGAAAGCGAGAGCGGCTTATGCCAATCTGGGCCAACTTTGGCGCCTTCGTGATGTTAGTCTGGCTGTAAAAGGTCAGATCTACAACGCGTCGGTGAGAGCAGTTTTGCCCTATACTTGTGAGACCTGGCCTATTCGAGGTTGAGAATGTTAAACGACTCTCTGTGTTTAATCATCGCTGTCTCCGATGTATTGCTGACATCCAGTGGCAACACCATGTTAGTAATGCAGAGGTTCTGCATCGTGTGTTCAGGCACAGCAAGGATAATTCGATTGGTGTCCTCATCTTGAAACATCGACTTCGGTGGCTTGGAAATGTTCTACGAATGTCGTCCCAGAGAATTCCTCGTCGTGCATTATTTGCCGACTCTGGGACTGGTTGGAAAAAGCGGAGAGGTGGTCAGTATATGACATGGTGTCGTGGTATGAAAGAAAGCTGCAAAGGGATGGTTTGTGTTGGCCCTTCACGACTTCCTGGCTGGGGTTTTAGAGATGGTGCAACACAGTTGCTGGAGACGTTATCAGATATGGTTCAGAATAGAAGCCAGTGGCGATCCTGCTGTAACTTTATTTTACTTCATGTAAGGTGAACGTAATTTCTTTAACTAGAAGAAATCTCTCTGCCTGTACTTTTGCTAATTGAACTGTCCCATTATTATTTCACTGTCATACACTAATTTCTGTTCGTTACTGTTCCCATTTTTCCTATACACACCTTACATTCCTTATCTCATCACATTCTCATTGTTATTGTGTGACGCATGTGTATCTGGTACCCCTTTGTATCAATATTTATGTGTTCAAATAAATAAATAAAATATACTTATTGTTTAATTGATAGACGGATATCTCGCCTTCGCCATAGGTGACGTAAGTTTGCAAAAGTCAAACGAGCTTTTCGAATCTGTGCTGAGATTTCGTCAGACACCAACCCATTAGAGCTGATCGTACTTCTAAGATAAGTGAAGTTGTCGACGCGTTCATATACCTCATTCCCTATCCTTAGTTCAGGTGTTGACTCAGGCCAGTCTTGAAGCAACAACTTGCATTTAGAGAGGGAGAAACGCACCCCAAACATCTTGGCATTGTTGCTCAGTGCTACCAAAAGGCTCTGCATTTCATCAGCGTCTTCACCAAACAGGATTATGTCATCTGCGTATCCTAAGTCGATAAGTGGACCTCCTGGTGAGAGATCAATTTCCGAAAATTCTGTCGACGAGAATGTTATTTCCAGCAGTAGATCTATGATGTGGTTGGACAAAAATTGAGATAGTGGACAGCCTTGTCGGGCACCACTTGCGATTGCAAGATCAGATAACAGTTCACCATAAGCTCTGACTCACCAGTAGCGTTCGATCAAAGAGCCCTCACAAGGTTTATGTACTTCTGAGGTACACCTTCCAATGATAGACACCGCCACAGAACCTCTCGGTCTACAGAGTCAAATGCTACTTTTAAGTCGAGAAAAACTATCATTGTCGGATGCCGATAAGCATGCCTATGTTCTAAAACCTGACAAATGGTGAACATGTAGTCGATGCAGCTACGACCAGGTCTGAAGTTAATTTGGTTTCTTCGTATTTGAAGTTCACGAGTCTTTGTTAGGCGCCCGATAATTATGGAGACTAGTATTTTAGACACCATATTAGTCAAACCACTCCGTCTATGGTTACCACAGGATGATTCTGATCCCTTCTTATATATTGGGACGACCAGTGATTGCGATCAGTCAGATGGGATTACGTCCAGTTCCCAGATTTTGGCTAAATTATTAGTTAACCTAATCACTAAAACTGAGGCATTATCCTTAAAGACCTCTGGAGTTAATCTACTTGGATCAGTTGTTCTTCCTTATTTCAGATTATCTATAGCTTTTTGAACTTCTCACTTGGCAATCCTCCAAATTGTAGAAATCGATGTGTGTGTTGGATTTTATAGTACACAAAACTAGACACTTAATTTCCCTAACTATGTATAGTCGTGAGTAATAATATGATTTTCGGGCAGTTGACATTGTATCCGGAGATTGCTTTGCATTTAGTAAAACGTTTATCGTCATCCATAAGTCGATAGCTGGATTTCACATATTATCTCTTGCTTAGCTTCCCAACATATGTATTGTACTTAACCGATGGTCTTAATCATAGTTTTTTAAAATTAGAATACAATCGAAAAGTGATTACTATGCTCTGCATCTCTGAAGGCCACTGTACCAATGCAACCGTTTACTAAGGTTTTCGGTCGGATTTTCTTTTCCAAATATTACTAACATCTTTTGCATGGAGTCTAAGGATCGAATTGCAAAAGAAAAGTAGCTGTTATTACTATTTGGGATGTAGGTACAAAATATGCTTACAATATACTCTAGTTTCTACTGACAACATCGTTGATTTTCCTACTTTTATTGTAATTAGACAAGCATTTTCATAAACTGTATACTAAAATATCTAATGATTTGAGCTTTGCTCTACCCTTGATTGTGAAATCCAGGTAGTTTGACTATCTTATAGGAAACCGAGTACAGAAGTCTATGTATTCACTAGTATACGTGGTACTTATTCATAATGTCATAAAAGTTGTCGGTCATCAATTTGTCAATTTGTTTTGGATTTTATTCATGTAAAAGGGTTGAATCTTACTGTAATAAACTAAAGTCCTCTAATGGAGTGGTGACTCTGTAGTTAAAGCACTCTTTATTCAACTAGTGGAGTTCTAATTCGAATCCCTCTTTATCTACTTCAGTTTGGGGCAGTCGAACTGTTGCTTAAAACAAAGTATGTGAACTTGTACAAAGAAAATTGATTGATAATTCCTAAACCTATTTCTCGAACTTTAACTTGAGATTAATATTCACTACAGCCTAATACCAACTATATAATCATCAAAGTATTAGACACAGAAAACGTATTTTGTCCTGGTTGATTACTGAAAATTAAACACCATTGCTCTCAAAAGAAATCAAGTTTTTTGAACTCTTAAGGACTATAAAATCATTGATCCACTTACCTTGGTTCAATTAACCATCATTCAATGCCATTAATAGTAAATTACCTTACATTAAATTTTACTGGCTTCACTGACCAAAAATCCATTTTGGATGTTGTCACTGATAGCCACCACGCTTTCATTTAATAAAAGGGTTCCCTAGGAAAATCGTTTCAGTTTGGTCAAGCTAACAGTGTTACAGCCCTTACACAAACCATGATTTGAAATATAAAATGCAAATAGTTTGCTCCGGAAACTCACAGGCTTTTCGTAATTACAAACAAGCTTACTGTGAATTATATCACTGATATTTTTTGGCTTAATTTTATTATTTGCCTTATTCAACAGCTTGTCTCACCTGAAAGTCCTGACTTGTTTGGTCGCTTCCTTAAATTTTCCGTCAGCGTTAAATCATAAGGTGTATTACGTATTTAATGCTATAGTCAGTCAGTCACAACGTAGAATCTGTACGCATGTACATTGGTTCAAGTTTCCATACTCCATTACCATTGAGGTGAATTTGTCAGTCCAAATCCTGGAATAGTATAGGTAATAAAAGTATCAGTGGTAATACAGAAGATTAGGCATCAAAGATATGACGCGGAAAGAAAATATAAATTAACAAAGTAAAAACCAAAAAACGCTATGAGGAATTTAAAATCTCAGGATTTAGGGGAATACAAAGAATGGATGCACCTGCGCCATTGCAAACAGTTTTGAGCTATGCCATTCAAATCTCTAACTATTTGTTACGATAACTACTCTGATCCCAACCAGGTAGTCTGTACCCATGAAAATAACTAAGTCCAATTGTCAGTGACTTCGTGGACAAACTCTATGTTTTGGTTTGTGTTATAATTCTCTCGCTCTTACGGTTTTAACCCAGCTATTCCTATTGCTTAGTATTCACGGACACAGATTCACTCGACAAAGCCCCAAATCAGAACATGGTTGAACAGGAAAGAGATTATATTCCAAATAACAAGGTTAGATGGAAGAAAGAAGCACAAAAGAAAAACCGTTAGTATATTTATAGTTTTTACATAAGAAGATTCTAGAGTCCTCTCCATGTATAGACTAGCGCTGATTGGATAAGAATTAGCCAATCAGCGTGCGCCAAAACCATCGTGCATTGATCATGCTTAAATCCAATCTATGTCCCGCTAACAGTTTGGCCGCCCCTAGCTTCAACCTGCTCCTGCACCAAAAAACATCGCTTGACCTAATATGATGGATTTCTTGTGTTCCAGTTAACGTTACAGATGAGATGACACTCAGCCACTCATTTGGAACATTTTTTGCTTCAATAATGTTGATAGGTTTTCAGATAGTAAACTAATCACTAATAGAACCTTTATTAGGTTTATCCACTGAAGACTAATTAAATTCACTATCTGTTCAGTACTATATGTATACAAATATGCAAGATATAAGGCGTTTACTGCCAGAATATTCAACAATAAGTGATATTTACACAATGTTGTACGATTCCCTGTTTATGGTTGGAATTCATGGTTATTTCTTCCGTGAACTATTAAACTAAGCTACTAATCTATTTTCTGTTGACATCAGCTGATTTGTTTTTTATAATTGTTTCAGGTATGGCCCGAATAATTCGTGTCTTCTATCCAGTGGTCTGAATAGTGTTGAGAAGAGTCATTCATCTCATGATTCTTTATTTAAAAGTCAGCGTGACTATGAAAGACATTTAGTTGGGTTTCATCTTCTAAAACATCCTGTGTACAAACATCTGGATGTAAAATCTCCGCTTCCAATACCTCCCATTTCTTTCCACTATAATGGTAAATTTGTTTCATGAACTGTAAATGTTATTTCAAGGTTCTTTATTTATTCCTTCTTTGTTTTATTCTCAAAAAAATGATTATATTTTTAAAACCACTTCGTCAGGTTTACAATGAAGACCAGTTAATGGGTTTCTAATTAAGAGTAATACAGTACGCTTATAACGAACATCATTCATTTAGTAATATAAATATACATTCAACTAGACGACCTCTATTTATGAAGTTATCTCAAATATTCTAGCTTTCAGAATACGGTTAACTAAATAATGCTGCTTTTATACAATCCAGGGTTGATAGTTTCGTGCACACAGGAAGCAACTTTCATCTAATAATTCAGCAACCATTAGTTCTTAGTAAATTTTATCTTGTCTCTTATAAACTATTACGTAAACCAGAAGTTTGGTTTATAAACGTTTTTTTTATGTTTATAATTTGTGTTCAAACTCATGTAAGTGTAAGCCTTTTGCTCATTTCACTTACAAATCTCAATGAGCTATCTTGTACTTTTTAGATTAATTTGTTCTAATATTTAATATTTTTCCAATCGAAATTATGTTGATCAATTTATCGTACGTTTAGTAATTTCATGTCAGTATACGTCTATTCAATGATTTCTACAAATTTCTAGAACATAATCTCAGATAAGTTTTACAATAGGATGACTTTTCTGGTAAAACCACTAGGTAAAAAGTTATGACAATTCAAATTTAAACATTTAAAACTAACAGTGACAGTTCATCAGATATAAGCAATAATAGAAAAATCAACCGAAACGGTAGATGATCTTTTAATGTCAAAACAAAGGATATTCAATTTAACCCAGATACAGATGATAACAGCAAAATTTTCAGAAAACTTTCAGAAATAAATGAGACAATCAAAGGTTGAATAAATCATGTAGTGATTACCATATCTCACTATCCATTCGATGAGAAACCAACTTTACAATTCTGAAATTATCATGTGTTAGCTTAATTTACCTGTTAGGTTTCACTGAAAACCATATCTAGACTGATATTAAAACTTTGCACATATTGAAAATTAGGTTAGTAGTATTGTAACAGCAAGAAACCCCGTATCTACCACTGTATATATAATCTGTTTAAAGGGCATTTTAAATGGCTAATAGTATAAGCAATCAATGCGTTGGCGTTTTGACTACTTTAATATATTTCTTTCTCTTCTGTATCAGAGAAACCATCACGCAAATGGAGTGTATACCAATCAGTTGTGAACTTACCAGCTGTTTTAAATGATCCGAATTATCGTGAGGTAAATTTTTCAAATAGTTGTTCAAAAAATTGGGATTTGTATTAAATTCTATTGGTTTTATTGATTTTCCAATTACTCGTGAGAGTTGAATTAAGTACAATTTATGGTGTAATTTTTTCAGGTCACCTTCACTGTTGGTTAATAAGATTTGTTCAGAGAAATGACCGATCGGTATAGTTTATTTCTTTAAGCTTCACAAAATGTGCATCATTTGAAATAATCACATCACAGAAAATATATGCAAAGTATAATGCTAATCAGAAAAAGGGTAACTACTGTCTAAAGTAAATTTTAAATGTTTTCAATTCCTTTTGGGAAATGATGAAAAGATTTGTAGCTCATATGAATACTTTCAGTGCTGTTGAGTTGTCTGAGCTAGATGTTTTGATTGCGGACCATTCACTGTTGATCCGAACAACATCAAGGGCTACTTCATTTAGAAGTGAGCTTCTTATTTATTCCACAGGTGTGGAATCAGTTCGTTATGATGGTCTTATTTGCGACTGGTTATCTCCGTAGGTTTCGTTGTCTTCATTTGTCCATGTATTTCCGTCGGCTGTCTTGTTTGGTCAACCTCTGACCATGTTGTTGATTTAAGTTTGTCGTATGGATTGATAATTCGGATCTGTATCTATGTATCTGTCGACTTCCAATTGATCTGGATCGCATACGTGTAGAAAGCCACTGGGATCCTCATAATCCTTTCAATCCTAAATTTCAATGTCTTCGAAGTCGAATTCATTTATTTTATTTTAACACATAAACATTAGTACAAAGGGGCACCAAGTACAGGTGCGCCACACAATAACAATGAGACTGCAGAAACAGAGAACGTAAAGTGTGTATAATAAAAAGAAGGATAACGGACAAAAATTAGTGCATGAGAGTGAAATAATAATAATAGTAATAAAGGGAGAAACAGTTCAGTTAGGAAAAATTCAACCAGAAAGAAGTTACGTTCACTTTTATGAAGAAAGTTACAGCGGGGTCGCCACTATGTTGCACCATCTCTATGACGCCAACCATAGAGTCATGAGGGACCAACAAAAACCAGTCCTGTACAGCTTTCTTTCATATCACGACACTGTCATACACTGACCACCTCTCCGCTTTTTCCAACCGGTTATTATTATTATTTGAACACATATATATTGGTACAGGGGGGAACCAAATATATATGCGCCACACAAAATAATGAGAATTTGAAGAGAAGGGAAAAAAGCTAAGGAACGTAGGGAATTATAAAAAAAGAACAATCATGGGGGAAACGAAAAGGTAAAATCAGAAGAAATCTTTCAGTTAAGGAAAAAGCAACCGCTTTTTACGAAGAAAGTAAAAGAAGGTTACAGCAGGATCGCCACTGGCTTCTATTCTGAACCATATCTGATAACGTCTCCAGCAACTGTGTTGCACCATCTCTAAAACCCCAGCCAGGAAGTCGTGAAGGGCCAACACAAACCATCCCTTTGCAGCTTTCTTTCATACCACGACACCATGTCATATACTGACCACCTCTCCGCTTTTTCCAACCAGTCCCAGAGTCGGCAAATAATGCACGACGAGGAATTCTCTGGGACGACATTCGTAGAACATTTCCAAGCCACCGAAGTCGATGTTTCAAGATGAGGACACCAATCGAATTATCCTTGCTGTGCCTGAACACACGATGCAGAACCTCTGCATTACTAACATGGTGTTGCCACTGGATGTCAGCAATACATCGGAGACAGCGATGATTAAACACAGAGAGTCGTTTAACATTCTCAACCTCGAATAGGCCAGGTCTCACAAGTATAGGGCAAAACTGCTCTCACCGACGCGTTGTAGATCTGACCTTTTACAGCCAGACTAACATCACGAAGGCGCCAAAGTTGGCCCAGATTGGCATAAGCCGCTCTCGCTTTCACTATATGTGAATTGATCTCATCACTCACGCCACCACCAGCACTTATGCAGCTACCTAGATAAACGAACTTCCCGACTATTTCTATCTGCTCACTACCCCGGGGTGAGTGCATGATCAGGGTCCTGTGAGTCTTGTAAAAGTACTTTGCACTTAGAAGGCATAGAGGACATGCTATACCTACGGACACTAATTGTCAACAGGCTAAGTGCGGATTGCATGACTTAGATATCATCTCACAGTAAGACAATATCATCCGCATACTCAAGGTCGAGTAGTCTTTCTCCAGGCAACAGATCCACAACGCCATTACTTACATTCTTCAGAGCTGTTTCGAGAATGTCATCGATGGCAAAGTTGAAGGATACTGGTGAGATTAGACAACCCTGTCAAACCCCACTGTTTGAATAGAACAATGAGGAGAAGTGGTTGTATGATCTGACTCTGCATGAGGTGTTTGTATATAGGGCTTTTAAGATGTTAATAAACTTCTCAGGCACACCCTTCTTCAATAGACAATCTCAGAGAACAGTTTTATCCAACGAATCGAAGGCAGCCCTGATATCAAGAAACACTACGATTGTTGGCCTATGATAAGCAGGGGGTTTTCTAAAATTTGGCGGAGGTTGGAGATATGATCAATACATCCTCGACCAGAACGAAACCCAGCCTGCTCCTCGCGAATCAATCTTTCTCGGGTTTTGAACAACCTACGAAGTTTAACGGAAGCCAATAGCTTGGACGCAATCGGAAGTAGACTTATCCTCCGATAGTTGTTACAGGAACGACGTGAAATCTTTTTAAAGATAGGAACAACTATCGACTGATTCCATAACGTTGGTACACTCTCTAGTTCCCAGACCTTTGTAAACAACGTCGCCAGTCCCTTAGTCAGTTGAACTGCCCTGCGAAAAATTCTGCCCATCGTCCAAGACGTCGATGGATGTTAGTGATTGGCGTTCCGTCATCCTCGCAGATTGTTTCGGTCACACCAGACTTCTTGTTGCCAGTGGCTCGGATGAATTGTAAGAGCTTCCGGTAATTACTAGATGCAGCTGCCGCTTCCAGCTCATTAGCACGCTCCGACCTCCGGGCTTCTCGGTCCTTACGCAAACTTTGCCCAATTTTAGTATGTAACATCCTTCGTTTGTGGTCAAACTCACGGTCACCTGGAGTAGACTGACGGGCTTCAATGAGTTGTAAGAAACCAGAAGAAACACAGTGCTTATAAGCGGGACGTTTCGCGAACCCACAGCAGACTGTACCCGCCATTTTCATGGCGTCATGCAATTGCAACCAATGTTTATCTATACTTTTTGGTGGAATGGTAGCTAGCCTACAAGCTAGCTCGGTTCGGTACTTACTAGCAACAGAAGTTGCAACCAGCTTGCTAATATCAATCCTTTGGTGGCGGTCACTTCGTTGTCCACTGAAAAGTAAGGTAAGATTGGCGCAGACCAGAGCATGATCAGATTCCAGATAGGTACTCCAAAAGGAGCGGCAGTCTTGTACACAACCATGCCAGCGGTAGCTGATCGCGATGTGATCAATCTTTATCCAGGCTTGAGATGCAGAAGGAGGACGCCGGGTGACACATTGGCGATGACTGTGCCGAAAGTTAGTGCCAGCCAGAAACAGGTTGTGGTCTGTTCACAGTTGCAGTAGACGGTCCCCGTTATCTGACCTGCGACCAACGAGTCCCCATCGGCCACCTAAACGACTCGCTTCTGTGCCTAGACGCTTGACCTGAGCATTCAAGTCTCCGGCTAGTACTACAATATCTGTCGAACGCACTTTCTGGAGAAGAACAGTTAACTGGTGGTAGAATTCATCCTTGATTGCATCCGGGCTGCAATCTGTCGGGGCATAGGCGGAGATGACGAAAAGACATCGTTTCTTACGCCAATTTCTTCTCACTTTGATGGTGCTTTCTAATATAACAGCACATAACCGACTGTTAATAAGGATCCGATCGATTAGTGCTGCTTCAGCTCTAGCGCTTAGTGCGACACCAACGCCAGCAAGACCAGACGAAGATGCCACAGGGTCCCCGGATAAGCGCACATAAAACAAGCTTTTTGAAGCGACAGATGGAGAGCGAACTTGTAGTACTTCACTAGAGTCTTGAATACGGGTCTCGGATAGACAACAAACGTCGATATTAAGACTTTCCAAAGACATAGCCAGCCCTATCTGTTGTTCGACCTGCATAAGTGTGTGGACGTTGAAGGCAGCCAGTTTGAATGGTGCACGTGGTTTCAGAAAAACTGCTTCAGTATTCGTATTCGGTGGTAGCACACAATTTTCAACCAGGCAGTGACTCGAGAACGTTTAGATAGAGCCGAATGTCCACCATAGGCGAGCTGCTGTATAAGTCGAAAAATAAGGATAGACTGAGTGGGAATGAATAAACGACGTGGTAAATAATAATAATAATGTGAATTGTTTGACAGTAAATCGCAGCGAGAATATAGTTTTCAGTGAATATCATCATTGTCATTAAATTTGTGTTTTGGCTGAGATGCTGCCCGGGTGCCCAGACCGAAGCAGGTGGTTTTCTTGGGGGGCCACACCCCTAGCCTTCGACCTAAAGGTCTAACCAATAAGGCAGTGGAGCATCGTGAGGAGATGCAGTCCCATGGAAGCCAGTGACCAAGAAATTGGTTCATACGCCATTTGTTCCCGCAGGATACTGGAGCCCATGTACACCATTGATTTGGGATCTGATTAAAGCGCCGGACATTTGCTTTTCGTCCTCTCATTTTCGTAAACAACAGTAGTGCCACGAGAAGGCAGTGAGTAGGACTTCCCTGGCAGAGGCTGTATACGCGTGGCCATGTGAGAGTATTTCGAGAGGGAGGGCGAACCCACCCAACTCTCGGTTACACCAGGGCATTTGGGGGGCCGGTCCGAGTGTCGGTAAATAATGCAGGGTCCTGTCGGCTTTATAAAAGTACTTTGCACTTGGAAGATACGAAGCACATGCCATACGTACGGAAACTGATTGCCAACTGGCTGAGTGCGGATTGCATGGCTTGGGTATCATCTCACAGTAAGGCAATATCATCCTCATATTCAGGGTCGAGAAGTCTTTCTCCAGGCAACAGATCCGCACCACCATTACCGGCGGTTACCAGATGCAGCTACTGCTTCCAACTCGTTGTCATGCTCCGACCACCAGGCTTCTCGGTCGTTTCACAAGCTTTGCACAATTTTACCACATAAAAGTCTTCGTCTGTGGTCAAATTCGTTGTCACTGGGAGTAGACCGACGAGCTTCAATGAGTTGTAAGGAGTCTGAAGAAACATAGTGCCCATAAGTGGTATGTTTCGCGAAGCGTCAGGCGACTTTACTCTCCATTTTCATGGTGTCATGCAATTGCAACCACTGCTTGTCTATACATTTCGGTGGGCTAGTAGCTAGCCTTGAACCTTGCTCAGTTTGATATTTAGTTGCAACAGCAGCTGCAACCGATTTGCTGAGATCGATCCGTTTCGGACGATGAATTTGTTGGCCAGTGGAACGTAAGGTAAGATTATCGCAAAGAAGGGCATGATTAGAGTTGAGATAGTTAGTCCAAAAAGGAGCAGTAGTGTTGTACACAACCACGTCAGTGGTATCTGATGGCGGTGTGATCAATCTGAGTCCAGGTTTGTGATGCAGAGGTGGGATGCCAGGTAGCAGATCGGCGATTGATGTGTCAGTAGTGAGCGTTAGCCAGAAACAGATTGTAGTCTGAGCACAGCTGCAGTAGACAGTCACGGCTATCCAACCTGTGATTAACAAGTCCCCATCGGCCATGCAAACGGTTCTCTTCCGTGCCTAGATGCCCTACCTGAGCATTCAGTTTTCCGGCTAGTACTACAGTGTCTGTTGAACACACTTTCTGGAGAACACTGGACCAGTGAAAGGACTCATCCTTGATTATATCCGGCCTGCAATCTTTTGATCTGTAGGCGATAACGAAATGGCATCGTTTCTCAAACTGATTTCTTTTCAATTTGATGGAACTTTCTAATCTAACAGTACATAATCGATTTTTAATGGGGATCTAACCAATTAGTGTTGCATCAGCTCTAGTGCTTTGAGCAATATCAACACCAGCGAAACCGAACGAAAATGCGACAAGGTTCTAGGACAAATGCATGTAAAACAGGCTTTTTAAGGCGATATTTATTTATTTAAACACATAAACATTGATACACGGAGGCACCAGATAGATATGCGCCACGTAAATCATTCGATTAGTGTGAGGTCTGTTATACTACTCGGGTGCCCAAACCGAAGCAGGTTTTAAGGCGATAGATGGAGAGAGAATTTGTAGTACTTCACTAGAGTCTTAAGTACGGGTCTCGGATAGACAACAGACGTTGATATTAAGATTTTTTAAAGACATAGGTAACCCTATTTGTCGTTTGATATGCATTAATGTGCGAACGTTGAAGGAGACCAGTTTGAATAGTACACGTGGTTTCAGAAAGACTGTTTCAGTATTCGTAGTCTGTTGTAGCATTCAATTTTCTATCAGCCAGTGACTTGAGATTGTTCAGATAGGACTGGGTTTCTACCACAGGCGGACTACTGTATAAGTTGAAAAGTAAAATACGCAAAATGAGAATAAAGGGGAGTACATAGGTGACGTAGTGTAAAAGAAATAAAAAGAATTATTGTCGTATAATCGTGAATGAGATTTGTCTGAGCAAGCGTTGAAGCAAGATAAGTTTGATTTGTGTGAGGGAGGTGATATTGCCCATTTTTTATAATGGTGATTCTTGCGGCCGAAAACCATCTGGCACTTTAAATTTGGTGCTTTTATAATCCATTTCCAGTTGTTCTCCGTAATAGTTTACTCTTCGTTGAACAGATCTTGTAAGACTTTGAACCTGTTGCTGATAGCTCTCTTGTATCCTCTGGGTTTGTAATTATCTCGAGGGAATGCTATATTGAACATTTGTAATACTGTTTCTCCAGTGCTTTTTAAGCTTCAGTTTTATCTTGACCATAACCAGGTGGTGACCTGAAGCGATGTCAGCTACTCTTTTTTTCCATGTCTTCTATTGAATACAAAACCTTTGAGTGATGCAAATGTGATCGATCTTCTTCTATGTAGTGTTATCCTGTCAGACTCATGTAGTATTGTGTATGCGTACCTACAAACCAAATTAACTTTCGAAAAATCCATTTCTTAGTATCATTTATTGCTTGAACTTAATTTTATTATTTATTTCTCTGATGAGCATTTATCACATGATATACATTCTAAACTCCATAAAATGTGTTTTCCACACTATTCGCCTGCTTATATATATTCAACTTTAAATATAACATGAGCAAAGTGGTTTGTGAAAAATTATTTCATATGGGTATATCTTTTTTTTTACTTTATTTAAAAAAAAAAATGAACAAATTCTAATTGCTTACCGTTCTTTTATGTCTAAGTGCATGTTTTTCAGAGAGCTTAAACAAAAATTACTAGAAACAGTTTGTTTTGAATGAAATCTACTATCTATGAACCTAGGCGCTAATCTAAAACTACACGTTCAGTGAGACTAGGCTTTCAATTATTTTCATTCCGTGTAAAGATTCTTTTTTTAGTCATTCTTTGTTTTCTTAATCATAAACGATTTAGAATGTGTCAGTTCAAGCTCCCGTGCTTCATGGCAGTTAACACAGCTGGGAATGCGACAAAGTTATGCAGTTTGAGATCCTACGGAGGTATTGATACACTTCATTGATGAGCACCGACTGTAGTCTAAAAAGTGATATCAATGTTAATCTTGATCTATACTTATTAAAAGTACTTCAGAATGAAAGAATATAGTTAGCTGGTAAAAAGTATGTAATAATGCTCAGCTGAGTCATTAGAGAAAGACTCTAGATAAGTAGTTTATTCGACTACGAATGTTTATTTATGAAGCTACCTGTAGTGTAATTTGTCGTAAAGTGTTAACTCTCCACATACTTTCTTTTGGTGAACTTCTTGATTGCATATTTGACGAATTGGAATTTTTCAGACAATATATACTGTTTATTTGTGCCTTTAACTCTTTAGTTAGATAATTGGTTGTCAGTACATAAAATGGTCAATCAAGTCTCGTTTCATGTTGTTGTGTAGTAGACGCAAACTGAGGTGCGATAAACCAATTTATTGTTCTATTCACAAACACATGGTGCCTTCGTAAAATATAAGTCATACATTAAATATGTCATTTTCACATCTTCTTTGAGTTATCCTTTACTTATTTCATTTTTCCGATTCTGTTGTTATATACTGTATAGAAGAAATATTTTACTAGTTATCTATTTTAAATTATACATAATTACCGGTTAAGTTATTTCTAGTTTCTAAACATCTGTCATTTTTATTCTATAATTACCAGAAAGATATATTTACGAAATTATGGGGCGATAAATTTGAAAATGCTGAAGTTCTACCCAGTCCACATTTACCAGTAATTACAGAGAAGCATTTTATAGAATATTTAAACAAAATTGGGGTTCGTAAACTCGATACAGAGTCGTGTAGATCATCGCCCAATTGTAAAATTAATTCGTCTAATTCAATCACTGATATTTCTCCATCAGTGAAATTATCCAATAAAGGTGTGTAATTTTTTGTACAATAAATATTTCTGGTATACTCACTGAAAGTTGTTTAATTACGAATAAATTAAATAAATTTTATCTACTCCTTGTTCTTATCACGGAGTCACGTGTTATTTTATGATTTACTGAGTGAATTGTGATTCTGTGAATGCTACTATTGTACGACATATTTACTGTCGAAGTATCAACATGTATTCTCAATCCATTTGAAAATGAGTATCGAAACGATGATTATTCACATTTACAGTAATTATGCACATTTCTCCGACCGAATTTTTCAAAAGTCAACTCTCCACATTATTCCCACCCATCTATTTCTTGTGTAAGTGCAAACATCATAGTTGTCATATACTGTGTCGATGAAGCTAATGAATTTAGTAGGCCAGGTGATATAATTTTCGTGAGAACTTCTTGAGTAGTTACTGTTATGTAATATAATCCTGTGGACTATAGAATGTTATTTGAAGGTATGCGATAATGTTAGGTTTAACAATGACAAGTTGCTTGTCGAGTAACTTGGTTTTTAAACTTTCTGCAACAAATTTCATTTTGATCTAAGCTAGACCACTAATAAAAACCTAGAAGCACTGGACGACCGTTTCGTCATATTATAAGGCTCCTCATCGGTGTTCATTTACCATTCCTCACGCGAGATCAGGTTGCGAAAGATCATTGGTCGGTTGAAGTTAAACATTAACACCGTTGGATGCTGACTCAATGGTCTAGACCGAAGGTCCTGAGTTCGAGTCACGCCTGCAGGATCGTGAATGTGCACTGCTAGAGTCATATACTAGGACGAAACGGCCATTCAGTGCTTCCAGGTTTTCAGTGGTGGTATAGCTTAGATCGACTCGTGATTTCAGCTGTAAAAATGCTACATTCTACACAAGTCCTCATACTGATCATAATCATGTACACACCAGTGACTAACTTCAAGATGTAACTCCTGGAGTTCTAATGAGAAGCAGTGGTCGATGGAGTCCAATCCATGTTGAGTGTGCGAAAGTTATCGACCCCATTCAATGAATGAAGGGTTGCGCAAGATCAAGGATTTATTACATTAACAATTTTGTTGTTTGTTCTTTAAAAACTACGAATTAAAAATTTTCTGTGCATTTTTTAATAATTTGATTTTTCTTATGTGTTAGTTTTAAAACATGAACCATCGCATGATATATCAACGACTTCGATTCCCGCTTTATACTTTGATCAAAATTTCAGTTTGAAAGATGAAACGACATTTTGTCAAGTTATACCTTTACACGCACGTCGTTCTCACTTTCAAAATGTTCGAAATCCATTTGAAAATATCGTTCGCCCATCAAGTAAACCAGATTCTGTAAATATTTCAAATCGATTAAACTATCCCAATGAAGAATTCCTGCAAAAAGAAGCTTTCCGTAATCAACATAATCAATTGGTTAATTATTTGGATATTATTGAGTTAAATATAGTTGAACAGGTAAGTATGTATATGTAAACTCAAATATCATAACTGCATTCGAAGCGTTGCTCGTCTATGTTGTGGCCATTGAGTTAGCAATGCATGGTACCAGATAAAGATTAATGAGGTGGTGAATATTCATCGTATACCCATTCACCGACGTGCAATGATGGCTGATGTAGGATTAGGTTGAAAGAAAGCCTGGGCTAACCAAACTCAGAAGTGGCACCGACTCTTGAAGAAACCGACCGTCGAATTGAGCCGTGTTTGTAGGTCCCCCAAATGTCCTGGTACAGCCGAGAGTGGGGAGAGTCAGCTCTCCCCCACGGAATGCTCTCACACGGCCACGTGCATACAGCCACTATCAGGGAAGTCTTACTCATTACCTTCTCGCGGCGAGAGTGTTGTTTACGAAATTGGGAGGACGAAAAGCGAATGTCCGGCGCTTAAACCGGGTTGATGGATATAGAGGATCCACCTAAGGGAGTTGGCAAACCCTGATTCCGAATAAATGGTGCACATGGGCTCCAGTATCCTGACTGAATAACTGGCGTATGAACCAACTATTGGTCATCGGTTACCATGGGACTTCATCTCCTGACGTTTCTCCATTGCCTTGTGGATTAGACCTTTAAGTCGAAGGCCTCTTAAGAAAACCACCCGTTTCCGTTTAGGCACCCGCACAGTATCACGGCCCACACACAAATCAAGTGGCTTGTGTGATGCATATGCATTCGATGCCCCTTTGTACCAATACTTACGTGTTCAAATAAATAAATATAAAATCTGTACGAGTGTATTTATTGTTCCATTCTTTTAATACTCTGTATTGGTTATGAAGGAATATACTAGTATTATTTATTTTATTCTATTCTAATTTTTAGGTTTCCAGAAAATCTTCAACATTCTTTGAAGCTATCCAGTGTCATGATGTGATACGTGAAGATTTAAATCAAGCTATTCGTCAAATTAAAGATTTTCGGTTAGTTTATGCAGTAAATTTCATATCAATGTAAATACTAAAAGCAGATAGCACAATAGTTTCAGAATAAGTTTATTGAAATTATGCAGATCCATAAAACATGATTACATTCAGGTAAAATAAATAAGAGCATAAAAACCTTATTTTTATTAATGAAATCAATAATAATAATAATCCTTCGAAAATTCCACTCAATTGGTTTCTTTACTCTCACAACCATCTGTTCCCCTTTTATCTTCTGCTCTATAGATCTTTTACCCTCAATCGATTTCTATTTTTATGATGCTCTCGACTACATTTTAGCACAATTCCAACATTTTATCTTATCACGCTGAGCATTTCCTTTCCAATAATAATTCTTTATCTACACAGTGAATATTTAAGCTCTCAACAATAACATTATTTTAAATAAAGTTAAGAAACCACTGAGACAGAATAAGATAAATTCATTACTACGTCGTTTCTCATCAGCTGCTTACAGTTATATATGTATTGAACTATAACATTGAGGTATGATATAATGTGGAAAAATTGACATTGATAATGGTATGTCAACAGTGATTATATATATATAGGAATAGGTATGAGGTAATTTGGACAGTTCAAAATGCATAAGAGGGCGACGGGTGAAGCAGTAATTTAATGAAGTCCGATAATAGAGAAGATTCTATCTAATGTGATAATTATAGAGGTTGTAAAGTGTTTGCATAAGATTACTGGAATTAGAAATTGATGATTGAAGAGGATTTAAAGAGAAATAAATAAATGAAGGAATGATTTTGGTGTACATGAAATAAGAATTAGTTTAGCGAAGACCACATAGTAAAATAAACACTAATAAGATATTTCACTGGTTGAAATCATGAATCCATTGAAGCTAGACCACCATGATTTCAACCAGTGAAATTTCTAAAATCTCCACACAATCCCTTCTGATACTAATAAGATAATCATAATAATGACAATAACAAAAAAAAATAATTTACTGCTTCGGCAAACCGGAGAGATGCTGTGTTTTTTGTTTGCTAATAATTTTGAAGGATTGTGAAATGTCAATAGTATACCTGGTGTATCAATTAAATGTCTAGCTATTGCGCTGTTTGAAACGTGCTCGGAAATGCGAACATGTACTCTCCTCTTTGTTTTTCCAATATATTTGCTTTGACACGTACATGTAAATCGCTAAATACACTTGGAGGTAATGAGAAAATAGGACCTGTCAATTTGTGTTCGAATGAGTGAGAAGTTTATTTCGCCCAACGTCTTCAGTTTGCTAATGGATAAGCAATCTTCATCGTGCCATTTATTCCGTGATTAGTTGTTCCATCGGCCGTTTCTTCTTAAGGAATCCTTGTGAAGAGAAATTTTTTTGGAAGAAACGGTCGATATTAAATGAGAATATCCTGAACACCTTTCTTTGCCAATCACTGAATTCAAACAGGCTTTGTTCATGTGTATTAAAAATATACCATTTCAACTCAACGATGTGTTGTACTGGCAAATTGATGAAGTGTAGCCATAGCGAGTAAGTGAATAGATGCAAACCAATGGAGGAACATCAGAGAATTTGAATTCAGAAAAAAATCTCATTACCTACCCTCTCGTTTGTCTTACTGTTAAACTATGATACAAAACAAGGTTATTGGTTTCCTCCAAAAAGATAAACAAATCAAGAATAACAATACTTTGTTTATGCTATAAATTCACTGTATTTTGTTGCATTCACTCTTCAGTTTCAAGCTTGTGTATTTCATTATCTCCAAATACTAACATAATGTTCAATTTTTGAAAGAAGGAATTATTATTAACGAATACGTTATATTACGCAATAGTATAATCTTAAATATTCCAGAACTATTGTAGTGGACGCCAGTCACAAGATTGCTTGTGGCGGAACGTGGCGTCGAAGTTGCAATAATTAATTGTCAGACGGAGTGAAGTACATTGAAAGCACGGGGTTAGCATAACACGTTGGGACCAGACAAGTAGACTGTTCAGAATTTGAAACACACCAAAATATGTAAATGGGAAATTGAAGGCTATGCATATGTATTATATAAATACTTTGTAACTTCTCACAATAAATACACATTCCTCCTCTGTATTATCTTGTTTTACACTATCCAGCTAAACAATTATTTAATAAAATACCATTTGATATATTTAATTGTTAACGTCTTTAACGTTCTACAATGGTCTCTTCGTTGTTAATAATCCATATTTAAGAAATCGAACATTATGCTAAATGATTGAAAATAATTAAACGTTTTAGTTTGGACGTAGCTGGAAAGTGTATTTTGCTAATATTGTCGTTCTTGCTTTGTTCAAAATACAAGGTCATATATACTGGTATATATATTTTGTAGCTTTCTATGGTTGAATTTAAGAATGTTTTTTTTTGTTGTATTATATACTGAATATTATATATACCACCCAGTGATGTAAAGTTAAAGATTTTGTTAGGTTGCATATGTAGGGAGAAATCTTTGTCAGCAACTTGTGTATACGTCAGTCGATATTCAGATAACTTGGTGAAATTCAACAAATCCTCATCAATAAATACTGTACAAATTAACTTCAATTCGATCCAATTCTATGAAAATTCGAAAGTTACGACCGTTAGACGATGATTGACTTAGTGTATTACTGACATGGTGTCTATCCATAGCTTATGTTCATATTTTTTTCTTTTGTGGAGAATGTTGTCCATGAATAACTGATCTACAAGCTATTTTTCATGCATTTACCTTCAAATTCTAGATGTAAATTGCATCAAATTAATACATTTACTATAATTGACAAGATGAAATTGTTACGTATTGTTAGAAGACGAGAAAACTATCGACTGGTTGTTAATAAGGTGAGTTATTCCTTTTTAGTTTCAGAATATCATCAGGTAGTGTTGTTCAGAAAAGATTAAATATTAATAGAACAGTTAACTCGATGTATATCGCTAATTGCTAAAGCCTCAAATAGTTATTGTAAATTATGAATAACAGACATTAGTTACTGGCTAGGGACTTCTAGGTGATGTAATTTGGTGCTGACAATAGCGATTCAAAAATCGTTTTAGAAAATCAAATATCGTATCTTAGTATTATACTGGTGCTTAAACAAAGCTAGAACGAACATGAATGCAGAATAATACGAATTCATTATATTTAGTGATTTCTCATTAACTGCTTACAACCAAATATGCATTGAAATTTTACATTGAGGTAAGATATAGTGTGAAACAATTGACATAAGTGAATGTAAAGAATTGGAATGACAAAGGTTATCAATAACAAATATATATATATATATATATATATATATATATATATATATATGCAAGAACAGCTTGGAGGTCATTTAGTGTTAGGTTTATTACTGTCTCTTTTTGAATATATATATCAGGTTTGAGTTTTTTTTATTGCGATCTCTTCAGCAAAACGGAGAGAAGCAGTCTTTGTTTGCTAATAATTTTCCAATAATTTTGAAAACTTGAGGAATCTCAGTAGCTCCAACTGCATTTATCAATTTACATGTATGTGTCAAACCACATACATTGGAAGAACAGATAGAAGAGTACATATTCCCGTTTCCGATTATGTTCCAAAGAAATTGAGACTGCGAGGGGCAATGGCTCTTAACAGTGCAATAACTCGGCATTTACTTGACACCTGGCATACCATTCACATTCCTCATGCTGTTAAAATTATTAGCAAACAGAGAAAGACTGCTTCCTTCCGTTTTGCTGAATAGATCGCAATAAAAAACTCAAACCTGATATATATATTCAAAAAGATACAGTAATAAACCTATTGCTACCCTGGTAATTCAATTTTTTGGTCATTAGTTTTATTTTGTTAATATTTAGTTTATTATATTTCTCTTTCATTACCGAAATCTTAAACCACCTCTTCACTCATACATTTCCATTCACTTAATTCTCTTAAATTATGTGAACTCATCAAATCTTGAGCAAACCCTTCATTAGCTTTAAAATTATCACACAATTTATGTTGTCTGTCTCTGAACTTCACTTAATTTTTACATCACCCACCCCTCATGTTTTTTGATTCTAACACCAAATGACCTCCGACCTGTTCTTGCATATATATATATATATATATATATATATATATATATATATATATATTTGTTATTGATAACCTTTGTCATTCCAATTCTTTACATTCACTTATGTCAATTGTTTCCCACTATATCTTACCTCAATGTAAAATTTCAATGCATATTTGGTTGTAAGCAGTTAATGAGAAATCACTAAATATAATGAATTCGTATTATTCTGCATTCATCTTCCTTCTGGCTTTATTTAAATTAATAAAGATAACTAATTGCATAAAATTATATTGGTCTAATGTTTTCTTTTAAATCCGCTGTCCTGTATTTTTGTGTTAATAGTTCACGTTCTTTGCTCTGTTCACTTAAGTAGTGAAAAACTAAATTACTAATGATTAACAAACCAATTCAAAGACCGGATAAATAAAGTGACATATTTTCAAAAGTATTAATAAACAAATAGTATGATTGTAATAATTTTGTTTGAAGGATCGTTAACAATAGAATTGATTCAATTCACTACTTTGATTCTTTCTATTACTATTTAAAAATAAGATTGTTTTCTTTAGGACAGGAAGTATGATATCAATATATGTCAGTTTATAACCATCATTATTGTTTTGTTATTTTGTTCAATTGTGTATTGACTGTAATTACACTCTCAACATGTTTATATTTTCCACTGTTTAAATGTTTATTGATTTAATTATGACTATTTCTAGTGTTAAAATTAATTATGTTGTGAAGATTTTTGATTTTGTAATTGTAAAAAACATCCCATTTTCTATTGGTTTGTCTTACTCATTGTGAATAAATTGTGACGTTACTAAAGAGTGAATGTTAAAATAAACGTTCTCTTTTTGTAAAAATCATGTTTGACATGAGTTTCTGGATTGGACCGTCCAAGTTAACCCATCAGTTAAAAACTACTGTAGTAGTTTTACGAACATCTTGAAGAAATAAAATCTAAAGTAAAAAATCTACAGGAGAATTGTTATTTAATATGTAATAGTTTGGGTTATCCTGTGGTTTATATTTCTACTGAATTAAGATCAGTCTAAGTTGATGTGCGTTCATCCTGTGTGGATTGCTTCGATATAGCCATCATTTATCACGTTTTTATGGAACAGAAGGAATTCGTCCGGCAATGGGGCTTAGGAAGTTCGTTTCGAATCATAAGGAGCTCGTCAGTTGTATGTATTGCCACCCCAGAGTTCATGTTCACCCTGGGACGCGAACCTAGTACCTTTCCTCTTAAACATCCAAAGCGTTATTCAATTAGATATTCTAAAAAGGAGAACTAGTTACATGAAGGTTATCTACTGAAATTTTGGTCTTATATGAGAATTTAATATTGAATCCTAAAGCATTTAGATTCAACACAACTTCCGATCTTTGCTCCCTTTAGAAAAATTTCTCATTTCAATCATACTACTTACAAGCAGTTTGTTCGAAGTAACAAAACTATATTTCTTCTAAAAATAGGTTTGTTAAAATTTATGAGTCTGCTCGTAGTAAATTTATAAAAGCATTTTCGTCATCAGATACATCATTCTTGTTATTGTAATATAGTATTAATCAGTTCATATAATTTTATTACATAGTTAAAATTAATTGCGAGTCTTCAAGCTATACAACCTACTATTCAAACTCTATTGAGAAATAATGATTTTTGTGCTGCCCTGGATTTAGTTAGCACTACAAAAGAATTATTGCATTCACATTTGATGGTGAACTCAACTTCCAGTGATTTATCATCAGATAATGTGATGGACCAGCCTGGTAATAGAAATTTAACATCTAGGTTGAAGAAGAATTCAACTACATTTCTTTGTCTACGTGATTTTGATGCTCAACTAAGTGGCATTTCCAATTTCGTACATAAAATGGTCGAATCAGAATTTGACATTTCATTGTGTCGATTTTTGGATCCACCCATTGAAGAATATGGTGGATTCCATGATCCAGATGTATGTTTGATGTTCTTTTACCAAGTTAAAATATTCAATTATGCACATTGTTTTTTTGAAAATCTATTAGTTCCACACGAATTCAACAAATCTTCATGATTTTTCTTAACTGTGTTTTGATTACATTGTGTAGTTTTTAATCTAGATAATGGTCTACACTGAATTCCGAAGTAATATTACTAATTCAACTCATTTATTAAGTACAAGTTTACATTCAGCTTTAAAGTACACATTTTCTGTATGCTTATTTATGATACCCAGCCATCGATATTCAAGTAGTCGGGGCAGGGTTCAAACGTACTGCCTAATGGCTTATGCATGATTGCTCCAACCACAAATCGTCTCAAAGAGTAAATACTAGTTTCTTGATAAATCGATGTCATTTATTGGTATATATAATATGAATACTTCACATTATTTACATTTGTTTGTAAACCTCAAAACAGTTGTTAATAGCTACTTTAGTGTTATCAACCAGTTGGCCTGCGTCAACACATCAACCCGCGTTGGCAACTTCACTTATCCTGAAAGTCTGTTCAACCCTTACGAGTTGGTGTATGATCGAATCTATGCACGAATTCACAAAGTTCGTTTGGCTTTTGCCAACTTACATCGCCTATGACGAAGACGAGATATCCGTCTATAAATAAAAAGGATGAGTATACTGCCCGGCAATTCGTTCTGTTTTACCTTACGGCTGCGAAACGGGGATATTAAGAGTAGGAGATACTCGTACGTTCATAGTATTTGATCACAGATATCTTAGAAATATTGCTCGGATGTTTTGGAATCACCGGCTAAGTAATAATGAGTTTAGGCTCAGGGTATTAGGGAATGATGGTAAATCGGTTGATGAGGTTGTGTATCTACATCGACTGAGATAGTTGGGCCGTGTATTGCACATGCCCAAACACCGACTACCACGACGTGTAATGCTGACTGATGTTGGAGACGGATGGAAGAAAGTAGGAGTGGCCAAACCAAAACACGGCATCAGTCCATTAAATCACTAACTTCTAGTCTGAGCCATGTTGTTAGATGCAGACTACTTGGTTGGGGTCCGTGCGACTATATTTCCAGAACTCTCTGTTCGTACTCTGAATAATTTTTTTCTGTCTGTTCGTATAATTACTTACTAATGAAAACATAAACCTTTTCCAAAAAATTAGTGTAGGACGCAAACGTATCAAAGTTTGTTACAACCACTGAAAACAGAACTTCATCCTCTAATGGCCGAAAGATTTTAATCATCCTAAGTGTTTGCCAAAATTGGAGGTTGAAAATTAGATCTGTCATTTAATAAAGTATTATTCTAATTATTTACTTGATCTCACAACCTCTCTTCATTTAGATGAGATTTCATAAGTTTGGCTTGCAGTAGCTTGTTGGTGACTGTTTTGTGTAACATTTTTACTTCAGTTGGTCAGATACATGATTTGTTTAAGTAGCGTATTGAGATGTACCGGAACTCCACTAGTTAGCTTTATGTATAGATATGCTCTAATTATGTTTCAATTTGTTATCAAGTTGGGTTATTCAGAATAAGACAGTTTGTGTTCTACATTCTTAGAGATGTTTGATCGTAATTAATTTTCGTAACGTTTAAGCTTCTGTGTTTTGATGGATAACCTTCGATAATGAACTGAGTAGAAGTAGATTGTTATTTGTCATTGTTCTTTCTTTGCCTCAATATATTGAGTTTATCGTCCTTGTACTTATTTCTTATTCCTAAAACTTGATTATCATCTAGTTAAAGATAATTTTTTATTCTTTCAATTTATTCAACTAAGGTATACAGTTGTATTATTTAATGTACACATTCCTAAACCAGCAACTGAATAAGATGTATGAATCTCGAATTCATAATTATTGTACGCTTTTGTCGAAATCCAAAGAAACCTTAATAAATTCACAAACCTCTACTCATAAAATTTTTAAACGTTGACAACACTGTCAAAAACACGATCGAAAATCAAAGAAAATTTTTCAACGAAGTAAATATAATAAAAAAATAAAGTATTTTAGTAATGTCACTCATTTACATAATATAAGACTCATAGATTAATAAGTAGAAATCAAACTGCTTATTAGTATGACATGATACTGAAAGGAAGCGAGGATGGTTAAAAGCTAACAAATAAATGGGTTTACTAATGTTTGATCGTTTTCATTTCAGTTTATCTCATGTCTTTCGTCTGGTAATTAAAAATACAGTAATGCTTAGTTTAGATCAAACCACTCAAGTAATAGGTTTTTTCAAAGACACCTTGTTTATACTGAACTATCCATTTTAAATAGTTTAAATCATGAGTCTTAACTAGATCACCATTGAAAGCCAGGAAACACTGGACAGCTGTTTCGTCCCAGTATAGAACTCACTAGTGTGCACCATTTTCACCTTGAAATCTTCAGCATTATTGTTACATTTTTCAGTAGTCATTTCTCTTCACAGTAAATTGTGTTTGTATATAATGATTGGTTATCTGTTACTGTTTTACTCATCTCTTTTTTTAACCTTTCACCCTGGCATACCTACTTACAGATTTTATCCTGTTTTCTTGGTTTAATACGAATTAATCGGTTGGATTTTGTGAGTGGTTTTCATGCAGAAATGCTCAAAAGAGTTAAAGATATATTCTGTCAACATATCACTTCAGTTACACGACCTCCAGGAAATGATAGTGTTACAGAGTAAGTTATTGCTCTCTTTTCTTGCTTCCTTCGATATCACATAGCAAATAAAATCCTAAGTATTTTATTTTACATGGATCAATACTTGTTTAGATTGAGAAAATTAATATTTTAGGATGTTTGTGTACCTTAGATGGTGGTTGGAGTTAGTCGACAGAAAACCCTGGACTCGGGTTTCGTGCTACTTGGTACTCGTCAGCAAAATGTACCTGTAATCTTAAGGAAACTGGTGCTCCCTGACGGATTCGAGTCACTTAGACTGGTGGCCACATTGCAACATGGTCGATAGCATTCGATCTGTACTAATGAGGACTAGACACGCATGACATTGATCACCACCCAGTGATCAATCAATTATGTTTGTGTACCTTGCCATAATCTCATTAAGGTAGGTATCTTTTATGCACTTGTGAAATTCCAGCCTTATTCAAATTAATAACACTTATTGAGATTGGTACTTGAACTAAATTATTTTCACTTATTTTTACCAAATCATTAACATTGCTCATTACCAAATTAGTATTCTGGCATATTAAGCAGAAAACCATTCATCTTAAGTATATTATTCGTCTGCTTGTTCTCCTGTGGTACTCGTTTTAATTTCGAGTATGTGTTAAACTGAACTTGAAATTTATTGTTTAACAGATTCATTGTTAGATACCATATGTTTTAAGCAAAATGATTGAATGTAACACCAAATTTCTTGGTTTCTTTATGACCAATTATTCTTTTATACTTTCTTCGTCTTTTTAATCAGGTCTTCTACAACAATAGGACCTAATACAACTAAATTATCTACTTCTGATCAACTACGTAATATGCCATGTGAAAATTGGATGACATTTTTAGTTAATCTATGCAATGACATAAAATATTTACTAATTCGTGGACAGGTGAGAGGTTAATTCACATATATTTTGTTTATAATGATTGCATAATTTTCTTGAACTTGTAGACAAACTATACGAGTGAATTGCCAAAATGGTATATCAACCTACTGAAATCTCTACTCGGATTTTGTTGATCAAATCAGAGCTTATGGAAAATAGTCATTTAAACTGGCTACTTCACATAGCATTCGTCAACGCTGCTCGGATTTGTTTAGTTTTGGCATAGACATATTTCTAGCGGCTAAACACCGCCTATATCAATTTAGAGCACATAAATGGTATATTTATCTTAAGCAAACAGATTCATAGAATATATAATCTTTTAAATGCCTTTGGGGTATGTTTCTGTTCTTTCAGATAAAAACTGTAACATCAGGTCTAATCTGTATGAACGCGCGATATAACCGTAAGAAATAGAGTAAGCGAGGTCACCAAATACCTCAATCGTCTTAGAAATATCATCAGCTGCAGATGGTTCATATATCCGTTGAGGTATCGATCTGAATCTAAAAAGTTTGGATATGTTTTACCAACCTGGGCCACATTGTACTACTATGATTCATGGGTTACTCATGACTGACCAGCATGTACCTTTATTATGTATATTTGAAAAATGCTAATTGCTGTCAAACTGTTATACCACTCATGAAGTCATCGACTGTTGAGCTGAAATGTGCTGGGGAGTGCAGAATTCCTTGTTAAGGTTTCATGAAGTAGAAAAACTTCTGGAACTACTTAATGATGACCAAAGATAATATCCAACATAAAATCAATAAAAATGTCATGTTTATTTCCCTCAAACACTGATAATCTCTATTCAATACATAACCACTAGAGTTCTTTTATTTTTTTATCTCATTCTGATTTTCTTTCTGTAATTGTAATAATTTTACTTAGCAAAATTAGTTTTTAACCACCAGCAACTATTTTGTATCATGAAATAATTATGAACGTAAAAATAATTTATCACTATTGTAATGGACGCTACACACAAGATTGCTTTTAAGCAGTATGTGGTGAACGTGGCCTCAAAATTATCACAGTCGTTAGACGGAGTGAAGAGTTTATGTATATAGAAAGCACAGTGTAGGTAGAACACTTGGTGATCAGACGATAAGATAGTATATTTATTTATTTATTTTAACACATAGATATTGGTACAAGGAGGCACCAAATATGCATGCGCCATACAAATCTCAATTGTTATGTGTGAGGGCTGTGATACTGCCCTGGTGCCCAAACCGAAGCAGGTGGTTTACTTAGGGGGCCACACCCCGAGCCTTCGACCTGAAGATCTGATCCACAAGGCAGTGGAGCATCGTAAGGAGATGCAGTCCCATGGTAGCCGGTGACCAACGATTGGTTCATACGCCATTTGTTCATTCAGGATACTGGAGCCCATGTGCATCATTGGTTTGGGATCCGGTTAAAGCGCCGGACATTCGCTTTTCGTCCTCCCAATTTCGTAAACAACACTCTCGCCGCGAGAAGACAGTGAGTAGGACTTCCCTGGCAGAGGCTATATACGCGTGGCCATGTGAGAGCATTTCGAGAGGGAGAGCGGACTCTCCCCACTCTCGGCTGTACCAGGGCATTTGGGGGCATTGGTAGACATAAACGGATGATCTTAGGTTTTGTAATTTCTCTTAGTTAACAATCTTTCTGACTATTGTCTTGTTCTACACTATAAAGTGTTCAAACCTCATATGAAAAATCAACAACGAAAGTTGAATAAGAGTAAGTTATGGTTATAACGACAATTCAATGTATTCAGTAAATAATTTAATAAAAATAATTGAAGATATCTCTAAGTATTTATTTTATTAGTACTGTTTTTGACCCATATAACTCAAGCTTTTAATATTGTCCAATTATTCATACTTTTTATGTTAGACAAAATATCAAGTTAAAGAGGAAGAATGTGTTTATAAAATCTCAGCGAATGAATTTTGAAGTAAATCCAACGTTTTGCCTGGCAATCTGGTCCAATCTTTTTTCAAGGAAACGTTGAATTTACTTCAAAATTTATTCACTGAGATTTTACAAATACATTTTTCCTCTTTAATGTCTCACATTAACTCGGCGCCCAAATACTATGAAACTATTCGATCAAATTTAGACGAAAGTTCTTATTTAAAATATCAAGTTATTTATATTGTTATTGACCAGATTTCACTAATTCTTTATTTTCATTTTAAATTAGGATGTTGTGGATATATTCGAAAATAATCTCTGTTCTAATCATCAGTCAAATGAAACTGTTGAAAATAGTATTGTTATTTCGTCTACTCATCAACCTTTAACTACAATTAGTGTGCATAAAGCGAAAGAACTTGCTAAATGTATGCATAAAACTTTATGGAATACAGCTAATATATCCCAGAAACGTTTATGTTCAATCGTTTCATCTCGATTTCGTCTTGGCTCTATTCAATCAATGGAACCAAAGTTAACGATATCAACAGCATTGTCGTCAACTGTTGATTTATCAATGAATTCACCAAATCTACAACAAAGACATTTATCTACAAATTCAATAATTGATATTCCATGTACAACAGTGTTTAGTGAATATGTGTTTGATAAATTTACCTGGAATAATTTTAGGGAACTAGTCAAAATAATGAGTATTTTTCAGGTATGTTTTATTTTTGTCTCTTCATACAAATACATAAGTAGTATACCGAAACTGTAATTTATGCGACAGCTTACTTTTTTACAATTATATTGACTGGTATTTTCCGCTTTACGTTTCCTTTAGTGTCTCTTACAAAAAAAGTCCGAATTGTAAGTTTGTTGGAGATGCTAGATCCCCATAAATCACTTGATATACATCTCGTTTTTGTAATTTTATTTTTAAAATTCGAACTTCTCATTTTCGCGCCAGAAGCGCCCACTTCCACCTTCAATTTGCATTTTTCACTTTGAAGGACCTTAAATGTCACTGGTTCTTTTACTGTCCTAATATCCCATTTTGTGATGTTTCCCAAGGACATTTTCGTACTGTATATATACGCTTGAGTCTTGTGCTTGTTCGTTCGTGTTTCTGACTGCTTGTGGAATATACCTTTCCCTCCTCTGAATCTGGTCTTCTGCATCTAGTTAGCAGAACTGGGGCTCAGTGAAGTAGTTTAGCTTTTCCTGTTGTCATGTTGCTGACTTTCGTTCCATTTTCCGGTTTAGGTGATTCGTAATCTCTTCAAAAGTAACAAAGTTGTTTTTCTTTTACCTTCATTTAAACATTGCCAATGTTATAACAATAAACGCTTAAATGGCAAACATCCATATCTATAATTCTTTTGATTTTTCTATCTTTACTTGATTCAGATTTTTTTCCCGAAATCATTTGTTCAGTATAAAATATTTGAAACACTTGAATAAATGAATGTGGTATTCTAAGATGATCCGGGTGATGTCATATTCATGTACTAGCAGAAGTTATTGGAATCATATTCTATTCATCATAACTCTTCTCCAAATAGAATATTCAATATCATCTGGAACAGGAGCAGGTTTAGAGAACCTCGAAGTATCTCTACATGTTAATGAAGCCACGATCTGTTGGTCTCTGCTTTGTAAGGAATATTGGCTTGTTTTCTGACTATGTGACGTTTGAAAATTTAGGAATAAAAATATGGGGACTTATGTTGATCTGGCTCAAAATCATGCAAGGATGAACTCTTCTTTCATTTTTTTTCTCCCATGTATTTAACAACCTTCATTGGTCTTTCTTTTCTCCGTTCATATTGTTGTATGCTAGTTTATTTACTCATTTATGGTATTCCAAAATATGATAGATTGAAAGTGATTCACTTTTGTCCAAGGTTTCACATTATAGTGCCTTTTACGGTTATCTGTCTCATGTAGGTTGTTGATTCACATTAGTTTCATACTCAATTCAATAAGTATTTGTTGTCATTTTATTCAATATTGGTGAATCAGAGTTTTCATATGAATTAATATCAACGAAGTACGATTGCTGAGCTGTTCAAGTTTGCTAGTGTTCGCTCATCAAAAAGCTTATATCTGACAAAGTGGATTATTTCAAAATTGGTTCTTTTCTCTATTATTGTTGCATTTAATATGATAAAAGGTATTGAATATCTTTTTTAATATCGAAAAATGTGTCAACATATCGATAATTGTGATCAATGTAACCAATTTCTCAAGTACTGCGCTATGCATTTCGCTTTTAGCCACAATGTTTTTGTTGAAGGTTTTGATACTACTCAATTTCCCGAACCGGAGTGGGTAAAACAGTGTCATTAAACATAAGCCCTCAAGTTTCTATGATTTTATTTTACTGAACAAGAAGACTGGGAGTTCTTATTATTATCTGAATGAAAAGTGTTATATAAACTAATTTATGAAATACTTCAACATATTCAAATTAATTTTACAGCCTTTTTGTGATTATTAATGAACAGTCAAAATGAAAAAAATATATCCAACCTATTAGAGTTGAATTAACCATAAAACGAGTGTTGTTGCATATTGTAGTGTTACCATGAATCTGTTAATTTAATAAATCATTGGGTTAACTTTTAGTCAATTAATAATTGGGTTAGATAACTAAATATATTTAAACTTTAAACCTGAATTGGACAATTATAACAATATATGTAAGTTAATAACCAACAGATTAAATTATACTTACAGAAATAAAAAAACCAAACGTGAGCATAATTATGGTCGGTTTTAAATAATAACTAGTTAGTTAAGTAAATCACCTTAATATTGAAGTGCTAACCTTCTTGTCGAATATGATCGGGTATTGATGAATGCTTTTACAGTATACCACATAAATATGAATACTGTTATCATTCTTTGGTTCTTTGCTTTATTGTTCATTATAAGGTATATGTTCTTCGAGCATGGTTGAAATTTTCTGATATTCCAATTAAAACAATAATTTGTCATCAATCGAATGATTCAGAAAATTGTTTACAATTGAATGTACATTCTTTTAATAAATCAAAGTCTTGTATTAAAAAATCAACGATTCCTTTAAATCAAAAAACTCCAAATGATGTTATCCCCTCTTCCATTATTAGTTCTAACACTAATGATTGTATATCTAACAACCAATACATATCTAATATTCAATCCGATTTACTCTTACGTGATCTTGTACTTGATATGATTATACTTATAATTGACCGATTTCATCGTGAAAATTATGATAAAATAAATATGTTATTGGATCAAGAAAGATGGCAAGCAGCTATTTGTCCAGAACAAGTTCAGCAAATGATTATTGATATATCTATAGAAGTAGGACATTTTAAAATGAAGGTAATTTATTACATCTTATTAATTAATACATTTTTTTGTTTCTTAGTTAAAGTACTTTAGCATACATCATATGGGACAAATTAAATTAATGATGTTAATTTTCTGGTTACCTAACAATTTAATTCTATTTTATTATTGATTTGTTAAATTGTTATTTCAATATTATCAAAGTGTGTAATAACTACGAACTCATTAATATGGTTTGTTTATTTGAAAAAAAGCGTCAGTAGGAGAATAGCTGTTTAATGGTAAAACCTACTGCATTGCTGGTCAGTCAGTCAGTCAGTCAGCTGCAACGTAGGACCAGGCACGTATATGCATCGGTCCAAGTTGCCATACCGCATTAGCACAACAAGATGAACACCGGATTCATAGGAGTAGTTAATTCAGTGGTGGTAATATATAGAAGAAAGATTGTGTATAAGGAGATAGTAAAGGAAGAAAGAATTAGTTCCTAGACAGATATGAAGCGATTTTAATCTCTTAATTTAAGGAAGACAGAGAGTGTATACACCGACGCCATTGTGATCGATTCTGAGCCATGTCACCAAGAGTCTCCAACCATTGGTTACGATAGTCACGCGGACCCCAACCAGGCAGTCTGAATCTCCCAACATGGCTCAGACCAGAAGTTAGTGACTTCAAGCACTGGTGCCACGTTTTGGTTTGGCCGCCCCTAACTTTCTTCCAATTATCCCCTGCACTAGTCAGCATTGCGCGTCATGGTAATCGGTGTTCAGGCATACGCAACACGTGGCCCAACCATCTCAGTCGATGAAGATTCATAACCTCATCAACTGATTTACCATCATTCCCTAATACCCTGCGTCTAACCTCACTATTACTTACCCGGTGATCCCAGCAGATACCCGCAATATTTCTAAGGCACCTGAAGTCAAATACTAGTAACCTACGAATATCTTCCACTCTTAAAGGCCATGTTTCGCAGCCGTATAGAAGGACGGAACGAACTGCCGCGCAGTATACTCGTCCCTTAATTGATAGACGAATATCTCGCCTTCGCCATAGATGACGTAAGTTGGCAAAGGCCAAGCGAGCTTTTCGAATCCGTGCTGAGATTTCGTCAGACACCAACCCATTAGGGCTGATCAGACTTCCAAGATAAGTGAAGTTGTCAACGCGTTCGACTACTTCACCCCCTATCCTTAGTTCAGGTGTTGATGCAGACCAGTCCTGAAGCAACGACTTGCATTTAGAGGGAGAAAAGCGCATCCCAAACATTCTAGCATTGTTGCTCAGTGCTACCAAAAGACTCTGCATTTCATCAGCGTCTTCACCAAACAGGACTATGTCATCTGCGTATTCTAAGTCAATAAGTGGACCTCCTGGTAGGAGATCACTACCCGAGAAGTCAGTCGATGAGAGCGTTATTTCCATCAGGATGTCTATGATAAAGTTAAACAAAAAAGGAGAAAGTGGACAGCCTTGACGGACGCCACTTGAGGTTGCAAAAGCAGATGACAGTTCGCCATAGGCTCTGACCCGACTAGTAGTGTTCGAGTAAAGAGCCTTCACAAGGTTTATGTACTTCTGAGGTACGCCTTTCAATGACAGACACTGCCACAGAACCTCTCGGTCAACAGAGTCAAACGCTGCTTTTAAGTCAAGGAATACCACCATTGTCGGACGCCGATAAGTATGCCTGTGTTCTAGAACCCAACGAATGGTGAATATGTGGTCGATGCAGCCACGACCAGGTCTGAAGCCAGCCTGATTTTCACGTGTTTGCAGTTCACGAGCCAACCTAATCGCTAAAACTAGACCACCATCCTTAAAGACCTCTGGGGCCAATCCATCTGGACCAGCTGCCCTTCCTCGTTTCAGATTAGCTATAGCCTTTTGAACTTCAGCTAGAGTTGTGATTGTGACCAGTCAGATGAGATAACGCCCAACTCTCAGATTTTAGCTAAAACATTAGTCAACTTAATTGCTAAAATTGAACCACCATATTTAGAGACCTCTGGAGTCAATCCATCGGGATCAGCTGCTCTTCCTCGTTTTAGATTAACTATAACCTTTTGAACCTCAGCTAGAGTTGGGGGACCTACTTCAATGTTCCATTCATACTGTCTGGGAATGGTGGGTAGTTGTAGAGTAGCTGAAGACCAGCTGAACTGCTCCTTAAAGTGCTCCACCCATCGTTCTAAACGTCTGAACTGGGAGCAGATGAGAGTGTCGGAATACTAAAATACCCACCTAAATGTCTTTCTGTTTTGTTTAGGCTACCTACCTGGGCATTAAAGTCACCTCCTACTAGTACTATGTCTGAACGTTTAGCTTTCTTAAGAAGTTCAGACAGCTTTCTGTAAAATTCATCTTTCACTTCATCCGAACTGCAGTCAGTGGGAGCGTAGGCAGAAACGACGAAAAGGCAACGACGTGTGTCCCTATCCTTCCGAGTTCTTACGGAGCCGTTTAGCCGAACAGCGCATAGACGACTGTTAACGGGGATCCACTCTAATAGCGCTTGTTCCGCCCTCATGCTAAGTGCTATGCCTACACCTGCCAGTCCACGAGAACTAGCCATCGGGTCGCCAGATACACGGAGGGTGTATCTCGTTGGCTCTCCGTTTTGCCGAGGTGAGGTCAAGTGAATGACCACACTAGGATCCTGAATGCGTGTTTCGGAGACACAGCATACATCAATGGTACGAGATTCTAAGGTTTTAGCCAAGGAAGCCTGCTGACCGATTTGGCATAGTGTGCGTACGTTGAAGGCTCCAATGTATAGTTTGGAGCAAGGCTTCAGTAGACCTGGGACAGCGTTTTGAGCACTAGAATCGTTGGCTGTGGTGACACTTGAGGAGGAAGCTAAAAGAGGAAGTTTAGTGTATAAAGTCGATGTAGGAGGAATAATAGGAATTGAAGAGGGAGGTTGACTATGAATACAGTGGTCTTGAGTGCTGTTAGAGGTATGAGGGCGGTTATCACTTCCCGGTTGCCCACACCGTGGAAGGGTTCTTCTGGAGGTACCTGAAAAGGAAATTGGATTAGAGGTGGTCATAGTGACCTGAGAGCGTGACCGCAGTGCCGAAGGGACAGCTACTTGAGGTCGGTCACACACGACCTTTTTGTGAGTAATCTTTGTGTTAGCTCCGTACTTGTTGAGTCCTTACCGCCGGAGACGGATATCCGTGGGTTAAGGCGAGGTTTGCATTTTTAGGGTCGACCTTTTCTAAACCCACCCCTCCTTGTGGGAAGGCAGCATCGCTGTCATGGTGGTTGTCTGAAGGAAACACCTTACTGCTGTCACACCTCTGTACAGTCAGCAGTACGACTTCGCCTTCGGACCTTGGGTTTGTTGCTTTTAGTCTTATCGCTCTTCAACCGACCTGTCTGGCATGGTAGGACCTTGAGGAACGGTTGTTCCAGCCAGTATAGCTCAGTTGCTTCATCACGATAGGCAAGCCCGACCACCACGTCAAGGTAGCAACAACGGTCAGGCTGCATTGCTGGTTTGAAACGTTATTATTCTTTTTTCCCATTTTAGACAGCTGGTCAGTATTACATTTAAAAACGTATGAATTACTGCTTGGTGATCAAGTTACACTATTTTTATTGTTATTAACAAATCAGTTCTATGGAAAAATTTATTTAGATTCTTTTGTTCTTCTATGCAGATTATTAGCAGTCGGATTATGCACCATGGATTGTTTTATAGCTTTACGTATACAAAGTGTTTACTGTTTACCTTCATGATTCATTAGTCAACATTATTGTCTTTGAACGATTTTTCACTTCAGTCAGTCAGCTACAATGTAAGACCAGGCACATATATGCATCGGTCCAGGTTGCCACACCTTATTAGCACAAGATGAACACTGAATTCATAGAAGTAGTCACTTCAATGGTAATAATGTATAAAAGATCGTGTACAAGGGTATAGTACAGGAAGAATTGGTTCTTAGAAAAAAAGATGAAGCGATTTTAATTTCACGGTTCAAGGGAAGACAGAGAGTGTATACACCGACGACATTGTGATCGATTCTGAACCATTTCATCCAGTCTCCATGGTGTGGGCGACCGGGAAGTGATAACCGTCCTCATTCTTCTAATAGCACTTATAATATTGTATAGACGATATTTGGGATTGAATGGAAAAACTATTCTTATGAAAACTCAATTTTAGGGAATAAAAGAACTACAGGAAAATTAGATCTTATAAACGTGTACAATATTTAGTTACAATCTCGTATTATTCAGGTCTTATCCTTTGAAGTATTGCAAAACTTGTGCGTACACGTACAAATAAAATTGATTTGGCTTCTCTTTATATTCTTCCTGTGTGAACATACTAATTCATGATAAGCTATATATATATATATATATAACAGGTATTTTGAAGACAAGATGGACATGTAAGGATACAATTTATGAAAATAATTCGTTTACTGCATAAAAAATAAATTGTTTTTTTCATTTTTCGAATAAGTTAATATTGTTAGGTTTACTAGAACATCTCACCTGGGGTTGACTGTAATCAGAAGAATCTCTTGATTTATTAGGATATTTCTTTACGGAAGTACATAAATGATAAGTGGTTCTAAGGCAACTAGAAATCGTCAGTACAGGGAATGTGGAGATGTTAGTGAGATGACGGACCGACGAAAGCTGGATAATTGTAAACCTGTCCAGTGTTTCCAGGTTTAAAATGAGTGTTTAACTTAATTCGAGTTATAACCTCAGTATACCATGGTTAGTGTGTGTTAAATGTACATTCAAGGTAATGAATACAACGACAATAACAGTCTAATTTCAACGAATGCAGACACAAAATTTTTCGTTTCACAAAGAAATCAACACATAAAATCCAAGAATAAACTCTAGTTACTCATAAGTAATATAGTTGTAAAAACAAATTTCACAAGTTTAGCTATTAGCTTACATTCGTGCCATATTTTCATACATTCACAGTTTAGTGTAATCATATTCTTCAAAATCTAAACTTAACCGATTGAGCAACCGAAACGCTGTATGAATGATATAGATTTTATTTACATAAGTTAAATTTGTGATGAATAGTATACATTTTATTCATTTCATTCACTTTATTCATCTGTCTGTACAAATGATATGAAGTCCCCTCATTCAGCAACAGTCAATTTGACTTACAACCACTTATCATATTTTTTGAAAGTCCTCAAGGGAGAAATAATGTCGAAATAAATTCTTCAAGAAGAGAATTATGATTTCAATTAGAAAACAATTACCAGACATCAATTCAAAAAACCATTTAGTATTGAACAGCTATTTTATCCTCAGTTGTTCAGTGCTTCTAGATCTTCAATGGTTCTTCATCAGATATCGATTTCCAGTACAAATAACATGTGAATTGTACAAAATTGTCCCAGATTAAAAAATTTGATTAATTACGCAAATATGTTTGATTGAAAACAAGTGTACGTATAATACTGTTTGAGCTGAATTATTTATTCTTTAAAATACATCCTAATGTAAAATACCTATGTATCTGTCTATATAATAATTTTTCGATTTCTTTTCCATGTCACTTTTCAAGTTCTTTGTTTTCAACAAATTGTTTTCATTAACATTTTTGTTACATATTAGGGTTCACAGCTGACTAACGAACATTCTCCTTGTAAACCGAATCATAATAAATTGACTCAATCAACAGATAGTGTGGTCTCTACACCCAATTATATTCTTCTAAATAATGAAGAGTATACTGTAGTTCGTACAGTTATACTGTTGTTACCAATGATCAATGAATATGTAAAATTAGATGAGAAATTACCTGGTCAACCGTTAACTACTGAATTCGTTTCAGATCGTTTAGCCGATCTTCTTAATGTAAGTGTTTTCTGTTTCATTCCACACAGTTTTCTAACTTATTTGGGAAGATTTATAATAATAATACTAGTAATATTACCATTATTATCGTGTTAATATGTGTAGTGAGTGGATGAACAATTTTCACTATAATTTTAGATTTTTTAATGGTTTCAATCAATCAATGTACAAAATGCTTCTATTCATTTGATTAGGTTGTTAAAGATATTAGTTTCTTATTATTAAATGTACTGCATTGTATTATTTATATTGGACTTCAGTTTTTCTGCGAACTATCTTTCTTTTGATATAGTATTTGCATGATTTTATAGTGTCAATCTTAACATAAAATATATTGAATCAAATTATCGTCATTGTATCAACAATTTTCACCATAGCCCAATGTTTAGAACATCCTAATTTGAACTACTAAATTTCAGGTTCGAACTGTGATCATTTTTTATTTGGTTTTTAGTCACTGTGTAACCCTTTTAAACGGAATGTCTATTTGATTATCATGTAAAGGAATTTTAGGATATCAGTAATATATGTGGATTAACATCAGTTATCTCTGAAATGAGTTGTGCAATTATATTTGCGTTTGGTTAAGCCAACGAGTTTTCCAATATTTTCGCTTGATTAATTCAAGTAGAATTTTTCGTCGTAAGTAGACAACCACTTTGTAAACTTAACAGATTCGCATACTGATAAATAATTTAATTCAAATCTAATTACGTGAAGAAGTGTTTCATTCATTTTGTATAGTTAAGCTATTTAGAAATATGAGTCATGTTAGACTGTAAATTAATATCTGGTTAACTTCGTATCTTCGCCTAGTTCAAATCCCGTTATGTAATTTCATTTGTTTTCACTCGAAATATTCAAAATGCAAATACAAAATTATAGTGAAATTAATTTATTAGTAGTGTATTGCCTCAGGAGACTTTACGTATGACAATCAGCCCAGCGAAGAGAAAAAGAATGTAAATGAATATGTGAGCGTATATAAGAGTAGCGAATTATCGACTGATTAGTACATTTGTAGTTAATAAGATAGATAATGGACATTCACATCCTTACATACACATTGGAATCTACACATAGCTGATCAAACTTCTGAGTTATGGTGAAGTAATTAATGTTAATAGAATGATATATCTATTTGATGCACTTTATATCTGTCTATAGCAAAATTGATTGTGTGTGTATGTGGTGAAAATAGGTTAACGACAAGATTAAACGATGTTTTTCTGACATACTTCTTCCTATCATCTTCTGTGTTTTTGAGACTGTAAGAATTGATCAATACGAGAAAAGTGTTGTAGTAGTTTTTCTAATTATTTCTAAATTTGTAGTGCAACATTCAAAATGTTTGTATGTATGTAGTGAACGTGAACTCAAGTTAGGTAAACTAATTTATTGTTCAATGACACAGTGTCTTAGTAAAATATGAGAATCATACATTAAATACATCATGTGCACATCTTTGAGTTGTTCTTCACATACTCTATTATTCCTCTTATTCTGTCGTTATTTCGATTGCTCTCCGGTTTCCTTTCTGTTCTTTTCATTTCATTCTTCGGTCGTCAGGTATTCCACTTCCGGTTGCTGCTACATATTACTTATATCTGTCAGCATAAGAAGCATACCCCATATATATATATATATATATATATATATATATATATATATATATATATATATATATATCACGATATACTACTATAATGCAATTATACGACCCGCATCCGAGATTATACTACAACTATATTGGATACTCGATTAATGTACTGACTGTCATACCAGGTACACGATCCGGGACCAAATATAGTGGTGACTAGAGTAAAGGCTAGACAATAAATTTATTTGGTACAAACACTACCAGTTTATACATACGTTGAGTTTGGAGTGCAAATCAATGACCGAAAGAAATTCACCTGATAAATAGTAGTAAGCAAAGTGTCTGTCTGTCATCTCACTGTGTCCAATAACACCTTAATTTCACTGGCTACACATTATTTTCCATACATTTATTTGATTTGACTATCTTTTTGCTTTATTTGCTTACTTGTTGTAGCATTTCAATTCCCGTGTTTGTCAACTTGTACTTGGTGCTGAGGCGTGTAAACGGGTCGATCTACAACGTATATCCGCTAAAAATCTTGCCTTGACCCTGCGTAGTCTACAATTGGTTGTGCACTTTCTACCATGTATACAATTCTTGTTAAACAGGTAAATTACTGTTGAGTCTTCAAAAGAGATGGACTACTATCCTGACATTCGTTTTTCTGTATTTTCCTTCCGTTTTATGTTTTTCATATTATTAAGAAAATTTTCCGCAAAGTAGCAATCTGATATATATAAGAAATTTCGAAAGGTTTTTGAGGTTAAGTTAATCCAAATGGGAAAAGTGTAGAAAATCATAACTTTTGCCTAATGAAAGCTTTTTAGATTTAGTATAGTTTTCAAAGCTACAAATCTCTATAACCACTGTTTTGTAGCTCGAATGACCCAATGATATGGGAACTGAAATTCATGTACAACGTAAAGTGCAAAAAATTGCGAAAAGTATTATGTGGGATAAAGTAACCATTGTTCATGTAAATTCATCGTTAATTGTTAGATACATTCGGCAATCTATAAACCTAGTCTCTCAATAGAAAAAAATTCAACAACCAACTCAATGTTTTGCTGTTAGGGCAGAAAAAACATACACGAGAAATAAGTAAAGAATCAACTACACACTTCAAGGTAATAAGCATAAGTTTTAGTCATTTCCAGATACTTTAAAATTGCTTGATTTTTCTAGGGTTTGTGATTGTGAACTTTTTTCATACCATACATTACTGAATAAACACAATGACAAGCTACCAATATTCCTGTTTCACTTAATTATTTATTCTCTACCCCGTCTAATTATCATTAGTTGAGCAGACAAACACTGAACTTTTTTCGCTAATATTACTACTACCACTACCACCACCAGTGATAATACAGTTGAAAACAGGCAAGATATTTATAGAATCATTCAGTATTGATGTTCAGAGTCAATGTGGAAAAAAGAGACATGGTAATCAGTTGTATCTAGTTTAATGTTTTCCATTGACATACCATAATTCAACGTTTCCATTCACTTTAAATGATAAAGAACTAATATAATTTATTACTTCCATTTATTGATTCTCATATGTGTTGTATAAAAGTTGCATATTTTCTGCTCATTCTTATTCCTCTCTATATAGAATATCTAAAACGGAGTTTAATAAATCATCATCAACTAGTGTCGATAACCTTCTTATTGCTTCATTATATCATTCTAATAGTCAGGGGATAAATCGAATAACATTAAATGGTCTAGATCATATTGAAAAACTATTTAAGTAAGTTTTACTCCTACTTTGTAGTGTAATTCTCGTTATCAAATGTAAACTGTTAACAGTTAGCGTTATTACATTGAATAAATATATTCAACGGAAATATTCTAGGTGAAATTCGTATTGACATCACACTGTGGTGTTGTCAGAAACATTAATGCCCCTTTATTCAACCCATGACAGAAGCAACAGGATGCGTATTGTTTAGTCGTTAATACGGAATATTAATATTGATGCGCTCTGTTGGTAGGTGCTGTTAAACCAGATGCTAATAATTAGGGCCACTTGTCTATGGCTTTCAACTAACGCCTAAGTAACTGTGTACATCGAGTCACTTAACCTAGTTAATGTACAGCAAATGTGTCTAACTGAACCCTGAACTCTGTTAGCATTAAGCACACTTAACAGAATGATATTACTTACTACTAAATCACTGTTCAGAGCATCAATATTTTATTTTTATTCTCCCCTGTTTGTTGTATATTCATTTTTGATTGATTTTATGGTTAATGCTTGCACTTCTACTTTTATGATGCAAAGGCTTCAAATCATAAACAATTTCCTGTACATTAACTATCAGCTAATTTCTAAAGATTTTTTCTTTTTTTAAGTTTTCAATACATCAAATTTATTACAATAAATCTATTCTGACGACTTATTAATTCGACAGATGCAACATCGGATATAATCACCTTGAATTATCTGTATGTATACCACCAATAATTCAACAAGTTATCCAAAATTACTTTTTGATGTAAAAAAATTCTTCCCCTCTAAGTCGCTAGATAAACTTGTATCCAATTTTCATTACATTCAAAGTTTTTAGGTTACATGAACAAATCAGTTAATATTAATAAACTGAACCAGTCTCTGTTGGATTTACCTGAATAAGGCGAACCATTGTTTGAATAAGGCACATAGTAATTACATCAACCAAGAAGAAAGTGGCAAGTGTACAATCACCATTTTAAATACGAACGAGAGTTATGCAATTATTTATTTGCTACTCATAAGTACTGTGGTCAGAATACACAAATCCTGTGCGTCGTAGCCTATGTAGTCATTTTAACATCTTGTTTTACCAATTGAAGGAAAATATGGCCATATCGAAAAATTTGATTCAAGGTTTTGTAATAGCTGTTTTGGGATTAAATAGATTATCTGTGGATACACTATCATTTGAGGGAGTTGAATGTATAATTTTTCGACTCAGTTTTTTTTTAGTTCGTGGAATGATTAATTATGCCATAAAACAGTTAAGCCATATGAAATATCAATTAATTTCCTTCTGGATATATTATTTTTACAAAGTCATATTAGCTCATGGATACTGTTGCCATCGCCTTTTAGAAGACATTCCGTGATTTAAATACCATATAAAGTTTTTGCTTGTTGTTTCATGAAATGGTATATGTCAGAAAAATAGTGTCAGTGTTGAATGTCGTATCCTTCACCTTGTCTACTTATGCTCTGTGTAATCATTCATTCTATATATATATATATATATATATATATATATATATATATATATATATATATATATATATATATATATGTACTGTTCAATTATGGGAAAAATTTCGTATACAAGACATTAGTGTATGATATTTCCATTTCGTTCATATAGTGACATTTTCATTTCGTCTCTCTCATATTCACACGATTTTTTTGTACTGTTTTGTTTTATTTATCAGCCAAACAATATTAACTACTTAATAACTGTAGATTATTTTTCGTTTTTTTAATCCAAATTTACCGTTCATTATCATGGGTTTAATTAGGAAAGTTTTATTTTTTCGAGTAAAAAAATGTTCCTGCAATTGGAAAAGAAAAAATCTTTCCTGTTCCAACTTGTGACATTTTCAAATAGTACACCTTTTTCTTCTTCATATTTTGTAGCTTGTTATGCATGAATCCTGACTTTCCCATCAGTCCAACCATATTAAGTAACAGTTTGTTTCTTCAAAAATTCATTATTTCTATAGTTTGTTTTTGCTTACAAAAATATATGATATAACGAAACAAATACAGAAATGTAGCTAGATTAATATTCTACTTTTCTGCTGTGGATGATAGGTCCCCAGAAATCACTTAGTAAACGTCTTATCGTTGTAATTTTATTTTGGGAATTTGAATTTCTCGTTTTCGTGCCAAAAGCACCCACTTTTAACCTCAGACTGTATTTTCCACTTGAAAGAATGCTAAATACTATTGGTTCGTTCCCTTTTTTAATACGCTTGAATTATGTGCTTGTTCGTTCGTGCTTTCGACTGCTTGTGGAATATACCCTTTCCTTCATCTGAACCTGGTCTTCTCCCTCTAGTTATTGGGGTCGGGGTGCATCGGGACAGTTTATCTTTTCTTGTCGTTGTGTCGCTGATCCTTCGTCCCGTTCTCCGATTTCAGGTGGTCTGGTAATCTCTTCAAAAATAGCAGTTTCTATGATTGTGACATAGGTTTCGTACCAATGTCATTCCAGTTGATCAAATGAATTAATAATAAATTTTTAATGTCTAGAAAACTTATAGCTGATCTTATAAGTGATTCACTTTATGTGATCAACCTTATGAAGTATTCGGTCTCCGCAACTGCCATAATAATAACTTTTTAAGTCTTTAAAGTAGTCACTGTTTAATTTTCAATCTTCAAATATAACTATTTTTGCACTACCTCACTGTTTCAACATTTAAAACACTTAAGTCAAATATGACGGGAATAAAAGTCAAAATTCGATCGATTTACTCATTATGAGTTTTCTTCAACGTTACTTCCGTTTTGATTCAATGTAACGATTACTCAATGTAGTATTCGGTTTTGTTTTCTCGTATGATATTTTATTCTGTATAATATACAATATTCCTGTATTCAATTACCGTGAACTATGCTCAGTATGTAATTTTCATATATGTAATTTCATCCTAATTTTTAATCAAAATGTGTGTACAATCAATATATAAATGAGTGTATTTTCGTCTCAGGTCGTTGTCGTTGTGTTTTGGGGGTTAATAAATCTTCACTTATACCAGTCTTTGTGTTGTTACCTTCGCGTCGTGGAAATTGCGGAGGTCCCTCATTCCGAGTATAAGTGATAAGCGTTTCCGACACAACAATTAGCGACGACCCAGCTATACCAAAGTAGCGTTCAATCGACAAGATTTATCATTAGGAAATAAAACTTTTAAATACATCTTTACAACAGCAATAATGATATTTTCACTGTGCATTACTCTCGTGTTTTCTTAAACTTTCTCGGTTATTTTTTCCTTTAGCTTATAGTTCATCTTATACATAAATTTAGTAAATTTTCTCTAAGAAATCAATTAGAATTCTTCTGATTAGACTGATCAATCATGGTTTCATTTTCATTGATACATAATGTTTATTTAAGTAAATTTATAAAAAAAAAAGTAAATTATCTTTTTTCTTGTTTCCTGAGTATAAATTGTACATATTTGTTGTTTAAATACAAAATAAGTTTCAATGGTTGAGATCATGAGTCAGTTGAAGCCAGACCACCATGTTAAACCTGGAACCTCTGGGTGGCCGTTGTTACATTTTCTTATACTTTATCAGTTATAAGGATTTGAATTAATGATTTACTATTAGGGGATTTCATTTTGAAAACCATTTTATCTATTATTATTCAAAACCATTGGTAATTCATTAATAAGCATGAAAAAATATTAATATTCATTACACAGTATTCTTTTGTGAGAAATGTACAAACGAAAAGATTTTTTTCTTTAATTGTCTATATTTACAATATTTACTGAATTCCTTTTTGTTGTACTCCTTCCTTGAAACAGTGAACATATTGAAAGTATTTTACAAAAACTTGTTCAGTTATTATCGGATCCAATTGGTCCAATGTTTTCTAATTGGTATGGTCGTCCTCCGATACCAAGTAAACAAATGGATGAAATATGTCGTAATTTATCGAAATTAATCGGAATGACTAAACATGTATTACCTGCTAAAACACTTACGGTAAGTTTAAAAGAATGAAGTTATTTTCTTTTGTAAACAAATAAACTAAATACATTTAAAACTCAAATTTTATTATTCGTATTTAATGTTTTTATATCTTAAACAATAACCATTATACTATACTATTTTCATCAGTATGAAAATTTGTGAAGATTGTTGAATATTATTTTGACAGTTGGTAATTATCATGTTATCACTAGTTACTAACTTTGAAAGCAAGTTGTGACCAGTGGAGTTTAATGGTATCGTGCTTGAGGCAGTTACCGTAACATTATTACTGAGTTGAATAAAGTTTTATCCATATTTTTTGTTTCTATCAAACAGATACAGAAAAATATTGATCCATTGTTTTTTTACTGGCTTCTCATCAGCTGTTTACAACCGTACTTTTATAGCATAATATTGTTTAGTAAATATAAATGATTGAAAAATTGGGAGCAAAAAGATTACAAATTTATATATATATATATATATATATATATATATATATATGCTTATTTAAATACAAGTATTCGTTGTCATTCGAATTTTGTCAAATTATAAAGTAGAGCAACAATTGTCTAGTTTCATTAGTGTTATAATTTTTTCTGCACGTGACATACAATAGAGCTTCATTGATTTACACCCTATTAAATAAAACTTCAAGGAATTTATCCTAAACTTGTTCACTACAATTTTCGTCGGTACAAGATTTCTACATAATTAATTTCTGAATGCAAATAGGCATTGGTACAAAGTATTCCAGTCTCAAGAATTTAATACAACATTGTCTTTGATTTACAATTATATATCTTATTACTGTTTTTTTCTACATTTTCCGTTTCTCTCTTTGTATATGCATTTATGAATGTGAACTGATTTGTTACTTTTAATATATTTTTATTTATTTAAGAAAAATGAATAGCTCATCTTTTTCAATTTATCTCTTTATCAGTGTACCTATTCTTTCGTTCTGGTGATATGTGATATTATCGTCGTACAGTTATTCTTCTTACCAAATTACTTTAAAGATGATGATGATGACGGTAAAGATCTTTCCTCCTTCTTCTTACTTTTAATAAATAAATTAATCATTTCTATCATTTTCATAATGTTAAGCGTGATAAAACATTGAGTCCGTATACTTTTTTATTTCTCATTTATCCATTCAAATTTATTAGAATATAATTGAAACACATTTTAATTCATTTTTGTAAATATTAATAATGATTATTCTTTTCTCATTTCTAAATAAATTTAATTTTGGGGGGAGGGATTGATTATTACTCATTATGCCTAGTACATATACATTACAATTTTGTAGAATATCCAAATTCATTATACTCAATCAAACAAAACAAAACAAAGTTACATACTTAATTGGTTAAATCAAATGACCTGATCTCATTTACTACTTTTAAATCGATGACATTAAATGTTATGGTTATGTAACTTGTAAACTGTAGTACATTTTAGTTCAATGTAGTATAAATAGAATTGTTTCTGATAAGTTGAAACGTCTTATTTATTCTATTGATAATATAATGTTTTCTCTCCTGAGTTTAAAATTAATTCATTCATATATAGTCTATGTGATAATGTTCCCAGTCGATGAATTATTTACCATTTTCTTTCTATCTTTCAAAAAATCCACTGCATATTTTACTTATTGGTATTTTGTAAAGTTTTCCAATTTATTTTTTCTAATTTTATGATTTGATTACCTTCCTATTGACATTTGGTTACTTACTATATTTGATGAGAACTGAATACTACAGTCAGTCGTGGATTACATTTCCGTACACCTGTTCTGATTAATGCTCATTTGTTGTTGATAGCGGTGTTTTTCAGTCCAATTCTATCCAAAAAAGAAGCATTGTCTTAGTAGAAGATGTAGTCAGTGAATATAATGTGTACATTAGGAATCTGTGTTGAATCACACAAATGATTACAGCCTCCATTATCAAATAATCATACTTTCTGTTGTCAAAAAACAGCTAAAACTGACTTTTTTCACTCCATCACCAAGTTTCTTTTTACACGTTAATATCGTTTGATTAATCAGTTAGTTGTGTATTAGTAATGACAAACTAAGTCAGTCAGCTGCAACGTAGGACCAGTCAAATGAATGCATCGGTCCAAGTTGCTACACCTCATTAGTACAACAAGACGAATACCAAATTCATAGAAGTAGTTACATCAATAGTAGCAATATATTCAAGAAAGATTGCATGTAAGGATATAATACAGGGAGAAAGAATTAGTTCATAGAAAGAAAAATATAAAACAATTTTAATCTCACGGTTTAAGGGAAGACAAAGAGTGTATACACCGTTGCCATTGTGATCGATTCTGACAAACTAACTATTTCCACTGTTATAAGCAAATGCAAGTTTATATTATTTAACGTTGCTTCATATCCATTGCGTTAGAATTAATCAGATAATCTAATAATTCCGGATTATGGTAGGTGAAATCCAAACACCATTATATTTGTATGCATACATGAACTATATCTTTATTATCTTTTTTTCCATTGAATAAGCGTCTTCAGGTTATTCATTTTTTCGATTTGAAGTTGTAGATGTTAAATTATATTTGTATTATTATATTGTTTTCCTATTTCTTCATTACTTATCAGTGTGTTTTTTTTCTATCAATTCGACATTTAATAGTCTATCCTATTGCGTGTTCATAATGAATTAAAGGTGCAGTTACGTCATCGTATTAGTGAACTTGGTATTGTTGCCGATGGTGGACCTCAACAAAGGTAACTCACTGATCTCTTTTTTACCTCCAAATCACTATAATCTCATTTTAGTTACATTTTCTTATATCACCCCCCATGTTTATTAATCGTCTGAATTATAGCTTGAATTACAATAGTTCCGTATTTAAAGCTAGAATAATTTAAAAACATTATAGTTTTGTAATCCTTGTTGTTTTGTGTGAAGGTTTTTGTGGATATTTGAATTTTTATTACAGATTAAAATCATTTGAAGGGCCCTTGGGAATTACGAAACATTACGCAGTTATTTCATCCTATTATGAAATTTCTCAGCACTAAATACCGTATATTGGAAATTATTGACAATCTTCAACAATCCGAGCAATCGGTTCTAGTCAAAATCTAATAACTTACATTTCCAACCTCAATCAATTCTATGTTGTAGTACAGATTGTTTTCTAATTTCATCACTAAGGCATTTGTAACCCTTATAAATCAAAAGTCAATTAATTGCGTTGTATCGATCCGATTAATATGGAGATAATTCATCTCATGAAACGATTGCCGATTAAATGAGTCATTTATTCCATCCAGTACAATTTCTTGATTTTCAACACCTTAGTTGATTACAGTTTATATCGAGAGCTTTGTAAAAGTGTATTTCGTTTTGATATCTTGAAATAGCTTCTAAAAATAAAATCCTTACCACATTTATTGTCGTAAGAATCCATTAGAACATGTTGTATATAACTTCTTTTCCATTATAATGACTGAATTTGGTTTATACGAATAGGCAAACGGTTATCATCCAGAGTGAAGTTCTACTCTGACGAGTTCGAAATAGGACGGAACGCGCGTTCTGGATTCCCCTGTTAGCCACCATCCGCATCTGTTTATATTAATTATTTTTATGTTGTTGCATTGTTGACGGTTTGTTGTTCATTTTAAATAAGTTTTCATCTAGAAAGTAGATTGATAAAACAACCGAAAGTAAACATCTTAATTTTAGCCAAACATATTTTTCCCTTGACACATAGTGTTTATCAGCAGGTTAAATAAGATTATATGGTTTACATGTGAACATTCAATAGTTGAATTCATGAGTGAATTGAAGCTAGACCACCATGGAAAACCTGAAAGTACTGGACACCCGTTTCGTCCTAGTATGTGACTCCTCAGCAGCGTGCATCCATTCGTTATAATTTAGATGATATTCAATGTAAAAATTATCTTTAATATAATCTAAGCGGTTGAAATGTATGTAGTTCTAGCGTTTCATTCAATAAACTAGTCCGAACGTCCTTAGGGAAGTAATCGTAATCCATATTATCAAAGAATGTATAAGGTTTAATAGCAAAATTACACTACAAGTTTGTCCGATCATATTTATTTTGTACACAGTTAAAGGCATGAGGCAGTCTCATGTAAAAATTAGTCACCAGATAAAGATTCAATGGTATATGTGTGTATATCTGCATGCAGTTGTTATGTAGGGGAAAGGTCTTTTTAACGTTCACATTTTTTATTTCATCAACTGACTGGATTAATAATAATAGTTCAATATAACTTGTTCTGAGATAGTTACTCACCGAAGACAATGGTGGACGGTCACCCATTATCGTGAATTGATTGAAGTTAAACATTAACATTGTTGGGTGCCGGCTCAGTGGTCTAGAAGTTAAGCGTTCACGCTCGAGATCGAAGGTCCTGGGTTTGAGTCCCTCTTTGTGCAGGATCATAGATGCGCACTGCTGAGGAGTCCCATACCTGAACGAGACGACCGTTCGGTGCTCACACGTTTTTAATGGTGGTCAAACAATAACCCATTCATGATATCGATCTAAACTCAGCAATCTCCACATTTCTGTACTGATAATTTAAACATTTTGCCTAGATTTTACTGTTTGGTTTCAGAAATGAAAAATAACTTTTTAGCATATATTTTTGAATAATAGCTACCAATGGAACCTAGAATGAGTTTTTCGTCGTACCTCCGACTCACCAACTGAAGATTTACTGCCTTTTTATCGTTCATAGTCAAGCTTGAAGTCATTATTTTATCGCTTCAAATCTCACTGGTATTTTAGCTAAACTACTGAGATCAGATAATCACTAATGTTTGTAACATATTCAGTATACTAATAAAAACTGATCAACTTCAGTTCTGACTATCAAATACCAGAAAACAAAAATCACTTATCTAAGCGCTTGTTAGTATAAGATATTGCCATTTCAGTGCTTACATATAAATTTATTCATTTTCGTTTTCTAAGTAGGATGCTATATTCATATTTCAAAGTAGTGATCCAAGTCTGTGGATCGAAAAATTATAGCTATTCAAACTAAATTGTGTTTCTCCAAAGCCACTCATCGAGAGAATATATTTGGGTTTCAGCGAATTTCAGGACACCAAACTAGATTTTCCTTCGAACTTATAAAGTCTACTTAGTAATTGTGAATATTAATACTTTAAGTCACAATAACTAATAAGCATGACGAATTAAAAATTCCTACTGATTTTCATACATTTTGCTATATCAAATTGGCTGAAAAGAATACATTTTGGAAGGTATTGAAGAATCGAGTCAGTCAGTCAGCTGCAACGTAGGACCAGGCACATGAATGCATCGGTCCAAGTTGCCATACCACATTAGCACAACAAGATGAACACTGGATTCATAGAAGTAGTTAATTCAGCGGTGGTAATATATAGAAGAAAGACTGCATATAAGGAGATAGTACAGAAAGAAAGAATTAGTTCATAGAAAGAAAAAATATAAAACAATTTTAATCTCACGGTTTAAGGGAAGACAAAAAGTGTATACACCATTGTCATTGTGATCGATTCTAAGCCATGTCACCAAGAGTCTCCAACCATTGGTTACGATAGTCACGCGGACCCCAACCAAGTAGTCTGCATCTACCAACATGGCTCAGACTAGAAGTTAGTGACTTCAAGCACTGGTGCCACGTTTTGGTTTGGCCGCCCCTAACTTTCTTCCAATTATCCCCTGCACTAGTCAGCATTGCGCCTCATGGTAATCGGTGTTCAGGCATACGCAACACGTGGCCCAACCATCTCAGTCGATGAAGATTCATAACCTCATCAACTGATTTACCATCATTCCCTAATACCCTGCGTCTAACCTCACTATTACTTACCCGGTGATCCCAGCAGATACCCGCAATATTTCTAAGGCACCTGAAGTCAAATACTAGTAACCTACGAATATCTTCCACTCTTAAAGGCCATGTTTCGCAGCCGTATAGAAGGACGGAACGAACTGCCGCGCAGTATACTCGTCCCTTAATTGATAGACGAATATCTCGCCTTCGCCATAGGTGACATAAGTTGGCGAAAGCCAAACGAGCTTTTCGAATCCGTGCTGAGATTTCGCAGACACCGACCCATCAGGGGTGATCGGACTTCCAAGATAAGTGAAGGTGTCGAAGCGTTCGACTACTTCACTCCCTATCCTTAGTTCAGGTGTTGACGCAGACCAGTCCTGAAGCAACGACTTGCATTTAGAGGGAGAGAAGCGCATTCCAAACATTCTGGCATTGTTACTCAGTGCTACTAAAAGTCTGCATTTTATCAGCGTCTTCACCAAACAGGACTATGTCATCTGCGTATTCTAAGTCGATAAGTGGACCTCCTGGTGAGAGATCAATACCCAAGAATTCAGTCGACGAGAATGTTATTTCCATCAGAAATGGAGAAAGTGGACAGCCTTGACAGACACCACTTAAGATTGCAAAAGCAGATGGCAGTTTGCCATAAGCTCTGACTCGACTAGTAGTGTTTGAGTAAAGAGCCCTCACAATGTTTATGTACTTCTGAGGTACGCCTTTCAATGACAGACACTGCTATAGAACCTCTCGGTCTACAGAATTAAGTGCTGCTTTTTAGTCAAGGAAGACCACCATTGTCGGACGCCGATAAGTATGCCTATGTTCTAGAACCTAACGAATGATGAATATGTGGTCTCTGGATCCACGACCAGGTCTGAAGCCAACTTGATTCTCTCGTGTTTGAAGGTCGCGAGTCTTAGTTAGGCGTTCTATAATTATCGAGACTTATAGTTTAGATGCTATATTAGTTAAACTAATCCTATGGTTGTCACAGGATGATTTTGACCCCTTCTTATATATTGGGACTATAAGTGATTGTGACCAGTCAGATGAGATAACGCCCAACTCTCAGATTTTAGCTAAAACATTAGTCAACTTAATTGCTAAAATTGAACCACCATATTTAGAGACCTCTGGAGTCAATCCATCGGGATCAGCTGCTCTTCCTCGTTTTAAATTAACTATAACCTTTTGAACCTCAGCTAGAGTTGGGGGACCTACTTCAATGTTCCATTCATACTGTCTGGGAATGGTGGGTAGTTGTAGAGTAGCTGAAGACCAGCTGAACTGCTCCTTAAAGTGCTCCACCCATCGTTCTAAACGTCTGAACTGGGAGCAGATAAGAACATCGTCTTTTTCTGAGATAGTCTCACTTTTTAGTTCCAGTTTCTTTTATGAGTCTGAAGAGCTGTCTGGTGTTACCTACGGCCGCCGCCTTTTCCATCTCTTTTGCTTTCGTTGCCCACCACTGCTCACGATCGTTCCTTAGACTTTTGCTTAACCTAGATCTGATTTCTTGACGCTCTTCATCGTGTTCAGAACCTGATGGGATGAGTTTACGAGGATCTATCAGTGCAATAGACCTAGAAGAAACCCATTGGCTCTTTGTAACCCTGTGGTTTTAATCACTAATAGATGTCATTGCTGCTTCCACAGCTGATTTTATATCTTTCCAAGCAACATCTGGGTCAGCCTCGTTTTCAAAACTACCTAAGTGTGACCTCAGTTTCTCCTGGAACCTACTTTTGGTTTTCTCGTTACTCAGTTCAGTTCCAATGGATCTTCTTGATGTGGCTTTTTGCGTCCATTGAGACGCAAGCAGATGCGTGCTCGTATTAGGGCATGGTCGGAGTCCAAACAGGTACTTCAGAATGAGCGACAATTTTCTATCGACCCTCTCCAACGATGACTGATGGCATTATGATCTATTTGAGTCCATCGTTGATTTGGTGCAGGGGGTCCCCATATTAGACGGTGTCTTTCCTTATGCTTAAAATTTGTGTTTGCTAAAAACAAACGATTGTCTAAACACAGTTGCAGCAGACGACAACCATTATCTGTTCGCTGTGCCGGAATACTAAAATACCCACCTAAATGTCTTTCTGTTTCTTTTAAGCTACCTACCTGGGTATTAAAGTCACCTCCTACTAGTACTATGTCTCTCGTACTTGGTGCTATTCCTACACCTGCCAGTCACGGAGAGTGTACCTCGTCGGCTCTCCGTTTTGGCGAGGTGAGGACAAGTGAATGAGCACGCTAGGATATTGTATGTGTGTTTCGGAGACACAACAAACATCAGTGGTACGGAATTCTAAGGTTTTAGCCAACGAGGCCTGCTGGCCGATTCGACTTAGTGTGTGTGCGTTGAAGGCTTCAATGTGTAGTTTGGAGCGAGGTTTCAGTAGACCTGGGACAGTGTTTCGCGCACTAGAATCGTTGGCTATGGTGGCACTTGAGAAGGAAGCCAAAAGAGAAAGTTCAGCGTAGAAAGTCGATGTAAGAGGAATAATAGGAATTGAAGAGGGAGGTTGACTATGAATACAGTGGTCTTGAGTGCTGTTAGAGGTATGAGGGCGGTTATCACTTCCCGGTTGCCCACACCGTGGAAGGGTTCTTCTGGAGGTACCTGAAAAGGAAATTGGATTAGAGGTGGTCATAGTGACCTGAGAGCGTGACCGCAGTGCCGAAGGGACAGCTACTTGAGGTCGGTCACACACGACCTTTTTGTGAGTAATCTTTGTGTTAGCTCCGTACTTGTTGAGTCCTTACCGCCGGAGACGGATATCCGTGGGTTAAGGAGAGGTGTGCATTTTTAGGGTCGACCTTTTCTAAACCCACCCCTCCTTGTGGGTAGGCAGCATCGCTATCATGCTGGTTATCTGGAGGAAACACCTTACTGCTGTCACATCTCTGTACAGTCAGCAGTACAACTTCGCCTTCGGACCTTGGGTTTGTTGCTTTTAGTCTTACCGCTCTTCAACCGACCTATCTGGCGTTGTAGGACCTTGAGGAACGGTTGTTCCAGCCAGCATCGCTCGGTCGCTTCACCACGATAGGCAAGCCCGACCACCACATCAAGGTAGCAACAACGGTCGGGGAAGATTTGAGTACTTTTTGAATCAACCAAAAAACCGTATGAGATAAATTTCTATCAGAAATTATCGATTATATAACTAGTATCGACTTAAATGTGTATACTGAATAATTCTACTACACTTATGATAAAAATATGTTATATTTAAAACATACTTTAATATGTTACGTTTTGGTTAAAACTATTCAAATTTCAACTAGGAAGTCTCCAGTTCGAGTCCTATTCCACCAACTATAGTTTAATCGGATACTATTACATTGCTCTTAAACCTCAAAACTAAGTCTATCCAATCAATTATTCACAGTAATTATTCTGCATATCACATAATTTCTTCCTAAGATTATCAAATTTTTTTAAAAAAACAAAACAACTAATCCCTCCTATTGTATACTATTGGTGTAGTTAGATATGATGTTGAATTTCCAATAGTTTTTAGTTTAATATAAAAATATTGTTATCACAAACATATTGCGCACAATATATGCAGTTACAATTCCAATGAATTATATTTTATCCATTTATTATTTATTATCATTTTGTACAATACAACTTAAAACGTGTCATAGTTATCTCTTTTTATATCATTATTATGTAAATTTGGCATTTATGACATGCGCATTAATATATTGCTTTTTGTTTTTGGTAACGATAACAGTATCAGTATCGTTCTCATATTTAGATTAAATATTAAAGTAATAACTATTGGAAAGATATCATATCTAATATCCCAGGCACTATGTCTAAAATGTTTCCGCCATAATCCCATTTTTTCCCTAAAAGATTCATAGCTCTACCGAACATACAGTTTATGCGTGTGTTATGTATCAAACTATCCCGATTTTCTGTGTTATTTTTTGAAATTATTTCACGTTGAATAGTGACTAGATTGAATTGTATGTGTTCGTTTGTTTATTTTATATTATTTTTTAACTTATTTACATCATTTGATGACTTAAATGTTTCTCTAATGTATTCTTTCTTTCTCTATTTTCTTTTCTTTCTCCCACTATCCTTTGTATTTTAGCTTGATCGATTCGGAAATTCTCCACTACATTGATTACTTTAAAACACTCACACCACAACTACAAAAATTTGTTGATGATTGTTCTGATATCTGGCCATCATAAATATTGACCATCCATTTACAAAATTCCCATGCAAGATGTGGTTTGGTAAAAAAAAGATAAGCCACAAATACGCTCCTGCCTGTCTATCTTAGCTAGAAGTATTTATTCACCTTGTGTCTTTCATTATTTATAAATGGATATACTTTATATTTTGTGAGTCTTTCATTATTGCGAATGTTTATACATATAAAGAGTAAACTGATTTCTGTGGTCGTATCATTCCGATAGACATATTTAAATAGACCAATTGTGTGTGTGTATGTACGTGCGCAAAACTTTTCTCCCTCACTCACTTGTGTATACATTTTCCTCCATTCTCCTTACTTTTATTCTGCTGTTATTATCAGTATTATTATTGTTTCGCTGTTTCTTTCTGTCCTACTTTATTCCTTCTGTTCATATTCACTTTTTTTAATGAGTAAATTTTCCACATTAAACTTTAATTATAGTAATAATGATCTATTTTTAAACTATTATTATTAGTAAAATGGGCTTACACAGTATTATTCTGTTATTTATTATTGCTTCTATTGAAGAAAATGTTGTATAATTTTTTGGGTGGGGGGTAGTGTCAATTAAATGTGTGGGCAAACGATGTAGAACTTTGCAAATTTCTGTAATATGTGTTACTAATTATTGAAATTTCTTTTAAATATCAGCTTACTTGTCAATTTATATATATATATATATATATATATATATATATATATATATATATATATATATATATATATATATATATATATATATATATATATATATAGGATTTTCATTCAACAACCGAGTCAAGAATATATGTATACTGAATGTACATCCTTCTCGCTTAGAAAGTAGAATCACATTTTCGATCAGTGGCATCTGTTTCTCCCTAGAAAATGAACACAAATCCTGGCCAATAATGTATACTTATCATAGTCTGTCTGATTGGTCCAGCGCTTCATTTTTTCCTAGTCTTTGAAGTGCATGGTACCATCCATGTAAGTATAGATTTGAAGTTTATGAGACGACTATCGTATTAAAGTTGCTTACAATTGAGTTTTTAATGTTCATTCTAATGGTTGAAAATAATGAAATAGTGTTGCAATTTATCTGCTGGTTCACTTCAGTTAAAATTTGACTAAACGTTCCTCGTATTTTTTTCAGCTCATTATTGTATAAATAGAAAAAACAATTGAGACGAATAAAAAATATTTGTGTTCTTTCTGTATTTAATGTATCAAGTAATAATGAAGTTTGATTCAATGTTTTGCTAATTGCATTTTTAAATTGGTAATTTAACTGGATCATTTGCATCTATCAATTCACGTGATAAATCCATGTTTCTACCACACCTTTTAATTCATTGGATTGCAATTTGAAAAAATCAATGGGCTGTCCGTACTGAAATCTGTCTAGTGTCTTGCAGAACATGTTAAGCATGAAAAATGTGGTGAAAGTACCTGGTAACATAGATGGAGTTTGAAACAGCACCTCTGGATATTCAGTAGAATAAATCAATCGTAGTAACTTTTCTATGGCACCATTCTCTATCGTCCTCTTAGTTTTAGAGTTTACTAAATTTTAGCATTCAATTATCCATTAAATTCATTTGGGTAGTTGACGCAAACTGGATTCTTTCAAATATAATTTGTTAGATATTTTCGCTTCCGAAGGTTGTGCAGAGAACCATTTTGTGCACAAGTGTTTTTTACGTTAAATTCATAGAAAAATTCAAATAAATGATTGTTTAAAATACAGTAAATTTTTTATCAATTAGACTAAGCCGATTGGATAATGGAGTGTTGCAGTGGCAGTTATTGAAGGCAGTTTATTATCATCTCCAGTATTTTCGAAAAATTGAAACAGAACGTTTTGTGAACTCATCTCGACTATCCGTAAGCGCAATAACGACCGAAATCCAGCAGATATATGAACTGTACTTTTGTATGGTGATGTCATTGACGTAAGTAATGTTTTTCTGGGGATATATCAGTGATTCATTCACAAAGAAAATAGTTGAAACTGCAGAAAGAAAACGCCAACCAGCTTCCAAATTAGTCATTTAAAAATAAGAAATGTGAGTAGTATGCTGAATACTGCTTCATTATTTCAAAAACAAATAGATCAGGATGAAATTTAGAGTTATATTATCTGTGTTTTTTAAAAATATATTTACCAGCAATAGTGAATTTAAGGAACTCTAAGGAAATATTTCACCTTTACAAATATAAATTTCTTGACTGCATTATCCTGATGTTAATATGAAAATCCTCAATAAATCACATTAACCTTCATTCATTGATCTTAAAATTGATTATCAAAATTCAATATAAAATATTCATAGTTCAGTTTCTGTGATCTTGATGATTTCTCATAATAACCATTGGGTTAGCACATGAAAAATCAGTTTGTTTATCATAGATTTTTTTTAATCGAACAATGGAATCATTCATCACCTAGCCATAAATTGTAAACTAAAATCCAAGAAACTGTAATGATTTAAAATCTTTGAAATGTTGTTCAACTTATCTTCATTCTTGCTGAAGATTTGTAACACACACACTATTTGTACTACTTGATCAAAAAGTGACTTTACCTCTAATACCATCTCTCATTGGAAGTTATCCTTAAAGAATCTTGTTGTTGTTTGAGTGAAGTTTATGATCTAAATGTTTACTTTGATAATTGAGTTTATATTTATCATCTTGTTAAACTATTTGATTAGATGTTAAATCTCTTTTCCACAATAAAATAAACCTTTTCTTTATTTTTTATAGTTATTGTTGTACAAATTGAAATCATATTTATACAAGATTATACATATGAAAATTCAATAAGAAATATATTAAAATGAAACTGATAAGTAATTGAATTTTAATTGATAATATTTTGTACTAATTTAATTGTTTCCATGTCAATAAATAAATCAATAAAATAAATATGAATGTTTTAAATAATATTACTCATAGTGATATGATAAGTAAATATTAATTTTAAAATTCATTTAATTGTATAAGATTTACAAATGTATCATACTGTTGAATAATATCAAAAGTATGAGATCATGCATGTAAAAGATTGAAGAAAATTTAAATTGAAAGGATACTTCACTTATACAAATACACAGGGAGAGAGAAAGGGAGACAGACACACACGAAGAGAGAGAGATATTACGAGGGTAGAATTATGATGCATCATAGTTGTATTTAATAATTGAACATTAAAACTAAGAAATCATCACAGTTGGTAAGACAAGAGATAATTAATTTTAAAATGATGGCACTGATTTGAACAACGAATAAACAAAAGAGTATTCAATATTAGATTCTTTATCTTTTATCAATAATTTATATATAATGAAAGAAGGAAATGAAATAAATAAAAAATATTTATATATTGCTCAATTGTGAACATTCAGTTTCATTTTCATTTATAGGAATTTTACCTCGTGTCCGACGTGGACAACATCCAGTACCAGTTAATCGAAATGAATAAGCTGAACTTGGCAAATTATCTAATCGGTTAGCCATTGGATATAAGAAAAATGGATAAACAATTAAACCAAATAGAACTGATAATCCCACTTCAATATAAAATCCATCTAATTGTGTAACACATGTTCCATGAATAGTTTCACAGGCCTAAAGAAGAAAATTAACACATAACCAATAAATATTGTTTTATCTGTTACAAATTTTACACTTAAACGATTGTTTTAACCGAGTCGGTACATTATCAAAAAATCAATTAGATAAATAGTTTCAACGAATGGGTTTTCCGATCTTCCATTAATTCCAATACTGCATCGTTTAGCTAAAGTTCAATTTGACCTAGTACACATTTCGACATTTATCCACGCATCTAGTTGACAAATTGAAAACTTGTCTTGTAAGCTGTAAGTATAACTAACAAAATTAGAAAGAATCGCCTTAACAGACGAATAAAATTTCCTTAAGTAGCGTTTTCAGTATAACTCTGACAAACGATGTTGATTATCTTAGGTTCATTTTCTGTTTCAGCCTACCGTAATTCCTGCATTTTTCTAACTGTCAAATATTTAACTGCATTATTTATATTATATCGAAGTTTTTCTGAGTGAAGTTCCTTTCATGATAACCGTGACCGGATGACTAGAAAATTACTTTTTGAGTGTGTTTTATACCGTTTTGATATACCGTATTAAATATAAATAATATTATTATACCCCATATTGATCTTTGTTCGAGTCACTACTTGATTGGTCGATGACTAGTCAAACAGATGGAAAACATTTGTGAGGCTCTAATTAAAAGTTTTAAATTTCGCACGTCTTCGTGCATCAATTAAAGCACTTGAATTCGAAAGACAATTAACCTAGATTAATATTTTTATGAGGAGGGAACAAATAAGTAGAAAACATCTAGGTCTGTCTACAACGAGTACCTACCAACTGGGTAGATGTTAAACTTCATGTTCTTAAAAATATTCAGCAACCTTTATACTGTAAATTATTTATTACCTCTCGGTAACTAATCATTCCGGTAAAATGTTCTTCATAAACAATTACTATTCGATGTTCTAATTTATTTCATGATTAGTTTATTATGAAAGGTAACTTAAAAAAAAACAGAACGAAATTCTTTATTTATTATAGAATTTTTTGAAAAAATAAAACACACTTACTTTAATTCCATTGGGTAGTTTACATGTTGCATTATATTGTTGGACTAATTTATCTTTGTCAAAAAATGAATAACTATTATTATAATTATCATTATTGGTTGTGTTATTCAATAATGAATTATTTGAATTGATACTTTGAATAATTGTTTGGTTGAATTCTTTCAAAATACATGCACGTTTAGTTAACGGTTCGATTAATGAAAGGAAAGCAGTACTGGGCAAGCTACCAGCTTTAAAGATAAAATTAAAAAAAGAGATGTATACAAAGTGATAATGATGTGAAAGTTTTTATTTTTAAAACTAATTTCTGGTACTTCAAATAATGTGAAATACTATTTAAAATCAAACAGTAATATACATCAGCTGATTTTCATGGGTGTTTTATCACTGGTATGTGTATATATACTTTAGCATATAACTTTTAATTAAACAAAACTAGTCTGATTAAAACTTAGAAAACTGTCATTCTTCTACGATCCATCCTAGCAGTGAATAATTCACTGTACCATATGATCACTTAATAGTTTACCCTTTTGATTGAGCCCATAAAGAAAAACCCTTTGTATACGGAATGAAAAACAGTTTTAATATCTTCTGTAGAATTAATCAGCTTAAACTGTAAGAGTATGATTTCTTTAGATGTAGAGTTTTCATTTAGTAATGTTCCACAAAAAGAGATTATCAATATAATTTGCAATCAGTCTGAAAACCGTTGGATGACGGTTCAGTGGTCTAGAGGTTAAGATCCAGGTTTTCAATGCTGGTCTAACGTCAATCAGTTCATGATCTCAATCAAAAAAACTTAATAATCTTCACAACCCTATACTGATAATTACTATGTGCTCACCAGTGACTAGCTTAGTGTGGGAATTCTCTGAGTTATAGTGAGAAGCCATGACCAGTGAAGCCAATCCGTGTCGGGTAGAGACAGTTATCTACCTCAGTGCAATGGAAGATGGTCTCGCAATTTCATGGATTAGTCGAGGTTAGACATTAACACCGTTACCTCAGTGGTCTAAAGTCTAAGCGTTCGCGAGCGAAACTGAAGGCCCTGGATTCGAATCCCGCGAGCGGGATCATGGATGCGGACCGTTGGGGAGCCCCATAATCAAACGAAAATGCCGTTCAGTGCTTCCAGGTTTTCAATGGTGGCCTAACATCAATCGGTTCATGATCTCAGTCAAAAGATATTATAGTAGTTTAATAGTTGGATTAATGAGTCTATTGAAGCTAGATCACCATGGAAAACCTTGAAGCACTGGACGGCTGTTTCGGTTGAGACTGTAATTTATGGACGACTTTTGGGCGACGCTGAAGTGACCTTGAGGGTGTCCACCCAATAACTAAGACCAAATAGGGATTATAAAGCAGTGTGAGGAAATAGAATTAGGATTTACAGTTGAACGTTAAGGTTAGGAATCAGATTTACGGTTTTTATCACGAACTAACATTAGCTATAATGCCAAAACGTTATTTAGACATATGTATGAATGAATTTCGCGCCATTATCAGAGATCTGTTGTCTGATTGGTTCGTCTATAAATTATGGTCTCGCTAAATGTTTTTCCTTTCTATTGAGCAAAATTTATTCTTGTAATCATATTGGTTCATTTCATTAATAGTTATTTGCCCTGTTATAATTTAGACGTTGAATTTTTTTCATAAACATTAGCCTAAACAATGTTATTGTATAGAAAACATGCTCAAACATGATAACATTTACAGAAGAATAATAAAATAATCTATTCTATGCAAATATAATCCAATTATTTCGCTGTAACAAAGTTGTTTCATATTAGATTTATGATTATTCAGATGAGTTATTCTTTTATTGTTTGTTTAAAACAAATCTATAGACAGTAGAATTTTGTGAAATAGTATGAAATGATTGGATAGAAAATCAAAGATGAGTAGTATTACATACGCATATGCGAATATCTGTTGATGGAGGTATTATTATTACTATTAATATTATTTTACGGGTATTAGTACCAAGTTTGGATTCAATGAGTGGAAAAATTGTATTTCTAAAGTCTTGTGACTTAATATAAACTACTTCTTCAGAATAAATATTTATTATTTATTCACATTGAAGAAGTGGCTTACATTAAGTCACGAAATTCCAAAACACGATTTTTCTACTTATTGAGATATAATAGTCAGTCAGTAACAACGTGGAACTTCGTACGTACGTACATCAATTCAAGTTGCCATACCACATCAGCACATAGATGCAGTTGTCGATTTAAATCCCATAGTGGTGGAGGTAGTAAAAGTATAAGTAGTAATCTGAAAGATTAGGGTTTCAAGATGTTATTTAAAGAGTATAATCCAGTGGAATAGATTTAGAAAGAAAATAAACGACATGAAGAATTCAGAAGATTATAATTTGGCAGAACACAAAGAGTGGATGTACCTGCGTCATTGCAAATGATTTTGAGCCATGGCATTCAAAGTCTCTAACCATCGGCTGCTATCATCTCGCGGACCCCAACCAGGTAGTCTACACCTACCAATATGGCTCAGTCCACTTGTCAGTGACTTCATAGATTTGTGACATGTTTTGGTCTGGCCATCCCTAGCTTTTTTCCAACCTACTCATACACCATAAAACACATGTCGAGGCAGTTGGTGGTTGGCCATACGTAACACGTGTTATCGTTGTTTTTAAAGCATTTAAGCCATTGGAATCGCCAATGATTACCTTGAAATGTATTTGAATAAAACAGGAAAATACAATATTAAGTGATATGAGTGTGTATGAGACGGTATGTGTTTTCACAAAGATGTCATTTTAATGAAAACGAAAAAAATTCGGAAAACTTTCCAAGTCAAGATGTTTTCCAACTGTTTTCAAGAATTTTAAATCATTTATTCACACTGTTGAGCCTCAGTTTCAAAACGGAGCAATCGAATTGTAGAATGAAAGGTTAATTGTTTACATTTCTGAGAAGAAATTATATGTTTTAAGTCAAAGTACTATGAAAGTGATTTGTAGTATGTTCAAGTAGATGACTCACATTGGTAAAGTACTATTTAATGATAAATAAGTCATTAACCCACTACTACTTGGTTTGCATTATTTATCTTTCATAAAAATAACTCGCTAATATTTGGAGGAAAGTTAAGTTCGGAATTTATATTTGTAAACATCTCAGCGCTTGAACTTTAAGTTAACTCAATCTGGTCCAAGCTTTTTCAAGGTAATATAATACATGATTTACTGACTAACTGTACACTTAACATTTCGTTCAATTATATTAACAATCTTGAAAGTAAGATTTATATTAATGTATATAAGTGGAGAAATTGTAATAAGATAACAGTTGTATGTATGCGTACGCATATATCTGATGAGAGAGAAATTCATCGGTCGTATATCGCCTGTGATTAGGAATTCGATGAAAATAGATAATTTGACACTGTGTGTATAAAACGACGATAAATAAATAGACGTTTGTGTTTTTTTTTGTTGTTGACTAAGTGTGGTGTTTGAATGAACTAATGACTCCTTTGTACTTGTTGAATGTTTGATTTTGAATTCTAAATACAGTACATTCGTTAGTGCTTGTGTAGTACTTTTTCATTCAATTGCGTTATCCCTGTGATTCTTAGTTCATACTATAATTCAATTACTTCTAATCATCATATTGGCGTCGCGATGGGGCCTGCGATGGAACAGTTAGAAATTTCATAAGATGACTCGTCGAAATGACCAAAAGGTTAAGGAATTCATTCTTGAATTGCAGAAACAAGCTGCCAAATGTAATTTTGGTGATCAACTTCATGTGCAACTGAGAGATCGATTAATTGCAGGAATTAACTTGCCGGGTTTGGAAAGAGAGCTGTTAAGAATGCCGAACTGTTCCTTTCAAGATGCTAGAACTGCGTGTATTAACTACGAGGCAGTGAATGAACCTGATATCCAGTCGATGAATATTTCTAATACTTTGCTTAGTCGTCATGATGAAATACAATCTCAGGGTCAATCAAAATTGCGTTCGTTTAACAGTGGTTCCTATTCTCGTGGAAATATGAAAGATATCTCAACAAGGGATTACAAAAGAAATCACAAAGGTGAGACCAAGTTTGGCAAATGTTTATCATGTGGAAAAATTCATTCTCGTAATTCATGTGCATTTCGTAATGCTAAATGTTTTAGATGTGGTAAGATAGGACACATTCAATCAGTATGCAAAGCTACTATTCATTTTGCCTCAAGTAGTACTAAATCTTGTAATTTAGATCCCAATAATTCAGCTGTTCCTAATGATCATTTATCTTTGTCTACCATTTCGAAAATTGATACTCATATTCAAAAGCGATTATATACATCTCTTGGTTCATGTCATGACTTTATTGTGGACACAGGCAGTATAGAGTCCATTATTTCATTCAAGAACTTGAAATCTTTAGACCCTAACGTTGTGGTACGACCCACTGAGGTATCAATATTGGGGATTACTGGACACAGACTGCCTATACGAGGATGTTGTGAGTTGCTAATAAGAGATGATAATTCTTCATAAATACCTTGTGAATTTTTAGTTAGCGAAACAGGACTGTCGATACTGGGCTTAAGGAATTTGAAAAGGCTTAAAGTGGAGCTGTCTTTCCTAGTTTCTAAAGAAAATAATGATGCTTTACTCAAAGATTTGATAGCCACGTGTGCTAAGTGCAGTGGAGGTATGAAGATTCAGCCTATAAAACTTTAAGTACAGGGTGAACCAGTCTTTCTTAAAAGACGAATAATTCCTTATGGTCTTCGAGAGGCAGTACACAAGACATTAAACGATTTGTGTGCGAAAGGCATAATTGAACCGATCCAGTCCTCAGCATGGGGTACTCCTATTGTTACGCCACTGAAGTCGGATGGCAAAACCCCTAGAATATGTGGTGACTATAGATTAACACTGAATTCCTGTTTGTTGAAGCAAACGTGCACGACGGTAGAGGCTGAAGATATTCTAAATCGACTTCATGGTTCTAAAGTGTTCTCGAAAGTTGACCTAAAAGATGCTTATCTCCAAATCCCTTTAGATCAATCTTCATCTCTTTTGATGACAATTAATACTCCTTTTGGTCTGTTCAAATACAATTTCCTTCCATTTGGTCTAAGTTGTTCTCCAGCTATATTTCAGGAAGTCATGAATAATGTAGTTAGTGATCTTGAGGGCGTTGAAGTTTATCAAGATGATCTCATTGTCCATGGTTCTGATAAGGTAGTTCATAACCAGAGACTTATTGCTTTATTGCGTCGTTTAATTGAGAAGAATATTACAGTGAATCCAAATAAGTGTTCATTTTGTGTATCTAATTTCGAATGTCTTGGATACCTAGTTGATGGTAATGGTTTTAGACCAGATATGAAACGACTAGCTCCACTGACAAATGCACCGTCTCCAAAAAATCTTACGGAACTACGTTCACTAGTGGGTGCTCTTCAATACTATTCCCGTTTTATTCCTAATTTTTCTTGTCGTGCAAATTGTTTATTTAATATTTTGACATCCAATTCATTTAAATGGGGTGAGGAACAAGAGTCATGCTTACGTAGTCTACTAAAGTTTCTTCAAAGTGATGCTGTTCTTCGAACTTACTCTCCTAGTGTACAGTCTGTACTTATCACTGATGCATCACCTGTGGGTATTGGCGCAGTTTTGGAACAGGAGGGTAGACCAGTTATTTGTGTTTCACGCAAACTTACTGTTACTGAACAAAGTTATTCACAGACTCAGCGAGAAGCATTAGCTGTGTATTGGGCTGTTAAAAGACTCCATAAATATTTATTCGGAAAGAAATTCACTATTGTTACTGATCATGAGGCTTTAAAGTTTATTTATCATCCTGAAAAATCCTTTGCACGTTCCTCAGCTGCTATGGTTCAACGATGGAGTATTGCTTTGAGTGCCTATGACTATACGGTTCAGCACAGGAGTGCCAAACAAATTCAACATGTTGACTACATTTCTCGACAGTCATTACAAGATAAACCTGTAAATACTTCAGACTGTTTGTTAGTGCAAGCTTTACTAGTGAAACGTCCAGATCTCATTAGAGAAACTCGTAAATACTTTGGATGTATAATTAATGCTATACGGAAAGGTTGGAATGCTAATTTGAAACGTAGATTTCCTATCTATTTTTCAAAGCGGGATGAGCTATCTACTACTCCTGATGGTATTTTGTGTTTAAATGATCGTGTTGTTATTCCTCCTTCATTGCGTAAATCTGTCCTAGAAGATCTTCATAGTGGACATTTAGGTGTTGAAAAAATGAAGTCATTGGCGAGGCTCACATGTTGGTGGCCAGAGATAAATGCAGATATTTGTCGTACAGCAAACAATTGTGAAAAGTGTCATAAGCTGAAAAATCAGCATTCGAAGTGGACTCCATGGCCAGTATCGTCTGAGGCCTGGCAGAGAATTCATGCAGACTATTGTGGTCCGTTTCTTGGCAAATACTGTGCGCTTGTAGTTATTGATTCTTTTTCTAAGTGGCCTGAAGTTTTTTTTACAACTTCACCAAATTCTGACTTCACAATTCAAGCATTAAGAAAGGTGTTTAGTCGAGAAGGGGTTCCAATGGTGTTAGTGACTGATAACGGCTCTCAATTTGCTGCAGATGCAGTCACTACCTGGTTAAATGGTATAGGGTGCAAACATCTGTTTACTGCTCCCAGACATCCTTGTTCCAATGGTCAAGCAGAAAATTTTGTCAGGACGTTAAAAACTGCCATTGATTCTATTGCTGCCTCAACATTTAATGAGCTGGAGAGGGGAGTAGATATCTTTCTACTGCAATATAGAAATGCCAGACATTCGGTGACGAAAGAGACTCCATCAAAACTATTAAAAGGAAGAACTCTTCGGTCGAATATGAGATGTTTGGAGTCTGCAGAAGTTACGTATTATCGTGGCAATGATCTTCGACCATCCACGGGGATTGTTCTGAAGAATGTCGGGAAATCTATGGTGCGACTTCTAGATATCAATGACTTAAGTACACACAATCGACATGTTGATCAAATACAATTCCAGGAACCAGGTGAGTCTGTTCCGATTTCAGTTGTTAATTCTAATACTAATGAGTGCATTCTAGATAATACAGAGTCTATCCAATACATTGTCGGACAGACACAGCATGAACTTGAGGAGAAGACGCACAATTGATTACAGACACTTAGACTCTAATTTAAGCTGTGGCGGATGTGGTGTTTGAATGAACTAATGACTCCTTTGTACTTGTTGAATGTTTGATTTTGAATTCTAAATACAGTACATTCGTTAGTGCTTGTGTAGTACTTCTTCATTCAATTGCGTTATCCCTGTGATTCTTAGTTCATACTATAATTCAATTACTTCTAATTATCATACTAAGCTGATTATTCATCATATATTCAGGAAAACTAACTGGTGACAGTAATCATTGTTGTTCACATAATAAGAGATAAGTTAAATGAAGGACAATGTATTTATTAGTTGCTATGACATATTTAATTGTATTCCATCTCTTATATTAACATTATTTGGATTCGTTCATGTGTGCAGTGCTTCAGCTATTGATCTCTGTTTGTATGAAACTAAATTATTTGGAAGGATTGTGTTTTATTGCAAAAGCTTAAGCCAGATTGCCAACCGAAAAGTTAGATTTACTTAAGGTTCAATGGCTGAGATTTTTAGAAATACAATTTTTCTCCATAATGTTTTACATCATTCAGCACGTAACTACTGTCGAATTTTTCTTTAAAATTTTGACGAAAATTCTAAACTGTAAGGAAAGCTATCAGGACCATTATGATGCATAAAACTGATCTACCTAGTTAAACATCATACAAAGTATGGTATTATAAAAATAAAAATCAAACTTTATAAGAATAATATATCAAACAGGGTAACATAACAAACATTACCTACCGATATTAGATACTGTATTCAGCAAAGTCATATATGTTCCACCAACAGCTGGATCACTGATTTTAGCATGAAATGCTACCTGTACAACCATCATTATGCTTGATATAATTGAATAAACAAATAATTTACTTAATAAAAGTATATAGAATAACCAAGTAAACGAATATGTCATATCTTTAACTATATTTGCTGTATAATTTTGTGTTGAATTAGTTGTATCAGTGATATTATTTAAATCACTTCTGTTTAGCTGAATAAATTGAATTTGAGTTTGATTAGGCTGAATAATTCTAAAGTATGGTGTATAATAAACAATAGGAATTGTTAACGAGGTCACCAACAATCTAAAAGTAAATATTAGAAGAAAAAAAAACAATACGAATACTGAAATGTTTATTTTAATCTGATTTTTCAAATCATAAGAAGCCTTTTAAGTAAATTAATAGTGTAGGGGGATTTGTGGAGGCTGTAGAATTTTAGTAGTTGAAAACCTTCAGGAAAAGTGGACGGCCATTTCGTCCCAGCATGGGGCTCATTAGAAGTGCGCATTCACTATCCAGTTACATGTAATTGAACTCAGTACCTTCGGTTTCGCGCAGAAACGTTTAATCTTTAGATTACTGGATCGCTATCCATTGGTGTACATGACTAATTTCAAACAACCCGCAATATTAGGCAATCCTCATCCATTGCCTGCACTATCACACACCGGACGTGCTCTCGATTCCCGGATGAGGTTTACGGATGAACAATTCTGAGGAACCGCACACTAGAACGAAATGGCAGACCAGTGCTTCCGGTTTCTCAATGGTGCACAAGATAAAGTTAGTCTATGATTAAAACTGTGGAAATAATTTAATGTTTCGTTTTTCTTCAGATTCAGGTACAAACCAGCTTCAATATTGTGGTGATGAAAAGAGAATGGAACTACTTGTTTAAGTGGTAAAATTAACTTTCAGAATCTTTAAGAACATATGTGTATATATAGTACACAACAATTGATAATATATATTTGAAGTATATGCCTAAAAACTCCGTCTGGAGCCCCTTTTAGTCCACTACCGGTCCCAAGCCCGGATAAAGGAAAAGGGTTGGACATGGGGTTAGTGACCCCATACTGTAAAAAACTCACTATAAAATGCTAACCAAAAAAACAATTCAAGCCATTTAAACCCTGCCCTGGGAGTTAGAAGGCCTTGGTTTAAAGGATTTATTTCGCCTCATGGTGAAAGCCGAGTTCCTCCGGAAATCACGAGGTTGATGCCACTTCTGACAATCAGAGCAACCATTAATTTAGGAACATGGAATGCGGGAGGACGGGATAGTCTGCCAAATTGCTGCAGAAACGAATAGATACAACCTGGAGGTGCTTGGAATCAGTGAAACAAATTGGACGCATATTAGACAACAACGACTATCTTTAGGGAAACTTCTGTTAGAACTTTGGATCCGTTGGCCAGACAACATCAGCAACAACCTACTGTGGAAGAGAACAAACCAGATCCCGGCGGAGGAAGAAATCAGGAAGAAGTGCAACGAGGAAAGCACCCAACTGCGTCACAAGGCAAGCCGTCACATAGAATCCTCAATGCCAAAGGTGGAGAAGATCAAAGAGCACATTACTCCAGGAAATGGAGACAGACATGAAAAATATGAACAAAAATTGAATAGAACTAGAAAGGAAGGCTTAGAACAGAGTGGGTCGGAGAATGCTGATCAGCGGCCTGTGCTCCATCGGGAGTAACAGACCTAAGTAAGTAAGTAATGTGCCTAAAAGTCAATAAATAACATGAGCTCAAATGTTAAAACAAACGACAAGAGTGAACAATCAATAAGCCATTTAATAGTACTTTTAAAGATTCATTCTTTTGAAATATTTTTATTTTTCAAGCATGAAGCTAATTTCGACTCATGATATTATTCGAATCCTTGAAAAGTCTAGTCTATATGCACTTCAACGTTTACGTTCATAAAATGAAAATCCATAGTTTTTCATTTCAAACACTTAATACGTTATTCACTTAGCTATCTAGTTCAGATAACCTCGGGGTTTATGCAATATTGAATTTCAATATGTGAGCTTCAAATCGCAATTAAATTCTTCGAGAATTATAAGATTATTGTTTAAAAGTCTGTGTATGTGACAATTAAAGCTATCATTTGTATTTATAGCTTCTTTGTCATCCAACAAGTAAATGATTAAAGATAATAATGAAGATTACAAAGTAGTTATTCACTTCTGTTAGTTGTAACACATACTCTTTGCTAATTAAAACTTAAAGATTATGAATGTTGATAAAATTAATACTGGATTATCGCCGAGTAGTCATAATGTTAGAAAGGAAATATTCTGTTTAAACATTCATAGATAGATAAATAGTTGCAGTTTTAACTACCACCTAATTAATTCAAGGAAATTATAAATGAATAGATGTATATCTAAGTAACTATACTATTTTTTTGTGCTCCAGTAAATTTATTCCCATAGATTGAACATAAATAAACTAATTATTCTAGTGTGTATATTAAGAGTTATGTAAGTATAAATAGATGCCATATTTAGACCTCATTAACTATCAAAACAATATTCCATTGAGTTTAAATATGCAATTTATCAAAAATCAAATAAATATATCCACCTTGGTAGGAAAGCGACTATGAATACTCCTAAGGGTCTTGGCCCATTAGTCCAACGAGTAATTAATAATGGTAATATAGCTTGTATTGGCATTAGCAGAACACCAAAAAGTGCTAAACGTTCTTTTGGAAATCCATGTTCAATTAGTTTTAAACTGAAAATTGTCTCTGGAGCAGCAAGACAAACCTTATTTAAAACAGAATAACAGAAAAAAAGATGAATGAATATAATTTAAATTAGAGATATGAAAACTAATGAATGTCATTTATTTAACAAGTATACTAAAGTGTCACAGTTATGGAGATCTATACCTTTCAGTGTTGTCATAGACATCAACTCTCAACAGAGACCAAATTCAAAATACCCATAAGTTTATGAACAACATCTTCAACGTCGTCACATTTACATGAGAAAAAGAATTCTAGGGTATTTTAATCAGCAAAACAAACACAGGAATATTGAACAAAGATGAATGCTAAAACCCAGGCTACACAGACCGAATACTAAAATACAGTAGTAACAACTAAACATCGAATAAAAGAAATTGCGTACAAAAACTATTCAGAAGGACAGAAACTTCACTGTACAAAAAATTGAAAAAACCAGTTTTCTGTTCACACTCATTAAGAGTGGCTGTCCTGTCTGACAAGTCAATATATCAGCACGAAATCATCCCTAAGGACTAGAGGAAAACCATCCTATCATGAATGGCGGACGTTTAGGAAATCGCACGAGGACATTGTTATAACTTGTCATTACAATGCTACTTGTTATATCTGGTCGTCGCTGATTGTTATGTCGGAAACGCTTACCACTTATACTCGAAACGAGGGACCTCCACAATCCCCAAGGCGCGAAAGTAAGTGAAGATTTACTAGCCCTAAAACACTATGATGACGAAGACAACCCTAGTCTAAAATACACTCATTTATATACTGATTCATACACCAATTTTGATTAATAATTAGGATGAAATCACATACATGAAAAATACTCAGAGTTATCACAAATCACATACAAAGCATAGTTCATGCCAATTAAATACAAGAATATCGTATATTATACAGGGTAAAATATCATACGAGAAAAGACAACAAATGCTACATTGAGTAATCATTACATTGACTCAGAACGGAAGTAATTTGAACAAAACTCATAATGAGTAAATCAATCGAAAATTTATTTTTCTTTCCATCATACTGGAATCGTGATACGTGAAATTATGAAAATGATTTAAATAGGATCATGGTCAGAAAGAATGTATTCCAGTAGGTTAATAAAATCTATTAAATACAAATAATACAACTGAGAACCTATGCTTTTATAAAGTATTTTATTAATATGCAAACTTATAGGTTTCTATCGATATGTCAAAATCGTTAATAGTAGGATAAACATTACAATTTTTTTACTTAGATTGATATCATGAATGGATAGATGTTAGACAACCATTGAAAACCTGGAAGCACCAAACTACTGTCTATTCCTAAAGTGGGACTCCTCAACAATGCGCATCCATGATCCGGCACGAAAAAGGCTCGAACCTAGGACCTTCGATCTCGTGCTCGAACACTTAGACTCTAGACCACTGAGCCAGCATCCAACAATGTTAATGTCTAACTTCCACAATATTGTGCGGTCGTCCATCATTGTCTTCAGTGAACAACTGACACTCGACACAGTTAAACTCCACTGGTCACCTTCACACACGAGACCGAAGGTCCTGTATTCGAATCCCATGTGTGAGATTATGGATGCTTACTGTTAAGGAGTCCCATACTTGGATGAAACGCTTATCCGATGCCTCCGGGTTTTTAATGGTGGACTAACATTGATCCATTCATGGTACCAATATAAATTCAACAATCTCCATAACCCTGTACTGATAATTTTTATATTGTTAAAATACTTACACGCTGAATATGTATTTATTTACTTAAGAATCGGATTTAAAGAAAAAAATAACTTAGAAAGGGATTTTGTGGATATCATAAAAATTCAATAGTCGAATTCAAATCCCGCAGAGCAGGATCGTGAATGCGCACTACTGAGGAGTCCCACAATAGAACGAAACGGTCATCCAATGTTTCCAGGTTTTTCATAGTGATATAGCTTCAATTAACTCATAATCTCAACTATTTAAAATAATTAATTTTTTATATCAATAAAAGAATTTATCATTTTATCTAGTCAGTTCCATATTTCATTTGAGTCAACATGTAAAACTATATCGTAGTTGATGAAATATTAATTAATCACTTTCCTATATTACTTTGAGCTGTATTTTAGTTGCCACAGATACGGGACATTGATAATACAATATGATATAGATGTATATAATGACGTAAACACTTTACACAATCAATCTTATTTTAATGAAATAAATACCTTTGACTTATAAGTTCTTAAAGTGTAGTATAATGCATTATGGTAGAATGTTATTAGTTATGTTTTATAAGTTAAATATCATAAATCTTAAAAAGTAGTATATATATATATGTCGGTGATTAAAGAGCTCTTTTAAAGTTTCTATAGATTTTGAGTTATATATAATGAAATATATAAACTGTTTTTATCATGGACTTTTATGGACAACTTCAACGATTTGAAAATGTTTGATATTTACGGTATCATGAGTGATTATTATTCAATGATTTTCACTATTGCTTTATTGATATCACGTAATGATGATGAAACGAAATGAGAATCAAACAACCGACACAAACCAACCATGTGAACAAACTTGAAAATAAATTATGAGAAGTTTCAACAATAAGCTTCGAATAATGAATTTAAGTTATTATTGAATGCATGACAAGTATTACAGGATAATTCTAAACTAGAACAAGATAGCTATCTAGTGCCTTCTGATAGTTTTCAGTGTTTATCTAGTTAATATCAGTTCTAAACAAACATCAACTTGAATTCAAACTTATCTCTCACATGTCATCCAATTAAATATAACTGTTTTGTTAAATGGGTAATGTGTTTAAAATCTATTATTTGGTAGGTTAATATTTTTCTTAAGAATCGTGTACTAAATACCATAAACGTAATAAAAATGTAAATACTGTTCACATAGAAAATTCAAATTCATAAGGTTAACGAAATCCAGTGCTTTTGTTATACTGGGTCACGGGATACCTAAACTGAATATTATAAAACTCTTACCGTTCTCTCATTTCTTCTTTTTTGATTACATCTTTCATAATCTTCACATTCATCTTTCCCAATTCACATGAATTCTTTTTGTCGTAGTTACGTTGATAACACCCCTCTTATTATATTTTATATGCACACAACGATATTATTATTATCATTATTACCTCAATTAACTGGATAAAATTCTCCTACTATGCATTTTATTCATACGATTTTTGTTTTCATTTTCGTTTCTGCTATATTAATGTTAGTATCTGAAGGGATTTTAAGGATATTATAGTGATTTTTAATGGTTGAGAACATGTATCAAGCTAAACCACAATAGAAAACCTAAAAGCACTGGACGGCCGTTTCGTGCTATTACGGCACTCCTCAGCAGTACGTATCCACGATCTCGCTTCGCGAGATCCGAACCCAGAACCTATTGGTTTCGTGCGCGAGCGCTTAACCTCTAGACCACTGAGCCGGCATCCAGCGGTGTTAACGTCTAACTTTAACTAATCCACGAAATTGAGCGACATATCCACCACTGTCTTCAGCGATTTACTATCTCACAACAGACCCAGTAGAACTCTACTGATTGTGACTTGATACTTTGCTCTAAATCATTTTGACGTTTATTGAATTACCTTACTGATTTACAAGTAGCACAATTTCGAAGTATTTATGTCGTAACAGTTACGTTCACCATTTTCGACATTTAATATTATCGAATTCATTAACGCATGCCTTATTTTGATATTTGTATAATATCACAATAATTATGGACTTATAACTGTACAGCCTGATGATAAAATTATTGAAAACAATTAAGGTAATATCGAAGCAATACGCACATTATGTACATATGCTTATAAGAGACTAATTAATTGCAGTCCTAAACATCAATGGGAAGATACAAGTAAACAACACCAAGTGAATTTAAACTTCACCTCATTACACAAGCAAATGGTTATCACGACTCAATAGCTAAGTGGATAATGCGATGGCGTTCGAAGTGAACGGTACTGGGTTCCAGTCCCAGAATGAACATCAACTCTGACATGTAGGTACATCCATCTGACGAGTCCTAACTAGAACGAAACATGCATCTTGGATTCCATTGCCAGCCACTATCCATCATTGCTTAGAATGATTGTAAACAATTGTTCACTCAAATATTCTTCATATTTAAAATAAATAACTTCAAATCAATGAAAATCTCTGCTTTAATTCAAAGTTATAAAATTTTTTTCAATTTTCTAGTCATAGTGACAATAATATTCAGGTTACTAACTTTAAATTGTTATTTTTAATTGTTTATTGAAACAATGATTTCTTTTTTTGTTTGTTTTCTTATTACATTCATGTAAAATGAAACCTGAAAATGTATTTTTTTTTAAATTTAGTGTAACTCATGTTTTATTAAAACTCAAAGATGTTTGTTCTTTGACAAATATATTAAATACACAATGTTTTTAGCTTCTAATTAATCATTTTTAAGAAGGTACATTGATATAATTTTATAGACTATAATATTTTTATGTCAGATTCCGGATAACAAAGGTCATTTGTCTGTAAAACATATTACATTAGACTTTTTATAAACAGTATGCTTTAACAATGTTTTAGATTAAATTATATGAAGATGATAAAATAAAAAGCTCAATAGTCTAATATGTCTGATTTATATATGACTAATTCAAGTATTATGATTTATTTATTGACTATAAAGCAGATATGTATATACAATCTTGCAATTTCAGGCACAAACTCAACTTTGGAATTTACTTTCGTTTTTTGATCTAAGGTATTGATTTTGAACTGTCTATATTTTGTGATGATCTATGATAAATATTGATTTGTATGTAAAGTAGTGGAAACTAGTCGACAGGAAACACTGGACATAGGTTTCATGCTATTTCAAACTTGCCAATGAGGCGTACCTGTAATCTTGTGATAACTGGTACTCGCTGGAGGAATCGACCTCACGTCACTCAGATTCGCGGACTGAGCTGTTTGAGCAGCGACTGGCCTCCTTTGTCTGACTGAGACGTTTAAAATTGACTGATCAATGAGTGGTGGTCAATGTTACTAGTTCATGGTTTCTTGATAACTACTTATAATCACCTAACATCTCAACATTGTGCACTCAATATCAAGTCAATTACACTAGTGGCTGCATTGCGAAATAATCAGTAGAATTCAATTGGTACCAAAGAACCAGATAAACATGAAATTGGTCACTATCCAATTATCAATCAATCGTATCGACTTATATACTATAGAAATTAAAAAACGAACGAGGTTTACTATATGAGTCTAGTTATTTAAATTATTATCACCAAATAAAACTTAACTACGCATTCAAAATATGATGAAAACTGGTTCTTTCGAATGAAAAATCTTTCAAAATTAATAAGGTACAAGTGGGTCTTGAAAACTCAAACCATTAGTATTATCTTGTAAGAGTTTAATACTTCTAGTTTCTAATGTTAGCGACTGCAATTGAATAGTCTCTTTCTGCAAATGTCCATTCTGAGTGAATTGTCTCGACATTACCATCAGTCACAAGTAGTTTTAGGTAGAGATAGGTTGTGGCTTGCAGAGAAATTCCGGACGCGACCTGTCCTACTCGGGTCTAATAAGCTGGATTATCAATAAATATTTTTAAGCAAAAATATCCATGGAGTTATAAACGGTACATTATTTTGTTGTATATTAGCTGACAGACATTTTTCAGTCAATTTAAGTGGTGAGCACCATACGTAGATTTTGAATCTCCTGTCAAAATACTTTGAGGACAATTACTTTCTACTCATCAAGTCCAGTAAAGTGAATTATCTGGAAGTCCCGCCCTATAAAATATTACTTTGCATTAAAGCGTAATAATCCTTCCAAACTTGATTATCCATTCAAATATGAGACGTTTGTGACGTGACATGAATAAACGATAATGAATACACATTTTCTTTATGGATACCATAGCAATTGTATTGTACAAAATTGAGTTCCTAAAACCAAATGTAAATCTATACTGTTTTTGACAATGATCTAATACATTATATCAGAAGGGGCGTTTTGTGGAGATTTCAGTAACTTAATAGTTGAATTCATAAATCAATTAAAGCTAGACCACCATAGATTACCTGGAAGCACTGGACGGCCATTTCGTTCTATTGTGGGATTCCTCAGCAGTGCTTATCCACAACCCGGCACGCGGGACTCGAACCCAGGATTGTGGATGCACACTGCTGAGGAGTCCCATACTAGGACGAAACGGACGTCCAGTGCTTTCACGTTTTCAATGGTGATCTAGCTTACATCGAATCATGAATTCGACTATTATAATATATCATAAAATATGTGGCGTCATCAGTCTCATTAATCATAGTTGAAATGCCCAAAAAATTAATCGAAATAGCTCGTAAAAAAGTTATGAACACTATCAGATAAACAGAAGTATCAAACGATAAATCAATGAAATGACTAACTATCAAGTAGGATTAATAGCTAAACATCAAACAATTCAGCAAAAATTAATTAGCCAATTAGGGTAACTTGAAAATTGTTTTACGTCCAAACAAATTCTTCTAGGCAACAAGATTCGTTATTAAAAAAACTACTAATCATGTCATTCAAGTTTGACAAGGTATCCATTTCATTATTATTTGACTGGTGTTGTTTATTTTTGAAAAGTTTATTTATAATATGTTCATACCAACAATTCATAGTATAAAAAAATTATGAAACATACTAATTCGTTTATATTACCTAATAGTATGATATAAAATAAAGCAACAGATTTTTAATATAAAGAGGTATGTAAATAGGCAATATACTGTAGAGTATTTACCCATCACAAGTTTTATATATTTAGTTTCGAGACACACTGTTTGTGTGAGGGCCGATTATACTACCCGTTAGTCTAACCAAAGTAGAATGACTGGGTTTTAACCTTCGGTCAGCCAGTTTGAAGCCAAGTTCTATAACTGATAAACTGTCATTTCACAATATTGTGTTTAATAAAACCCTCTTCAGGCATATATATACGTTGACTATACAACTGGTAATAGGGATGAGACCAGAAAAGTTGTGTCGGTGGTGATTATATTAATAATGATTATTATGAAGACAAAAGAATAAAATAAACTCGAAAATGTTTCTAGAAGTTTCAAAATACGAAGTTGCCAAGACTTTCTAACTGCTGAAATGAGAAAATAAACTTACCCAAATAATAGATGTTGTATAGAAAGTTGAAGAAAGTAAATTCGAAACCTCACAGCAGTAAATTGGGGAATAGGTTTTATCAAATTTTTCATTAATCGGTTGACAGTTATCATAACACATAGTTTTTTACTTGACTGATTACAGTTTCTTACTTAAAATCCAAACATGCATTTAAAAACATATCAGTGATAAACATATTAAGTAATTCAATTAAAGTAATTTACATGAGAGATCTTAACAGGAATAAAACAGATCATAATTGCTCTTTATTCTTCAAAGGTTCTCTTGGAAATATTAAACCGCAATAAAAGTTATTGCCTAAATGAATATAAGTCTACATATCTTTAAGACTACAAAACTAAAGTATATTTTCGAGGTCTTCCTTAAATGTCTACATGAATTCAGTTACTGTATACTACTAAACACAAGAACTTTGATTGTTCATATGAATACCGATATGATTTGATATGTCATCACTGACTTATTATTTACCGTGACTGACCGTATACAACTTCATAAAAATCATATCCACCTTTCAGTCTGAAACTATACAGCGAAAATGTTTATTTGTTGCAATTAAATCATACCTTAGAAACTATAAAAAATATGAACAACTATAGTTGTAAAACATTTCTCACCTCTATCATAGTCATAATTATTATTCAGTATGTAAAGTTGATAAATGTTAACTAAATACTAACAAATATATAAAATGTCATTCAACTCAGCTAGTACCAAACATTAAACTTATTTATAGCATAAATTCACTTAGTGTTGTTTGCTTGTATCTTCCCATTATTTAGGGCATAGGTTTTGTATTTAAAGTATATGTTGATATTCGGAATTTTTTCAATGGTAAATAAAAACTGATTAATTTCCAATGTAGTCGTTGAATTCATGAGCCAACTGAAATTAGAACACCATGGAAAACCTGGAAGTAGTGGACAGCCGTTTCGTCCTGTTATGAGACTCCACAACAGTGCGCATCCACGATCTAGGGATCAAGCGTTCTCACGTGAGACTGAAGATCCTGGGTTCGAGCCCCACATGCGGGATCGCGGATGCGCAGTGCTGGGGAGTATCATATTAAGACGAAACAGCTATCCAGTGCTTCCAGGTTTTCCATGGTGTTCTAGCTTACATCGACTCATGGATTCCAACCATTAAAAAAATAAGTTTTACCTAGTACTTTAAAATATATCACGTAAAAAGAAAACGACTAGAATCGTCAGTCAGCTACAACGTAGGACCAGACACATATATGCATCGGTCCAAGTTACCATACCGCACAGCAAGATGAACACCGGATTCATAGGAGTAGTTAAGTCAATGGTGGTAATATGTAAAAGAAAGATTGCATATAAGGACACAGTACAGGAAGAAAGATTTAGTATATAGAAAGAAAGATATGAAGCGATTTTAATCTCTTAGTTTAAGGGAAGACAGAGAGTGTATACACCTACGCCATTGTGATCGGTTCTGAGCCATGTCACCCAGTCTCCAACCATTGGTTACGATAGTCACGCGGGCCCCAACCAAGCAGTCTGCATCTACCAACATAGCTCAGACAAGAAGTTAGTTTCTTCAAGCACTGATGCCACGTTTTGGTTTGGCCGCACAGTTGGCTTAGCCGAAGTTATTACATATACGAAATTAAATATGGAATATATTCCATGTTTAATAATTGAAGTCAGAAGACATGCTACAAAAATTCATTCAAAGAAAACTGATTGCTTTCGATGTGTATTATTCAAAGTTATGTGAATAAACTAATGTTTATACATTTTTCTGAAAATATCCTGGCACAATGATTATCATCCATTGTAGGAATCTTAGATACTTGTTCTTTCATGACACATGTAAATTCGGTTCATTGTTCAATAATTTTCTTGAAATTCCTAATCTTTTTCATTATTTTCTTCATAATTATTGATAAATGCATTTGAATGAAAAAAAATTTAACGTGTACATACAACTAAACTGTTTAGTTTACAATGTATTATTCTCATTTACTATTTCGACAAACAGTGTTAAATTGATTATCATTATGGGGGTTGTGGAGATTATTAAGTTTTTGATTCAGATCATGAACCAATTGATGTTAGATTACCGTTGGAAATCTCGAAGCGCTGGACGGCCGTTTCATCCTATTGTGTGACTGCTGAGCAGTGCTCATCCACGGTTGATATTAGACACTAACTCTATTAGATGCCAGCTTAGTGATGCAGTAGATTAAGCTTTCGCGCGTGAGATTGAAGGCCCTGGGTTCGAATTCCGCGAGCGGTATTGTGGATGCGCACTACTGAGGAGTCTCACAATAGGATGAAACGGCCGTCTGGTACTTCCAGGTTTTCAATGTTGGTCTGACATCAATCGGTTCATGATCTCAATTAAATTAATTAGTCGATGAGTAGTAACCAACATCACACTTATTTACTCTTAACGATAATTGAATAATATCTATCATATTGTTGACTTGACTGAATTCTACAAGAGGTTAGTCAAGATTTTAACAGTTGATTGATATCATTTCCAATTATTATATTAATTTATCCAAATCGAAACCTTTCGGAACTCATCATATCCCTTTAAGATTTCAAATACACTTTGATAATAAACACTGAATGAAATTAAGATAAATATAACTTACTTTAACAGTAGTTAGTAAGATTAAAAATTGCCAAACAGGTTTTAATCGTATTACACCAAACATAATACGATATGTATCCATAAGTGATAAACATAATTCTTGATTATTATTACTATTACTATTATTATTAGATATATTTTTATTAGTATAATTTTTTTGATCCAGTTCAATTGTATCATTATGTTGAAGATAATCATTTAAATATTCATTACCATAATTTGATTTAGTTTTCATAGAATCTATATGATGATTTGATAGATTATTTGAAATTGAATTTGTTTTACAAATTAATTCATAATTCATTGTATTATCATTAATTAAATGATTTTCTTTTAAATATTGATTTTTTGTTTGATATAAATTTATTGATTTTAATGATAATTTTGAATGATCAATATTATCAATTTCTTCATGATTATATTCACAATATAATGGATTAGAATTTTTAGATTCTTGAATAATATCAACATTAGGAATTAAATTATTATTATTATTATTATTGTTATTATTACCATGATTACAATGATAATTTAAACAATGAGATTCATTGAATGTTTTTCGTTTGCATATTTTATTAAATAAATTATTTAAACAATTTCTAAACTCTGTATCTAATTTTGATTCATTTTCATGTTTAAATAATACTAAAATTGTATTAGTTACCATAAATGTAATTCCCCAAAAATAAAGAAAACCTTTAAAAAAAAGAAAAGAAAAATCAATAATTCTGATTTAAAAGTCAATTATATGAATTATAGTATAATTTAAAATTTTTCATTGATTTCTTAATATAAAATCAATGTATTAAATATTAAGATAAAAAATAATGAATTTTGGCATTAATTTGATTAATTTAATAAATGGATATTTATGTTGATTAATAAAGGAAGTCATTTGTCAAGTATTTGAATGTTAAACAACATCTTTGACATGATTTAATGAAACACATTTAAAAACAGTAAATAGAAATAATAACATTCTTACTTATTTCTACATATTAACTTTACCAAATATTATGTATCTTTAGGTCATAGTGTGTCGTGTGTACTACTTATATCGATATAAGTAGTATATAAACGTAAGTCAGGGAGCAAAATGTCGACAAAATCGATAAGGAAAGAACGAGAACAGAAAACAACTGATATGGAAATGCAGGAATAATGAAGTCTAAGATAATTAATGAACATTTTGTAAATGAAGTATTTACTGTATGCTTTGCAGATTTTAACAAGATATACATTCGATTGTCTCCAATTGTGTTCTTGTTCACTACAATAGAATAAAGTTTTATTCTAGCTGATATTTCATAATTAACAGACTTTTTCACCAACCAGTATCTTCTGGTTTATAAGTAGTGAAATATTTATAATATTACAGAATAAATTTGTGATCAAAAATATATAATATAAAACTTAATTATTGTGTTATATATAGTTTCCCTATCTTTAAATGAACTTGATATATTCATTCAGAAAAAAAAGTATATATATATATATATAGTAATTTAATAGTTGAATTCATGAGTCAATTGAATTTAGAACACCATGGGAAACCTGGAAGCATTGGATGACCATTTCGTCCTAATATGGGACTCTTCAGCATTGTGCGTCCCGCCCCGCGAGATTTGAACCGAGGACCTGCTGGTCATGCGCGCGAACACTGGACCTCTAAACCAATGAGCCGGCACCCAACAGTATTAACGACTAACTTCAACTAATCCAACTATTAAATTACTATAATATCCACAAAACCCCTCTCTAATTATATATATATATATATATATATATATATATATATATGTAATAGTTTTAAAAACTAACCGTGTTTTATATTTGATTTTTATCATTTACATTTTGTAATTCATCTATTCACAAATAAAAATTTAATTAGAAATTTTGAATTATCTAAAGTTCACTTGGGATTTTAATTGAAAACTCTTAATTATGTTGTTTATACAAAAATCGCAATTGATTAATTATTGTTTTTTCAGTGTAAAAACCGTTTTTTTTGGTAATATCTATGACCTTACTTGAGGAACATATAGTAATAAAAATAATTTAATTAATAATAAATTAATTATCAGATAAACTTTAGTTAACTTAACAAAACGTTTAAACAGGTTATGCATGTATACTTAGATACCGCGTGATTTTCTGAGTACTTTTACTAAAGTGTAGATCAAGGTCATCTAACCAATAATTATTATGTTTGTAGTTATTTTACAATATTGTCTTTTACTAGTAACTGATGGATATAAATATATAATGAATTACTAGAATGGAAGATTTATAATAATGAATAATTTGAAAAACTGAAAAAGTTCCGTTGTAGTAAACGGAACACCATTGGGGAACAATTGAATGTGATTGCCGTAAAATTACAGGACCCATCAATAAAATCTAACAACCACATAGTAAATGCTTAATTTGCAAAATGTCCATCAATTGTCTCGAAATGACTCAGACTTCATTGTTTCTGCATTTTCATACAAATTGCATTGTTTCCATTCTTTACTGTTCGATCCTCTTGTCTCTTTGCTGCTAGACATTCTGCTCACGACTAACAGCATATACTACTTATATCTTTGTAAGTAGAACACCACACTATGACTACTAGTGTATTTCTATCGATAATAACTGTCTCACAACCAACATAGTTTAATCCCGAAACTTCTGGTTTCTCGACAAAACTTCAAGAATTTTTAGTTAGTCTATCATTAGTGAGCAACCAATAGTTATCTGGATGAGACAATTGCGGGAATCGAGAGAGCTGTTACCGATGCCTATAAATGACGGTTACCCAATACCGTTAAGTAAATGAAGATTTTTAGAGTAAACAAGCGATTTTCAAGCCACTTGTCTAAAGTTAAAGCGCTATAATCGAATTTTGATGGTCTTAGGCTCAGTCGGTGGTGTGTTATGGATGCGTATTGTTAAGAAGTCATATATATGGATGAAACATTTATTCAATGTTCCCTGGTTTTTAATGGCTATCAACCCAAAGTCATTATAAGATGTAAATTATCTTCAAATGATATGAATATTCTTAGGCTGGTGTAGCTGATGAAAAAGTGATAATATTCACATGAACTTACATTCACTGAAGACGGGAGACTTCTTATATTTAATTTTGACAATTTAGTCAAAAGCTAATTAATGGATTTAAATGTTAACCTTCAAGATAATTAAGGCAATAAGATAATTCAGTTTTATGCACAATGAGGATGTATTATATAAAAACAAAAGAAGTCCCCATTCGAAAAAGACTTCCAAAAGGTTTGTTTTTTTTAGAAACTTGAAGATTACTGATACTGACCACCATTCGTGCCTACTTACCATTACACGTTTTTGCTTATTATTATTATTATTACTATCATCTGAACAACAAATAATCTCAACAGACTGCAAATTACACTGTGCATTTGGTCAGTTATAAGTAATTTTTAATCTTATTTACACCGTATTATTTCTAATGAAATGGCTTGTTATTTTCGAAAATCCAATACAGTGTTTATCACACTCTTAATACTAATATTTTGGACCAAATGAGACATGTATTTCAGTATAGGGTTGTGGAGATTGTTGAGTTGTGAGATAATGAATCGATTATTGTAAAATCCCCATTGAAAACCTGGAAGAACTAGATAAATATCTCGTCCTAGCACGGAACTCCTCTATGTGATGCATTCACGAGCCCGCACACAGGATTCGGACTCGCATGCGAACGCTTAACCTCTGGACCACTGAGCCAGCATCTAGATAAATGCATTTTTTGCCGACATTTAACTGTTTTGCATGCTATAGGCTTTAGTACAAAACCAAATCTATTGAGCCTAAATATAATTATCTGATAAGAGCAAAAAGCAGTTTGAAGGCTTTGATCGCAAAACTACATAACATAAATAGTAGGCCTTTGTTTGTGACCTCTTAATAATAAGCATTCATAAATCCAATGAGGGAATCATATATAGAAATGGCGTATTTCACCCACCGCTTAACACTTTCAAATCGAATCATTTATTATTGTTAATATAAACGAGATTATTTCGCTTTTGACTTAATTGACTCCATAGATGATAGATTATCGTAGACAGTCGTTGACACCGAACTGTGATAAAACATAGATCAATTTAGTACAATCGATTCGAGTGACCAAAGAAATTTAGAAACAGTGAAATGATATACCAAGACTTAATAAATATTAGGACGGATCACTACATTTCAAAATTTAAGGACAAATGAATTCTCATCGAAGTATTTCATCACTTCATTAGTAAATAGTGTGAATAATTATTTTTGAAGGCTTAATTGCCTCATGAAAACTACTCTCCGTAGATAATTATTGTATTTTCATTTGATTTAAAAGAAGGTTACACGAGAGTTAAATTCAAGTAAAGTCTACTGTATTTTAACTGACATTGTAGTTTTGATATGTTCCGTTCTTTTCTGAGCTCACAATTGCAATGCTGTTAATCGAAGGGATGATTTTATTTTGTTACCAACCAGCATTGATAAAGAAATAATGTTGTTATGTGGATAACTTGTGATGAAAATCTCTATACTTTTCCCTTAATTTAATGTTTAAAATAAGCTGATTGCTTCAGTGAGACTAAATTTCAAAGGATAATCGCTGACGAGCATTAAAAACTACAAAATAAGCTCTTCTGTAAGACGGAAATAAGAATTAAAAGTTTTCCAACCTTGATAGCAACTGAATTAGTCATTGCTTTCAACACATCACTATAAAGTTATGTATACTAGCCTCGTTTGATGTCTGATGAGGTCACGAAGTGAGAATCTTAGGCTAGAGTAAAATGAATATATACTTCTAGCAGGCTTATAATTATTCTTCAGCTGATATCAATGTATGAAAAAAAAACAAATTTTCAATGATGTCGTTTTTCATTTTGATTACAGAATGTTAAAATAAGCTCCTTATAAATAAAATAATATATTTGTAATATCCCTATAAGTAGGAAAATTAGATTTTCTGACGTTTCGTGACTCAGCGCAGGCCACTTCTTCAGAGAATAAATAACCATAACGATAGACAATCAAAGAATCTAACTTTTCTACTCGATGGGATGTTACAAACATATTATTTTATTTATCCAATCTACCCAATGCTCAGATTATTCGAAATTATTAAGTCAAACCTTGATAATGATACCTGTAAGCTCCCTATGTTATCATTCCACTATAATTTATGAAGTTCCCACTGATGTACCTACTAATGTGTTGAATGTTGTTTCACAAGTACAAAACGCTCTTGATTTAATAAAACCTAATCCCTTCGTCCACATCGAAATGTAGCTTAAACCTAGTAAACAAATCAATAACAATTTGTTGAATTATGACATTTTTCTAAATATATGTTCATATCAATAGCTGGGATCATGAGTCAATTGAAGTTAAACCACCATAGAAAAACTGAAAGCATTGGATGGCCGTTTCGTCTGATTACGGCACTCCTCAGCATTGAACATCCACGATCTTGCTTTGAGAGATTCGAAATCAGAACCTGTCAGTTTCGTGAGCGAACGCTTAACCTCTAGATCACTGAACTGGTATCCAACTGTGTTAATGTCTAACTTCAACCAATCCACGGAATTGAGCAACACATCCACCATTGTTATCAGTGGTAGTTTAGTTTCAATTGACTCATGATCTCAACTATTGAAATTACTATAGTATTTACAAAAACCCCTTCTGATATGTTTATATGTTTATTTATTTATTTATATGTTTTGATAGTTTTCACGATTAAATTTGCAATTTTGTCATATTACGAATAGTATGAAATTTTTTCTATAGTTCCCAATCTGACAAATACCATAACGTTTTCCAAGAGTTTAGTTTGTAAAAATATGTTAACATGTAATGATGATGTAACAGATTTGATTATTTGAGCATTTAAGTCTTTGATCATCTTAGTTTGGTATTTATAAGTATCAATTTCATCCAGTATTTTGCTAATCAATAATTTTAGTTTTGTTCTTCATTCTATGTAAATTTCCGAACTACTTACTCATTTTTGTTTTACCTTGGTTTTAATAAGCAAGAAATCTAGCTTCCAAATACTTTTACGCATATTTAAGTATTGTGGAAGTGAAATTTTTCCGAGTACGTTTTTTAAGCTTAATTCTGTGATTTCGCTTTGTTTTACCTATTCAATAATCATTACTTAAGCAAACTGATTTCTCAAATTGTTCAAAAACGTATAATATACGTTAGTATCTTAGAACTAATGAATAACTCCGAATCCACGTTAGTAACCTATCAAACATTTTTAGGTTAAAACCTATCGGAGATCCTATACATTTTACATGGATAAAATCATAAAACTTGTAATTTATGAATTGGTTATTATTAACTAGTTAGAATTGATTACTACTACTATACAAAAGGCAAAACAAACTGATAACAAGCCTCAAATAGTATGAGAATAGCTTATCAATACTTAAAATTTCTATCCAAATGTACCATAACTTTTACATTTTTAAGAGTAATTCATTGCGTAATCGTTGTAACTTATTAGTTAAGATTTAGGAAACGACATTAGCCAAAAGTATATATTTATATATATATATATATATATATATATATATATATATATATATATATATATATATATATATATTCTAAACAAATAAACTCAGATAAGAAACCATTGGGTTATTGTTGCAGATGTAGATTACTGAATACGTCCAGTTCTTGAGAATGGGTGAATTTGTGAATGCACATTGTTGGTAAGGTTCATATTAGAGAAAAACAACTATTCAATCCTCTCCGGTTTCCAGCAATTCAATTCAATTCATAACAGCAACAAAAAAACTAATATCTCAAAATTAAGTTAATCACTAGAACCGATCAAAAATTAAACTTATATTCATATTTACTACTTTATTATTGTACTAAAACTAGAGATAAGATGATTGACTGATCAAAGTGTTCCCATACACGTCTATCGAATTCATGATACACATTTTTTTGTTTACTGAAACTAAAAACAACATAGTTACTAAATTAATATTAAAGTGCTATCATTCAATATCTGAAATATTCAAGACTAAGTTGTTATACATTGTGGTACATATATAATCTATACATGAATTATTATTCTATAAAATCAATCAATCAATTAATTATAATCATTGAATAATTCCCTTTTTTTATTGTTTACAGGTCAACAGTATCCTGTGTATTGTTTTATCTTTATGTTTAATAGATTACTGATATAATATTTTGTTTCTACTCAATTCGGCTTGAAATACAGTTTCATATTTTTATCCTCATCTACTAGTTTCTATGACTACTATTTTAAGAAAGAACTTCAACAGAAATAACACTCAAATGTTGAAATAAAAGAAAACAAAGTGATATGGTAAGCAAGAGATAATCTGTTATCAGAAGTAATTAAAAATGAGATATAACAAATCTATTTATATTGTAATAATAACGATGTTGGAAATAGCTAACATAAGAGCAGACTTCAAAAGAAAGTAACCGTATAGATAATATTAAAATGTTATTGTGATAATCAGTTTAAAAAGTTATCGAAGTAATGATTATTTGTAAAAACCATAATTTATTAACAAAACGTTTAGATGATAGTTTTGTCAAAGTTATGTCGTTAAGTAACAGTGTGGTGTGGATTACTTATATCCACATGAGTAGTATATGACGGTGATCAGGCATAGAACGTATTTCAGTAGAAGATCGATAAGAAAAGAACGGAGACGGAACGCAAACTGTATCAAAACGCATGAACAATGAAATCTGAGACAACAGACTGATATTTGCAACAGGAACAGTCAAGTTTGAAACGACAGATTGATATTTTGCAAATTGACGATTTACTATATGATTCTCAGATTTTATTATGATGCTCTGTAATTTTGTGTTCAAAATATATTCGATTGTCCCTACTCGTTTTCTATTCACTACAGCAGAACCAACTAGTAAGCAAAAATATAGATATGAGATTATTTCGAATGTAATTGAGTCGGTATAAAATATACCAGGAATATTTTCAACATGTAAATAAAACGAAACCATGGATACCGTTGGACTGTAAACAAACAAACAATAATAATGATTATATATATATATATATATATATATATATATATAATGTGATGATTAATGTCGACAACACTTCACTTACCAGAAAATGTAATCAACCCTTTACCTTCAATAGGCGTCCATCTAAGATAACTATTTGAAATATTAGGTGATTCTAAACATAAAAATAGAATAAATGCAGTAACATATCCAATTGTTTGTCCAACAACATTACATGTAGATGCCCAACCCAGATTTTTTCTACAAAGGAAAGTCGAAAAAGATGAAATTACATGAAATTAATAACCGGAATGATAAATATTCAACATAGATGAATTGAAAAAAGGAAATTTTTAACTTCAACGTTGAAATCAGAAGGGGTTTTTGTTGATGTTATAGCAATTTCAGTATTTGAAATTATGAGTCAATTGAAGCTAGACCACCATGGAAAATCTGGAAGCACTGGTTCGAAACTCGCGAGGCTTGATCGTGGACGCGCACTGCTGAGGAGTCCCACAGTAGGGCAAAACGACCGTCCCAGTTTTTCATAGCAGTTTAGCTTTTATTGACTCATGATCTCAACTATTGAAATAACGTTGGAACCATTGACTTTTAAATTATTGAGTCCATAATCTATAAACTGACTTAGTAATTTTTAATATTATCACAATCAAACGTTATTTCATTCTATTTTCATTTCAATTAAACTAACATATAAATAACATCAACTTGATTTTCATCTGTAAGGGTATTAATTTTCTGCTTGACGATGGTAAAAACTACAATTGATCAATCTTGTTTAGGTATATGTACATTCTAAGCCAATTACCTTGGTTACTTAATCATTAATAATAAATCTCATTATAATCTAAAAATGACGACAAATAAAAAAGTTATTGTTAATTTCTAAATGAAACAATTTACTTCAGGTTCTATAATTATATATCCAAATTAATAATTGTGCTCGCGAACACCTCCCAATGTGGCTAAACAAATATCTGGTGAAGAAAGTGAACAGTTTGATACTGACCCATTTGGTCATAGTGCCAGTTTAAACCAATCTTTTTCAATTGTTTATAGGGTCGGTAATCTTTTTCCAATGCTTGTCAGACTTACAGTCCTTCAAACTACTGAAGCAGTAGCTATACAGATTAAGATTACGGAGCCATACGTACAAAAGAAATATCTTTGACCGCTCGAATACCAATGCCAATTAATCAACAGTAGTCTTAGTTATTCAATGACTTAATTTGAGTATTGTACCTGCGACCTTTAGTAATCAAATGTATTTGTTTCTGTTATCTATGTTCACAAATCTTTGTATTATTATTAATACCACTATACGTGATTCATTCATTTAACTTGCTAATTTTTCCACTAAACATTTGATCAAATTATAACTGCACTATTATTTCTCTTACCCTATCTGACGTATACTTATTCTGATAATGAATAACATAACATATAAGTTGATTCAAATTAATATTCTATATGAGTCATATCAACATTAACAATTTATAGGTCCTGGATTCGAATCTCGCGGATGTCGGGATCGTGTATGCACACTACTAAGGAGTCGCATACTAGGACGAAACAGCCGTCCAGTGCTTCCAGGTTTTCCATATTAGTCTAACTTCAATTGACTCATGATTTCAACTACTGAAATTACTAAAATCTCCACAAAACCCCTTCTGATAATTTTATTTTATTTTGTTTGATAATCATAAATTCACATGCTGTAACTTTAAACGATGTACTTTGCTTTTAACGTGGCCATTTTTCGGAATAATTATTTGGATATAAAATTGTATAACCTAAAAAGAATATTCTTCATGCAAATATCAATCTTTTAATATGATGAGGATCTTTAAACGATGAAGCAATTTATATAATAATCATTATGTCAACGAAATGTTGTTGAATTCATTAGCACATTGTAGATATCAACAGTACTGTAATTGTTTCTTGTATTGATTAAATTTATTTAATACATATCAAAATATAATAGAATTTGTGTTGTTTTTCAATAAAAGCTATTAACGATTGAGTACATTTCATTACAGTTTATTTTTATAGACAAACACAAATAATACAAACAAAAAATTCAGTTATTTGCAAAGTTTTGACTTTTTGTGTTTTACAGTTGATACCCTGAATTGAATTTGATTAGTTTCAGTTTGTATCTCAAATATATGATCAAACTTTTTACTAAAGACTGGATAGAAACCAATTTATTCACGGTTGGTATACAATAAAAGAGTTCAAATTCAAACATGAATATCAATAGATGATATTATACCTGTTGAGAAAAGTTGGTTGCTATCTAAATTCAATTGACTAGGAGTGTTAGCACGCTAGCATATGAAACAAATGATATTGAATTCTAATCATTATATGTACATTAAGAATGGAATGAAGGTGCACTCAGAGAATAAACCAGAAAAATAAGACAAAATATTTCATTCAGATCCCACTACTAGCCATGATTAAAAAAAACTGGTATTGTTTCGAATTTTTTCAAGATCAGAAATCTCAATATTAAAGTATTTCTTATGAGTTGATCTTACAGAATTTCAAAATAATGAATATTGTTTAAATTACAGCAAGACTCCAAGTAAAAAAAAGAACAAAGAATAATTAGATATACATTTCAGTAATATGCTCTACATAAGTGTTTCATATCAAGATAGAACATTGATTTTCCAGCTACAGACTATCTGTGATGAGAACATCAAATAATCTCTACAAACTTTCACACTTAAATTTTAACGTTTTAACAATAAATTGTTTATAAAACTCTTGTTTTTTGTTTAACTAAATGGGAATTAAGCAAAACTAATTATACCCCTGTTATTAATAATAGTGACTAGGTCTAGTTAAATAGTTTTGTTAGTACACTTAAAATAAGATAACATTCTTACAATTCAAAAACTAATGGAATTCAAAACAACTGTCAATCAACATCAAAGTCAGAATCTTCAATACAAACGTCAAAACAATCCTATTGCACAGAGCTGAAACTTGGAGAACTACAACAACCATCATCATGAAGATACAAGTATTTATAAACAATTGTCTAGGAAAGATACTCAATGTCCGTTGGCTGGATACCATAAGCAAAAGCCTACTGCGCGAGAAAATAAACCAACTTCCAAATGAAAAGGAATTCGGGAAAAGACATTGGAAATGGATAGGACGTACATTGAGGAAATCATCCAACTGCACCACGAAGCAAGCTCTGAAGGGAAACGGTAAAGAGGAAAGTCAAAGAACATACTGAGTGAAGAATTGAAAGCAGACATGAAAAGGATGAAGAGCAACTGTAAATAATTGGAAAAGATTACCCAGGATAGAGTTGGATGGAGAATGCTGGTGAGCGGCCTATGTTTCTCCATGAGGTGTAACAGGCGTAAGTAAGTATGTAACACTTAAAATGCGGACATAACCTGCATAATTCAGACATTAATTTTAATTCAACAATCACATTTCTACATATAGAATAGTATTTCTGTACAAGTTGAAAGGAAAAAAATGATTAATAAAAAAACACTACCACAATTTTCATTTTACAGATAAACACCTATGAATGAATAACACATGTAAAACATTGATAAATGAAGTTAGAATGAATAAAAAGTATTTTCATGCTAAATCAATTATTCATATCTAGAAGTTCTAGAATAAATGTAAAAAGAATGTATAATTTAATCAGACAAATATTTTTGATAATTTTCTATCAAACTTTACAATTACAAATTGGATATATTTATTGAGAGTATTTGAATGATTATGCTTAATGAGATCGGAATATATTAATATGATAGAATGATAATAGTTATAGCATAGTTATGAAAGTGCTTATATAACCATTAGATATTTGTCTGTATGTATAGAGTGAACAAAGAACTTCGGATGAATGAATCTTAATAAACACTGTAAACAATCTGAAGAAATATGAACTTAAGGTTGAGATTGACAATAATAATAATAAATTCACTTGATATTGTTTACTTGAATCTTCCCATTGATGTTAGGACTGCAATTGATCAGTGTCTTATTGGCATATGTATATACTGTGCATATTACCTTGATAATGCCTTAATTCACAATTGCAGTCCTAAACATCAATGGGAAGATTCAATTAAACAATACCAAGTGAATTTAAGCATCACTCCATGGAACAAGTAAGTAACTATCACGACTCAATAGCTAAGTGGATAACGCGATGGCGTTTGAAGTGAACGGTACTGGGTTCAAGCCTCAGATTGAACATCAAGTCTGAGATGTGGGTACATCCATCTGACGAGTCCTAACCAGAACGAAACATGCATCTTGGATTCCATTGATAGCCACTATCCATCTTCGTGAATAATAATAACAATAATATACAGAAAAAAACAATAGAGGTGTGCAAAAAAGTAATATTTGCACTTGTCCAATGTTATTGGTATAAAGAATAATTTTTAATATAATACAATAATGATTAATGGTCATTTAAGGGAAATGATCAAAAATTGGCTTCTGAATTTATAAGTTTCATTTGAAAATCTTATTGAATATTAACTCAGCTACTCTTGGTGAATGGGGAAGAAAACAAATTGACAATTAAACTAGTACCCAGTATATGACGTTAAATGCTAAAAATCTATCAACTTCATTCTCTGTATTCACTAAACAAGGAAATATCATACTTTTAATATATATAATTCATGAATATTTCTAAACAAAGTCTTGGTATATTTGGTGGATTAAATAAGTCATATCATTTTATAGATTGTACTTATTGACACATTTTGCATAACGTGCAAACAAACTACAAATATGACAGAGCTAACAGAGTTAATTATCTGAATAGAAAACTTAGAAAACAGAGATAAGAATATCATATTGGTGTATATGTACAAAACAGATTATTGTCCATGGACTGTCAGTATTTAACAAAATGATGCTTTTTTCAGCTTAATTATGCTTTAAATATGTGTATATTTAACCCTTAACCGTGACACTAATATGATCAGAACATTTTTAAATATTTGATTTCAATTGAAAAATAACCACGCTGTATTAATACCATTGCCCCTAAATGCACTGGTACAGGGGAGAGTCCACTCTCCCTCTCCAAATACTCTCACATGACCACGCGTATACAGCCATTGTCAGAGAAGTCCTACTCATTGCCTACTCGTGGCGAAGGTGTTGTTTACGAAATTGAGAGGACGAAAAGCGAGTGTCCAGCGCTTTAACCGGGTTGGTGAACACAG